AAAAGACTCTGATAGGGTGCGTCCAATGCTTTTTTCACCTTACATCTTACTTTGAGAGCTGTTATTTAGGGAGTAGTAATGTATTGTGTTTAAATGTAGGCCGAACACATCATAGTGATGGACAAAACCTTCCTTTGCTTGCCGTTAGAGATGCTCAATACTACTTTTTCTTTTCTTGGCACGGCTACTGAAACCTAGAATGTTTGCTTATACCAATTAAGGATGTGCATTCTGGCTCATTTTGATGTTCAGATGTCTATAAGAGTTTATTAACAGATATTTGGTTAACCGTGAGGAAGGAAATTGGGCTTTTCATCTGATATTAATGTATCATAGTACACAGATATGCTAACTTGGAGCGAGCAGGCTAACATTTAAGTAAAAAGAACAAAAACTTAGTAGCGGAGGAGATGTACATTTGGAAAATAAGCCTTACTATTCATAAACAAGGCAAAAGTCCACTTATAATGCTTGTGTGAGTTTTTACACCAAAAACAGTCATCATTCATTTTTACATGACAATTTTTTCAGCACAATTAACATCCTGCTCTATGCTGTTTAATTGTATTAAAAAAGAAATACAGGCCTTTAAAACGTCACCTTGAATGGGCGGAGCTAAACTGCTCCAGGCTGAATAGGTAGATATATGTGAATGTGTTGTTTTTGTGACATAATGAATTAGAAATGGGCTGTTTTTGCAGCTCAGTTTTCGGTAATGGACTGTATGGACTAGGGAGTGAATGGTATGTTTTAAAACCGTAACAATGTTTACATACTGCGTTAAAATCTTTTCTTTAACCTTTTAAACTCCCTGGAACCACCGGTGGTTCCAAAACGCACTTCATCATAAACTTCATAACTTTCATATTTCATAAGCTACATTCAAAAGGTGGGTGTCGTATGAGAGCAGTAACTGTCTTCTTTCCAGTCAAATAGATGGGTAATGTACTTTTTAAACTTTATTATAAAAGAAGCTGAACTCACATTTTTTTTTGTCTACTGAAAGTTGAGCCATTTTTCCACAAATCTGGGCTATAAACTATAAACAGATGGTGTCTCTTCAGTGATCTGCTCTGTAAAAAATATTTTTATAAAAAAATACATCTAAGATTTTTGGCTTTCAGCAGTAAATTGTAAGCATATAGCAATATGTGTATGATCATAAAACACATTTTCTGTTAATTTGATGGGAACTTTTACAAAAAATAAATAAATAAAATAAAAAATTTGCATTTATTTCATGCAGTTACTGAATAATTTAACTTACGACTTGGTCATGTGAATTCAAATGGAAAAACCAAAATATATCCACAAGCATAAGAGGTTAAAACCAAAAAGCAAAGAAGAGACCATTTATAAACAGGCTTCAGAAACTTGGCTTAAGCTTAGTTAAGTTGAGGTGGAGTGGAAAAGTGTCCTGTGGTCCAATGAATGAAAAGAATTTCAAATTTTTGGAAATCATGGGCGCCGCATCCTCCAGGCTAAAGAGGAGAGGGAAATATCCAGGATTTTTCAAAGCACAGTTAAAAGCCAGCATCCGTGATGGTATATGGGCGCATTAGCGTACATGCCATGAGTAACTTGCATGTCTGTGAAGGCAACATTAATACTGAATGATGTACACAGATTTTGAAGCAACATAAGCTGCCATCTAGACGATGTCTTTTATGGAAGGCGTTGCTTATTTCAGCAAGACAGTGCCAAACCACGCTCAGAATGTATTACAACAGCATGGCTTTAGGTTCTAAACCAGCTTGTCTGTGGTCCAGACCTGTCACTCACTGAAAACATTTGGCACATTTATGAAATGAAAAATACGACAAAGGAGACCCTGAACTGTTGAGCAGCTGAAATCCTACATCAAGCAAGAATGGAAAAATATTTTACTTTTAGAACTAGAGCACTTGGTTTCCTTTGTTGTTTCTAACGCTGTTAAAAGAAGAAGTGATGTAACACAGTACTAAACATGCCCCTGTTCCAACTTTTTTGAAAAAAAGTGGGCATATATTTTTCAAAGAACAATAAAATTTCTCAGTTTCAACATTCAATATGTTGCCCTTGTACTATTTTCAATATATATATATATATATATATGTTGCGCTGCATCATGTCTGTGATATTTGCTGTGTTTTTCCTCCAACACTCGAATCGGCATCTTCTGCTAGTATTGAATTGGTGGCATATCTGCTTTCCGTTATGACTCTATGTCTTCTTGTCCTCATCATTTTGGAAAAAGTTGAAACTCCAAACTGTAACTCATCCGTAAATAGCTCTGGGTTATCTGAATGTTCCTGGTGGAGCACCCGGGACACGAACCTGTGGATTAAAAACTCTGTAAAATGCTAATAGCTGGTTTAAAGGGGGATAAGTTGCAGGAGCAGACGCCTGTCGGTGGAGCAGCATATGTAGGGTGTGTGGGGCCGGTGTGTGAGTGGGAGAGCTAGTCTGTCATTAAGGGCAGGGCTGGGATGCTTGGCAGGAGCGAGGGAGCGGTAGACGTGGCACCCGTCCTGTCATTGTGGCGAAGGGCACGGGGGTGAGAATCGGCACATTTAACATCCTGCTGGCCAATAAACCGGATAAAAGATGCCCATCATGAGGAGTTTACATTTGAACTGTAAGCACAAGAAAAAGTTGGGGTGGCCAATACAATGCCAGTATTTCTGAGTATATTGTGGGTATCATCAGTACTTTTAGAACGTTGAACAACTGCAAATGTAATAAAAAGGACACATTAAGACTAACTTTTTAAAAAATGAACAAGCCATTATGCCATTCTTATTAATTTATTTTTGTATTAAATTATATGGCAGATCGCGATACTTTGACATTTTCACAGTATCTCCCACCCTTAAGTTAGTCAGTGAGGACTAAGAGACAGCATTTGAGACAAGCTGCACAGACAGACAGACATACACACAGTATACTGATGTGGAGAGATGAAAGGAGAAGGACAGAGAGACAGACAGACAGGCAGACCCACACGCAGAACAAGGGCGAATAGAAGAGCCAGTATGAATAAGGCAAAGACACTGTCAGTTCCCGTCTGTGTGAACATTGTGGCTCTGCTACAGTCTCAGTGAAGTGGTGCAGTGAGGAAGACGAGTGAGACAATACACACACTTTCAGGTAATTTAACTCACACACACACGCAGGCTGAGTAAGTCCACCTTCAGCGAGCGCCACCGCCCGCCGCCCAGAATAGTCTTACACAGCCATAATTAGAAGCAGCTTTGAGTGGCAGACTTGCTTTCTACACACACACACACACACACACACACACACACACTCAGCCATGGACGTGAACACTGAAGATCTGTTCTAATGTCTCTCTCTCTCTCTCTCTCTCTCTGTGTCTCTACCTGTCTGCCTCTACCTGTGTCTCTATTTATCTCTCTCTCTCTCTCTCTCTCTCTCTCTCTCTGTCTGTCTGTCTGTCTTTATCTCTCTGTGTTTCTTGTATCTTTATTTCTGTCTATCTGTCTCTGTGTCTCATTATCTGTGTGTCTCTCTGTCTCTGCGTCCCTCTTGTCTATGTTTCTGTCTGTCTCTCTTCTTATCTGTTTGTCTTTCTCTCTCTCTCTCCGATCTCTCTCTTTCTCTCTGATTTCTCTTATCTCTGTCTGTCTTTATCTCTCACATCTGTCTTTTTGTCTGTCTCTCTTCTCTCTCTCACTCTTTCACCCTCTCTGTGTATCTCTTTTGTTTGTCTCTCTGACTCTCTCACTATCAGTCTCTCTATTTTTATCTCTGTCTGTTTCTCAGTCAGTCTGTCTGTTTCTCTGTGTATCTCGTTACTTTGTCAGTCTCTCTGTCTCATTTAATTTGTTGTGTATCTCTTTTCTTTCCTTCTTCTTTCACTCTGTCTCTCTCGATATCATATCTTTTGTATTTGTCTCTTATCGCTCTCTCACTCTTTCACACGCTCTCTATCTCTCTCTGTCTGTCGCTCTGTCAGTCTCTTTTTCTATCTCTCGGTCTATCGCTTTGTCTGTCTGTTTCTTTCTCTGTGTATCTCATTACTGTCTTTCAGTCTCTATCTCATTTCTTTATTGTGCATCTCTTATTTTGTTTTTCTCTCTTTCAGCCTCTCTCTCTCTCTCTCTCCCTCTCTCTCTCTCTCTCTCTCTCCCTCTCTCTCTCTCTCTCTCTCTCGCTCTCTCTCTCTCTCGCTCTCTCTCTCTCACTCTCTGTCTATATGAATTCTTTGCACTCAGCTTTGTTAATTGATACACTGATCTGTATTGTTTTGCTGCTGCTTTGTTTGTGCATTAGCGGTCACATATTTATTCACAAGCAAGGTGTGTCTTCCCCTTCTCTGTTGCTGTGTGGTGTCCAGGCTCAGCAGGGTGTCTCTCCCGTAGATTTTTTAAATCCCCTCTTTTTGGCAGAAAGGCAAACTGGACTTCCCCATGCTCTTCTGTGAGCTGCCAGATTAAGCAGTGCTGCTCTGTCTGATAAACAGTCTGTTCTCCTTTCTGTCATTGTTCTGCATGTTGATTGTACAAAGTGGCAAATGAGATTGTAGTGAGGTTTTTGTCAGAAACATGATGTGAAATGAGCTTGTAGGTTGTGGTTGTTCAACCAAATGATTATTTATGAAAAATGAAAAATAACCTTTGTTAGGGATGCACTGTTTAGAAAAAGTGTAGTTCACTTATTTGATTTTTCTTTTTCTTTTATGCATACAGGATAAAGGTAGCTGAGAGTGAAATTTCTGTGAGACTGTTTGCAAAAACAGAGGGAAAAAAATATTTACAATAATAAATATTATAAATAATAATTAATTAATTAATAATAAATAAAATAAATAAATATTACATAGTGTTCCCAGATGTAAGTAATACCAAACCAGTACTGTTTTAAAGTTTGTAAGCAAACACTGACTGTGCTGATGAGGCCCTCGTTTAGAATCATGTTCTTCTAATCACCCTGCTTTAGCTGTTGTTCTAGACAGTGCTGATTATAACCTCAGTTGTCTTTTGATGTGTTTTCTTAAGGCCTTCCTGCAGAGAATAAGACAGACTGCAGAAAACCAGCAGTGTCTGACGCCCGAACATGTCAAGGTAGGAGTCTCCTCAGCTCAGACTCCTCTGACCATCCAACACATTTGTTAAACATACTTGGTACCAAGGCCCAATCAGTGAGGAAACTTTGTATCCAGTGTCAGTCTTGCTGCTAACACCTTTCTTTGTTTCTCACTTCAGATCTTGTTCTCCAACATTGAGGAGGTCCTTGACGTCCACCGTGAGTTTCTCTCAGCGCTGGAGGGCAGTCTGCAGCCTGAGCCTCAACATCATCATGCACTTGGACACGTCTTTCTCAAGTTTGTGAGTGCCTTCTCTTGGCTACCTCTCCATACACATGGCACACAGTTTCAAATTACCTTTGACTGATTTGTTGACGTTTTTTGACATGCACTGTAGGGTTGGGAAGGGTGTGTGTATGTGTGTGTGTGTGTGTATATATATATATATATAATCAGGCATAACAGATCAGGTATAACATTATGACCACCTCTTTTTCATTTTATCAGCTCCACTTACTATATAGGTGCACTTAGTAGTTCTACATTTGCAGACCGTAGTCCATCTGTTTCTCTGCATACCTTGTTAGCCCCCTTCTACCCTGTTCTTCAGTAGTCAGGACCCCAGTGGACCCTCACAGAGCAGGTACTATCTGGGTGGTGGATCATTCTCACCACTGCAGTAACACTAAAGTGGTGGTGTTGTGTTAATGTGTGTTGCGCTGGTACGAGTGGATCAGACACAGCAGTGCTGCTGGTGTTTTTAAATACTTCAGTGTCACTGCTGGACTGAGCATAGTCCACCAACCAAAAATATCCGGCCAGCGTCCTGTGGGCAGCGTCCTGTGACCACTGATGAAGGACTAGAAGATGACCAACACAAACTGTGCAGCAGCAGATGAGCTATTATCTCTGACTTTACATCTACAAGGTGGACTGACAAGGTAGGAGTGTCTAATAGAGTGGACAGTGAGTGGACACAGTGTTTAAAATCCAGCAGCACTGCTGTGTCTGATCCACTCAGACCAGCACAACACACACTAACATGACACCACCACGTTAGTGTTACTGCAGTGCTGAGAATGATCCGCCACCCAAATAGTACCAGCTCTGTGAGGGTCCATGGGGGTCCTAAACAATTAGAGAGGAAAATTTGGGATTAAAAAACATCTTCATTTCTATATACAAACATGAATGTGGTATTGATTGAAAATTTTGAATCGACACATGGAGAAGTGGAGAAATGTCTTCACAATATTTTATCACTACAGTGCCCTCACTCTCAGTCCCAACCCTTTATCCTTCTTAAGCCAGACTGCAGACATCTTCATATCTCTGTCTACATTATTGGCCTTGCTTTCTCTGGGTGGGTAGGGTGGTCCACCTCTCCTAAACACTCAGCATGATGCCAGCCAGTGCAGGTGTGTCTTAGCTGGCGTAACAAAACTGACAGTTAGCATTCTCCTCCAGGCACATTCAGCTATCCAATGATGTTGTGTCAGGGTGACCTAGCTAGTGGGTGGCAGGTAGGAATTAGCTACAACTAAGCATGTATAGAGAAAAAAATTAAATTAAAAAAGAAGTCTTCTACATACAAACACAAAATGCAATATCGATTGAAAGTTTAGAATCCACACACATGAAGGAATTTCTCCTCTTTGTTCACTGAGCTGCATAAAATTTCACAATGCTTTTGTCATTGCCACTGAAAAGGATTATTCCACAAACCCAACCAGACTTTGACTTTGCAGCAATATTTTATCAATACAACACCCTCACTCTCAGTCCCAACACTTTATCCTTCTTAAGCCAGACCATAGACATCTTTATATCTCTGTTTACATTATTGGCTTGGGTGAGTAGGATGGTCCGGCTTTCCGCCATCACTCAGCGTGATGCTAGCCAGTGTAGATGTCTCATAGCTTATGCAACAGAATTGACAATTAGTGTTCTCCTCCAAGCACATTGAGCCATCCAATGACATTGTGTCAGCAGCAGTTCGAAAAGATATGTTGACTGGCATCGATCCTGTTGGAGAAAGTATGTTCCAGCCCTCACCCTTCAAGCTTGATAGCACTATGTGATGGGGGAGACCTAGCTAGTGGGTGGTGGGTGGGCATTAGCTACAGCTAAACAAGTAGAGAGAAATAATCTGAATAAAAAAATCTCTGCTTCTACTTACAAACTCAAATGTGGAATTTGTTCTTCATTTGTTACGATAAACTGAATGAAATTGCACCATGCTTTTGTTGTTGCCAATGGGCAAGGGTTAGTCCCCAAACCCAAATAGACTTTGACAGTAACACAGTAATATTTTATCAAGATAATCCCCACTCTCAGTCCCAATCCTTTATCTTTCCTAAACCAAGCTGCAGACATCTTCACATCTATGTTTACACTCAGTCTTCCACATGTATGAGCTGAAATCATGCTGGTGGATCTTTATTTGAAGGCTTGACTGAGCTGAGTTTAGGCATCTTAGTGTAAGGAGCTGTGCTGACGTAGCCTCAGTGTCAGAGTTGAATCGTTCTCCACAGTAAGTCAGAGACCTTGAGCCCGTTTCAGAAGAACTATTGCATAATTCAGGATGAGGAATGTTTTAGGGCTGTGGACTGCTGGAAAGAAACACAGCTGAAACAGTACACACTGTGCTGGGATTGACCCAGCTTTGGCATTGGGCTGTGTTGTCTCAAAAAATAACGAAATGGAGGGAAAAAGTTTGAAAAAAAGTTACTCATTTCTGTATTTAACACTGCAGTAAATATTTGCTTTATTTCCTTGGCTGACTCCTATTCAAGGGCCTTCAGTGCCAGCATTGTGCAATAATACAACAAAAATATGTTTGTCAAAGGAACAAACAGTGTTGAAGCTATTTTGGGCACAAGTGTGAGCTTTCATATTAGAAATTAAATCTGAAAATGAAAGCGAGCTATGTGGGTTTTGAACTTTCCTGACTTGGTGCCTGGGGGAAATTGGATTTAGCCTGAAAGGATCATTTCTGATGTTTTGTCTGTCCCTGAGTTTCAGATCTTTGCTACTGACCAAGGTCAGTTTGCCTCATGTAGGTTTGTTTAATGATTTAAAGCTATACTTTGTTTTTTCTTTGCTGTTGCTGAAAGGTTTGTTTCATTCATATACAGTTACATGTTGAATTTTGTTTAGAATGTAATACAGTCTAAATATGGTCTATTTTTAGATTTCCCATATGTTCCCATAGTAATGGTGGATAAATGTAACAATGTCTCATCTATTCTCCATCCTTTTTCAGTTATTTTAAACAAGCACAAATTAAGTGCATGTGAAAAGAAGTGTTCATTTTTATTAATTACTTTCATGCTAATAAGGTACTTACTGTGAAAAATACAAGGTTCATGGTGAAGTTAAGGTGTTGATTGTTTGGCTTCAACCTGAATTCTTTTAATTGCTTTTAGGCTTTTAAGCTTTCATCTGGAGTGCATTTTGCCACAGCATGAACTGTGTCGGTTAGCCAGTTTCAAAGCATATGTAACGCAGACAGATGTTGGCCTCTATGATGTAATGCATTAGCTCTGTGAGACCGCCAGTGTCTCCCATTACAGGTGCTATGGCCTCAGGGGATTTATTATAGCACTGAGACCACTGCCACTGCTGAACATGATCTCTCTCACACATGCACGCACACATAATGTTTTCATACAGTGTCAGGATTCACAAATGTATTCTGCAGTGCTTTGCAAAAGTCAAAGACCACTCTTGATTTCAAGTCAAAACAGCCATTAAGTACTAGTTAATAATTTTTCATCAGGAAAAAAAACATATTTACACAGCAAATTACACAAAGGGCAAATAAATATAATATGACAATTTTTAGTATTTTTTTGTTTCCATGCTTTGCCATTATTACACCTTCCATTCTTTTCAGGAGACTTCAGTAATGTTTGGGCTCTGGGGCGGTCAGTCCATTGTTCTGAGAACAACTGCAGCTTCCTTGTTTGATTTGCAAATTGTCTTCAATTTTGTCTGTTTGCTTTTCTCAGGAAGGGCTCATTGACAGCTACATATCTTTTCAGACTCGAAGCGTTGAATTGTCTTCTCCCATTGGAAAGATGGACAGAAACACTTGTGGATTTTTTTCAGATCTGAAGCAAGAGTGGAGCTTGATTTTCTCCTCTTACACAAAGATGAAAACTTAAAGTGCTGTTTATCTGATGGTGGCAGTTTTGGTGGTCTCCCAGGTCTTGCATGGTTGTTAGGAGTCCCAATGTCTCTGTATCTTTTAATGTATTTTTTGTAAACTTAATTTTTTCACTTATTTTTCTTTGACTTCCCACTTCCTTATGTAACTGGATTATCATACAGAAATCAGAAATATCTTCTTAAAAATGAATAACTGTTTTGACTGGAAATGAAATATTTTATATATTTATTATATATATTTTCTTTGCCTAACTATAAACCTAATCCTAATCTAAACTTCAGTATTTCAGTTTTTATAAATAAAACATGTAGATTTGTAAAAACCAGGACCATCTTATTGGTTATCCCTGTTTTTCTTTTTCTTTTTTTTTGTACAAAAATGTACACAAAACAAACATGCACATGTCAAACAGAGGTAGTCAGTGTCACAGGATATGGAGAAGTAGAAGAGGCCCAAACAGAAGAGTTCCTCCACATCCATTGACATATTAGAGAGAGAGCGAGTAAGACAGAGATGTGAACGAGACAGAAGGTAAACATAGAGGGAGAGAGGCAAACAGTGGTAAATTCTCTCCAGCCATTCATTGTCCAAAGCCCATTACCACAGAGCTGCCCATGGGATGTGAGCCTGTATCACTTTTCAGCTCCATCCGCACGGCCAGATAAGCGGCCAGTCCCAGGAGAAAGAGAGCAGCACCTTAGCCAAGGTTACAGCCCACACTCTGCTTCTGTGCAGCCCATCTAATCACAGTTCAGCCAAAACTCCATACATAATTTACATTCAGTGACCTCATTCTAGGCTCATTACCTTCTGCTCAATAGCCAGAGCCTTTAATACTCAGCTGTCAGTCTACGTTAAAAAACAAAAACATGTCGGATGCTTTCTTCTATGTCAGGGCCAATAAGTAGATCACTGAGCAGAAGAGATGCTTTAGACTGATAGTATGCACCCAAGAGCTTGTCTAAGCGCTGTTTCCTGTTTGCTAGCACTGGCTGCTTCTCTAAGGGTGTGACGCTAGAGACTCGTGAGCTTCAATTTCGCTTCCTGTGTTGTTTCGAATAACGGAAGTCAGGTAGCAGTGCTGTACAGAATCTCCTTTTCAAAACCAGTTTCATTACCTTTTGCCTTCTGGAAGGCCTGCATGTTTACAATCTGATTGAAATAAGGAAGATGTGTTATTGACGAAGTGAAAATACACACAGTGGGCTCTTACATATATATCCAGCTTTCAACTATATACAGGTTCAAAACTCCTATTTGCTATTTGACACTAGTTTTTGTGTGTTTAAGAATATGCAATGACAGATTTTGTGGTAGAGATTAAAGGAATAATGCCCACAGTACCACAATAATGGAGTTTTATGGAATTAATTATGGTATCCATAATTATATACTTTGTAAACCTATTTGTAAATCAAATTTTTTAACCCAGCTGTAATCAATCATCACCAGTGTCACCAAGTTCTTAATTTTTCAGTGTTGGTGGGGCAAAAAACCAGGACAGTTACACAGAACCCTGACAACGAAATGTATTTTAGTATTTAGTGTCTCCACACGTTGGCTTGTATTACACCATCCATTTTTTTCCGCAGACTTACTTTCAGTTTAAAACAATCTGCAGTGATATTTTTCCACACCTCCAAAGTTCAGTCTTAGAAGTTGGTTGAACTCCAATTTTTGAAACTCCTGTTTTTTTCACTCACTTTCTTTTTCACTTTTCCCTTCCTTATGTTAGTGGATTATCTGCTATCTAAACTCTTCAGAAATAAGTCTTTATAATAAAATTATAATTTGAGTTTAGTGGCTGTTTTGATTGAAAATTAAATAAATAAAGGGTAGTCTGTGACTGTTGATATAGTCAATATATTGAGGCCTTTACCGTACGTGCACTCCCTTTGCTCACATACGTTTTGTGTTCTGTCTTTTTCAGAGAGGCCGTTTCTCAGTCTATGGAGAATACTGCAGCAACCACGAGAAGGCCCTGAAGCTGCTCATAGAGCTCAATAAAATACCCCACATCCGCACCTTCTTATTGGTGAGAACTTGCTTTCTACAGATATTTTAATTGAGAGTGGGAGTTAGTTTTGGTTTAGATTTATCAAATAAAATTGATTGGTACAGGCCCAAATAGAAGTGAAAATTCATAGACATCTGTGAAGCTGTTGTATAGATGTGCGATTTTTCTGTTTTAGCACTGCATGCTGCTGGGAGGAAAGAAGAGCACAGATGTTCCTCTTGAGGGCTACCTGCTTTCCCCTATCCAGAGGATCTGCAAGTATCCTCTACTGCTAAAGGTAATTCAGCATTTCTTTAATTTATTTCTCCTCCATGTTTTCTTTTATAGGACATGCAAAAAGTGTATTCAGATGCATTTAAACAAACAGCTGTTCTTATGTGTACATGCCAACTGATGTGTGCACTCTCCAACCGCATATTTGGAGTGGTAACCATAATTATATACTTTGTAAACGTTTTAAATGTTACACAAAATAAAGCAATGAACCACAAGAGGCCCTGCATTACAGTGATTTTGCCACAAGTAAGGAGCGCTTGGCACATTGTGAAGCTGTAACTGTGGGCTATACCAACATAATGGCCAAATATTATTCCAGGAATAGCGCAATGGTTTTCAAAACCTGTGAATACAGAATACAAGGTAACACTTTTTTTTTCGAATGTCCACTGTAGATGCTTTGCAGATGCTCACTTTGACCTTAACTGTTGGAACAGAACATTAAGGTTAATATAATAGGTTCTAGTAAATCTAACCCTAAACCTAACCCATACGTTTCACCAGACAGTTCTGAAGGCATCTTTAGATAATCCATAGAGGACTCTCAAAATAAGGTATAACCAAGTTCTGTTCTGCTTAGTTATATGTATAAAACTGGAGCACTGGGTTGTGTGCATATTAAAAAAGCAAAAGAAACATGTGCAGCTGATTTACATATTTGTCTTGATTTACTAAAGTGTGAGCAACTCGTGGCACCAGGTTTTGTATTGATGTGTTGTTGACAGACTTTCTTAAACAATGGCAGGAGACACAGCAGTTAGACAGAGGCATGAGCCTCAAATGCGTGCTTGAAAAACACATTTGCCATCAGAATAAAAACTGTTCAAACCCTCCGAACCAGATGTGCCAGTGTGTGAGAAGGTGCAGCACTAAATATGTGGTCATGTGGCTGTAATATGCATGTGCAGTCCGTGCTATCATTGCTTAAACTCTCTTTTCTTAGCCGTGGAAGAATAACCATCCCGTAAAATGTTTATGAGGTTGTGTAAGGAGCCAAAATATGAATTTTGCTACATGCAAGCTAACACAGCTGCACACTGAATTGACTTAATAAGCATAATAAGTGCACACCAACCTTGCAAACCAAGCTTTGTCACGTGAGGTAGTTAAGTTGCTTTGGCAGTGGTAAAGTATATTAGGACTAGCTGGTTTTATTACATAAGTGTTTAATAGTAAACTTACTTTCATGCAATGTCATTTTAGTGTCCAGCATTTTAGTGCTAGCTAATTATTAGCATGGATGGAACAATGTTCATATTTTGACTCATTAAAAAGCATGTAAATCTGAGGCTTCAGTGACATTCAGCGGAAAAATATACGTAGGATGAAATTTGTCAAGTTTGGAATACGCCATCCATCCACGAAGCATGATGGCGGCAGTTTTCGAAATTCCTATTTATTTTTCTCGTAGAGAAATCTAAATTAGAACTGGAGTTGCAAATTTTGGCGTGATACTGTCTACAGAATGACGCAAGACTTCAGAGGTCTGTGTGACTCGGATATTATAACTAAAATGACCCATTCTACATCGGAATTATGTCTTTGACACTGACACATGAAATTGCGCTATACACAACAAAACTTAATATTGGAACATTTAGATTAAATATTACAGTTACTGAATAACAAAGAACAGCTTTAGAGTAGATGATCATTACACTGGTGTATGTGATGGAATGCTCTTGTTCTGGCATTTAAGACCAGCAGTGTGCAAATAGACAACGATAAACAAGTGCATAATACCATTATTTACTTCTTGTAGTCTTTCTTTGTGTTCATTTGGACTTGATGGCAGTATCTAAAATACAGAGTGAAAAGGAGGAGTGAAATCATTTTCAGTCTGCTTTGTTGTGTTCTCTGTAACTGAAGAAAATATGTGCAGAAAGGGGGATCATCTCCTATGATTTTACTGTTGTGATCGATGACCTGTGAGGATACAGAACACATAGAACTCAGTGAGTAATGTTCCAGTGCACTAAGCTTAGTTCTGCTGCAGGAGCTGTTGAAGAGAACCCCTAAGAAGCATGCAGATTACCCCACCGTGGAGGAGGCACTGCAGGCCATGAAGGAAGTGTGCTCCAACATCAACGAGACCAAGAGGCAGATGGAGAAACTGGAGGCTCTGGAGCAGCTACAGTCACACATAGAGGGCTGGGAGGTGAGGGACAGTACATGCTGTTCATGTCTTTTCTGAGTGATGGTTACTCTGATAATTACACAGAACAGCACAGGATGCGACACCACATACACACATGTGCAGCATTAGCAGCTACCAGGTCAGAGTTTGGTTGGCAGGCTGTTTGTATGGGGTAGTTCATATATTTGAGTGGTATTTAAGTATGCAGCACTCGTGCATTTCCTGAGTAGAGCCTTGCTGACGCAGACAGGATCCATGGTGACATTTGCTGTACTTTTAAAACAAGAAGAAAAAGGAAGTGTTAATGCAAAGAAGTCCCAACCTCGTTACCTAGGAGATAAACAGGTTCATTAGAAAATGCTACTGTAAGCCACATTCTCTCGTCCTCTCTATTTTTCTCTCCTGCATTCTCTTTTTTCTGTCTCTCTCTAACTGTTTTTCTTTCTCTCTCACTCACTTCCTCACCCTTTCTTTTCAACCTTTGCTCTTCTCTGCAACTTTCTCTGCTCATTCTTTCTGTTTTTTCTTTCTCTCCTTCTTCTCTCTCCCTCTCTCTGTAATTCTCTCTAAATCTTTTGCATACTGTCTCTTTCTGTCTCTAACTCTTTTTTTGACTAACTTTTCCCTTTTCTCTCTCTCTCTGTAACGTATAGAATTCAAGAGAGAATTACAGATCTCACTCTTTCTTGGTCTAGTTCTCTTTGCGTCTGTCTCTCTCTGTCAGTGTGTCTCTCTAATTCTCTCTTTCTTTCTCTTTTCTCTGTCTCTTTTTTTCCCCTTACTTTTCTCTCTCCCTTTCCCTCTGCATCTTCAACTTTTTCTCTTCTCTACTTCTCTTTCTCCCTCACTCTTTCTTGCTCCAACGCTCTGTCTTTCTGTCTCTGTCTGTCTGCGTCTAACTCCCTTATTTTTATTTTTTTTCTCGCTCACTCCATTCCCTCTCACTTGCACTCTCCCTCTGATTTTAGGGTTCTGACAGACATTTCTCTTTCTCAGTGGGCATGCATGGTGTGTTATTTCCTACAGCAGAGTGGCACTCACAGTAGCTCAGTATTTCTCCATTCACTGCTCTCAGTCACCTCTCAACAGAGTCCCTTTATGCTCAGCTCCAGCCCCTGCGTGCCAGGGTCTGGCGCAGGCTGCACTGCCTCACCCCAGCCCACCCTGAGCCCTGTGCCATGCTGGCAGTGGGAATGCTAACTGGGATGTTTTGAGTGCATGCAAGAGTTAGAGCAAATGCTTGATTGGTTTAGGTTTCTATGCTTATGACTTCATTCAAAAGTTTCTCTAGGTCAGTAGTTCCCAACCCTGGTCCTGGAGTAGCCCTGTCTTTCACATTTCATTGTTTTCCTGCTCTACCGCACCCACTTCCAGCTCAGGAAGGGCTTGTTAATTACCTTATTTGTTGGATCAGGGAAGAAAACAACATGTGCTACTCCAGGACCAGGATTGGGAACTATTGCTGTGAGAAAAGTTCTCTCACCCACACACCATATTGATAAAACTATGGGCAATTTCAGCTCCCTCTATTTGTTTGAAAGGGGAGATACCCATATTACAGGATTGATCTGATGTGTAGCCATTTGCCTTTGATATTTAGAGGCACTGAACAGGTATGTACACATAATTTCTTGGTTTATTTTGACAGAAAAGCAGCTTTGTTGTAAATACACTGACCAAACACTTTGTTAGGAACACCTGTACACCTACTCATTCATGCAATTATCTAATCAGCCATTCATGTGGCAGCAATGCAGTGCATAAAATCATGCAGATATGGGCAAGCAGCTTTAGGTAATGTTTACATGAACCATCAGAATGCGGAAAAAATGTGATTGTAGTGATTTTGACTGGGGCATGATTGTTGGTGCCAGATGGGCTAGTTTAAGTATTTCTTTAACTGCTGATCTCCTGGGATTTTTACGCCCAACAGTCTTTAGAGTTTACTCATAATAGTGCATTAAAAAACATCCAGTCAGTGGCAGTTCTGGATGATGCCTTGATGATGAGAGAAGTCTACAGAGATTGGCCAGACTAGTTCGTGCTGATAGACAGGCTACGTTACCTGTGGTGAGCACAAAAACAGCTCAGAATGCACAGCGATGAACCTTGAGGTGGATGGGCTACAACAGCAGAAGATCACATCAGGTTCCACTTCTGTCAGTAAGGAACAGAAAACTGAATCTCCAGTGGCCACAGGCTTACCAAAAACTGGACAAACGGTCGAAACTGGAAAAACATAGCCTGGTCTGATGAATCTCAATATCTGCTGAGGCACACAGACAATAGGGTCAGAATTTTGCATGAATCCATGGACCCAAACCTGCCTTGTGTCAACAGTCCAGGCTGGTGTAATGGTGTGAGGAATGTTTTCTTGGCACAGTCAATCATTGCTTGAATGCCACAGCCTATTGTTGCTGACCATATGCATCTTTTCATGCCAACCATTTAGCCTAATGCACCATGCCACAAAACAAAAGTTATCTCAAATGGGTTTCATAAACATGACAATGAGTTCAGTGTTCTTCTGTGGCTTTCCCAGTCACTAGCTCTAAATCCAGGAGAACACCTTTGGGATGTGGTAGAACAGGAGATTGGCAGCATGAAAGAACACCTGAAAAATTTGTAGGAATTGCATGTTGCAATCCTGTCAACATGGAGAAGAATCTCACAGGAATGTTTGCAAGAATTAGTGCAGTGTTCCTAATAAAGTGCTTGGTGAATGTATATATCCGTGCACATGTGCTGGGCAGCTCTCTGTGAGGCACTGGCTTAATGACAGCTAGATGGCATTTATGACATTTCCTAGCAATGTCAGAGACGTGATAGCTCTAATGTCAAGAGTCATAGCTTCCACTGATTTAGCTTTTACATATAATGAGTGATGTGGCAGGCAATGAATTCAAGGTGGACCCCAGCTCAGAGAGTGAACCAGCAAGCTTTATTATACATACTATTTAACATTCAACTGCAAGGGAAACTCTACTCTACAGTAAGATGATAAGCATACAACCTGGAAACAGCAAACAAATGCAGGGAGCCCAACAACACAACAGTAACAATAACACCAGTAATAACAATGGAAAGATTAATTTAACAATAAAGGATGAACAATGTTCACTCTTTGAGCATGCTGGGAGGGTTAACTTGATCCAAATTAGACCCCTTCCCCTGGACCACTCCAATAATTTGAGACCAAAGTTCTACCATCTATAGACTGATTTTGCTGTGATTTAGAAACTGAGTATGCTAGCTAACAGAATACCAGTAAAACTGCCGTAAGATAGCATACCAGAAAGGCCTGTATGATAGGTCAGTGTATTCAGATATTGGTTAGAATTGACAAGTAACTTGGTGACTATGCTTCAAAGGTGGTCGTCATGTTGGGAAAGGGAATTGGTAGGGAACTAAAACTTACTTTATGATATCAAATAATATGTACATGTAATATTTTATTAACCTTTCTGTTAAAACAATGGGTTATTAATAAGCATTTAGACTCCAATCGAAAAAATTCCTCACTGTCTCTGCTGCAGGTTTCCCAGGTTGTGAAGTCTGAGGTGTTTTCCATACAGATGAATTGGATGAACTATAAAATTATGAAAATATGAAAAACCAATACAGAAGCCAGAGTCTGTCTCCCCTCTAACATCTTTGGCTATCCCCTGTGATATAATATGCTGTATTTATATCCCACTTTGACTTTACAAGGTAATGCCAGTATTGCTAAAAGGAAATATAGTGCTTATTGTACCTCCAAATGCAGTATAGTGCAGTGCATGGTCCTGTATAATTTATGTAGGTTTAAATGGAGTTGAAAGGATCCAGTATGTCCAGCAGATGTCTGCTGGCTGAAAATGCTGCGTACACAGGTAGAATGCCTTCAGTGTAATGTAAATCACCTCTAATGCACAGAGAGTGCAGCATAGGAAGAAAACACGCTGCCAATGCTCTAATCGACCAGTTTGGTCACACCATTGATTAAGCAGCAAAATGGAGTCTGCCATACAGATACACGCCTGCAAAGCATCGACAGTCGCATCCTGTATAGGAGTACGTCTGGAACGCTCTGACTGGATGAAATCAATTATTGACGGTCCAGATCATTGCATATGTCTGACTCCATGACATCAAACAAGTCTTAGCATTTTGGTTCCTGCAGGGACTGGCAGGCTTTTGGAGAAAGGTAGAGACACAGATAAAAAAGACTTTGGCTTTGATTTCTTTATTAATGAAATCAGGCCTTTTCAAAAGAAGGGCCCTTTGTAGAAAAGCAAGCCTCTGCTTTCTGTTAATAAGCAGGTAATTCCACTCATCGCTGATATCAAAAGATATTAACAGTTTAAATAGCAAGACACTTCATTATCTTTGTTATTTTGCTGGAATGTGGACAGGTTCCTGTCAGATTCCTGTCCTTTCATTTCTTCAGAGGAACTAGTCATGTTACATTACTTATGAAATGTCATGTGTCATGGTGACTTGAATCAGTTCAAATTAGCTTATAGGCAGTGTGAATGTCTAATTTTCTTCTCAGAATAGTCACTGTTATCCAGACAGCTTAGTTGATTCCCTGTTATTATTTCCTTTTTTTTTGCCAGGGGACGAAATCTAACGGATATATGTACTGAGCTGCTCCTTCACGGGAATCTGCTGAAGATCTCAGCAGGAAACATCCAGGAGAGAGTGTTCTTCCTGTTTGACAACCTGCTGGTGTACTGCAAGAGGAAGTCCAGGTTAGTCAACCACACAGTCTACATTACTCATACTTCCACACAGTGCCTGAGCTTCTAATATTTACTGGTGCAAGTATATGAAGATACTATAATTAAAATCTGAAACCATGTATAAATTAACCCTTAGCTGTTTGACAAAACATGGCAAAAATGCAAAACATTTCCACAAAATAAGACTGGACACAACAATGGCTTTATCAAAGTGAAGTCAAAGAAAGAAGTATCTCCTCTTCTGCCTTCCAACACAAATTTCATAGTAATTGAAAGTTAACAACATGCACTTTGAAAAGAATTTCTCCACTTCAATGAATGAAAAGTGAGAAATAATTAATGTAGTTCCTACCTGCTTTTGTTATTGGTTAAAATGTGTACTGTTTCCTTTTTAATCCTTTGTTTAAGCGTCTGGGCTTTTCTATTCTTTGAGTAATTGAAGAAGTATGTAAGTTTTCTTGTTAAATGTTCAGAGTTTCTGGGAAGAAGTCCACCAAAAGGACGAAGTCCATTAACGGGCCGCTGTATGTCTTCCGCGGCCGAATCAACACAGAGGTGATGGAGGTGGAGAATGTGGAAGATGGGACAGGTAAGTAACTTCAGCCGCATACCTCTATACTTATGCTGTAGAGTCAAGTTATGGTCATTTGCACAGTATAGAGCTTTTACAGCAGCTAAACCAGGGTGGGCAATATGATGATATGTTAACGTTGTCATGCATTTTTAAATTATTATTGTTTTTTACTGTTAGTTTTTCTGACTGTCATACTTTGTAACACTGAACAATTGCATTTACCATAATAAAATACCTTAAAATAGATGAAGATTTAGACCAGTTATACAGGGCTTGTAAACAACAGCCACCCTTGTATAGTAACTGAAGAAACTGCATATGAAGTAGCTGAATGGATTGCAGCACATTACATTATGTCATTATTTTATTATTATTATTTTTTTTTTACCCCATTTTTATAACCCTTTTTTCAAATGTAGTGTTGCTGTTGGCTGGTGCATTTTGTCCATTCCAACTTGTTCAACTTGTTATATCTCAGAAAATAAAATATTGTTCTGTATGATGTAATATTTTTGCTATATAAAGGGGAATTTCACTAATTTGTCAAAATGTATGGATAATGTAATTATTGAGTAAATGGAGTCATTTAGAGTGGTTTGAAGTGAAATGGTTTACTGTAGAGAAACATACTGACCCAGATTTCTTTACAGTGGTGGTGATGGGAACCAGGAATCGCAATGTCTACTACACAAATATAGCCATTTGATTAACTATCCAAAAAGTGAAAGTAAACCTACACGTCTTATATGCTTTTATATGTGATGTTGATAATTGTAAAATAATGGTAAATCTGGAAAAATATGTTTTGACTGGGGTTTATTTTGCCTTACAGCAGCATGCATGTATCTGTCCAGTATGAGGTGTTTTTTTTAAAAAAAAGCACATTTTAGGCCAAAACTTGTCAGAACAATCCCAAAACAACACCTTAGGCATCAGGCAGCATATTTGTAGCCATTTTTTTATAATGGCTTTGCATGAAGTAGTTCTAAGAGGCATTAAACTTTTCAGATGTGTGGTTCCTATCACCACTGCTGTGAACAATTCTGACTCGATAGGGTTCTCTAGAATAGAGCATCTTGTATCAAACCACTCAGAATGACTGTTTATATTTCAACCATTGAATTATGCAAAAAGTTTTGAAAGATCAATAGAATTCCCCTATAAGGAAAGCCAAACTGAGTTGTCAGTTTATTAGGCACTTGTACCTTGTATCTAAACTCATTAGCTATTTTATCAGGTAGCGCTACCATTTGGGTGCAGTTTGTAAATACAGAATTACTAACTGTAGCCCATCATTTGGCTATTTGAGGGGTTGGCCACTGATACCCACAAATTGCAGGTTATTGTTAATGATTTAAATGGTGGAAATATACTATATGGGTATCAGTGAATTTATGCACTTTGGAGGCTGTGAATATAAGGTTTACTGTCTCTAAAGGTTCACACCCATATCAGCCTCTTTAGTCTGCATGCTCTCGCAGTGCTTTGTTTCCTACAAAAGCCAAACTGAAACATTCAGCTGTCTCTTCAGTTTACGGACATGCTGCTTTGAAGAACAACAACCACAAACTCAGCATTAAGTCTGGAAGCCGTATAGAGATTGGTGTGAAGCCTCATGCGGAGATTATAATCTGAGACACAGATGCCCCTTTTTTCACACCTTTTCTACGGTAGTGCGTTATAGCCACATGCAGGGTGGAGTTCAGCCGTTTAAAATCTCTGCAAACTGAGACTGCTGCTCAGCTAACGGCTCTTTTTCTCGCTTTCAGTGCACCTTAAGTGGCAGGATGACTACTTAATTTCACCTACTTGTACTCTTTTGTCTTTCTCTCCCACGCTTTCAAGTGTGTGCCTGTGGGCATAAACACTTTATTTGCAGGCAAATTTCACAGAAAGCCACTGTTTAAAAAATGTCCACTCATAGCTCATAGGTTATCAAAATACTGCCTCAAACCACACACCACTTTTGCACGCAGCTTAAGTGATCATGATGTGCTGTTGATATACATCATTGATTGTGTGTGTGTCTATATATATATATATATATATATATATATATATATATATATATATATATATGTATATGTGTGTGTGTGTGTGTGTATGTGTGATATATAATATATATAATATAAAGGCAGCTAGCAGGTCCTCATTGTCACAAATATTTAGATGTGTGCTGATGTTCTCCTTTCAATAAGCCTGCTTAGCTAGTCATTTTCAGCACTTTATAGCAGTTCTAATCCTAACAGAGCAATGCTTTGGAAATTCCAAGGTCAGATGCACAAAGGCCAACAGATCTTTCCCTGGCTCACTTCACTCACCTTTGATTAGCCTCTACTACACCCGGCATGCTAGTGGTCAGCTCTCTCCCATCTGACCATACCGGCTAAAAGCCCCAGGTCAGACCTCTTAACATTAAGCCAGCAGCCCATTACACTGCCTCATTCTTTATTCAACCCATTCCACCTCATTCACCTAGTGTCAAATGAGGGATAAAATTGGACTGTGGCTTGAAGGCTGAAGCCTTTACTATACATGGGCTCTCACAGACACACTGTTTAATGACTGTCAAGTTATTTAAAGAGGCGCTGTTCCCGATATCTCCCTTTAATGGGGTTATTTCATTTTTTGCATTTTTCATGCCTCCAAATTGGAAACAAAAGCCTTTTTTCTGTAGCCCTACTTGCAGTCATGCCATTGTTAGTCGTTCTGTTATCATTTCCATACGTGGATCTCATATCGTTTAATTTGTAGAAGAGGAAATTGGCGCTGCATTATAAAATGAATGGAACGAGATCAGTGCGTTGATGTATCTCTTTTTTTTTTTAATGCAGGCTCATATGTCATTCAGTTAAGGTCAAGGAGCCTATTGTGTATCTGCTGTTACTACTCAAGATGGTCCATGTTAAGGGATCGTGATGGAACTTATTGCTTTTCAACCTGTTTGTCTATTTATTTATTTATTTTTCCTGTTCTTTCAGCGGACTACCACAGCAACAACTACACTGTGACCAACGGCTGGAAGATTCATAACACGGCCAAAAATAAGTGGTTTGTTTGCATGGCCAAGAATGCCGAAGACAAGCAGAAATGGCTGGACGCCATTTTGAAAGAGCGTGAACAACGAGAGAGTAAGTGGTTTTATCTTGTTTACTGGCTTTAGTAGTTCACGGTACCTTTCCTGTCTCAGATATTTGAATGCTGTTGTTTCTCCTCCAAGTTCTTCCTCTAATGAATATTCTGATGTTCTTTCCGCAAAACACACATTTCCAGTTTTCAGATAATTACAGATGATTTGGTGTATTTTTGTGCCTCTGAAGAAACATCTGGTACAAAAATGACAGCAGAGTTGCTTTTACATTTCAGTTTCCATTTACAGCATTTAGCAGATGCTCTTATCCAGAGCGACTTACAAAAAGTGCTTTGTTGTCTATCTAGAGAAAGTATCTTTGCTAGTTACACATAGATAGTTAGAGAGAAAGCTAGTCCTGAGCTCAGATATTGCTGGAAAAACAAAAGCCCCTTTTAGAAACCCATATACTGCTAATTAGGGCTGAACAATTTAGGGAAAATATTTAATTCCAATTTTTATGACCAATATTTCAACTTTTTAAAAAATCAAGTTGTGATTATTTTGTAATTATTAAATGAAAGTCAGTTATTTTGGCATAGAAGACCAGCATATGTATTTTTTGTGGCCAAACTGCCAGTTAGGTGTGGTTATGAAATCACAGCACACGGGTGTTCGGTTGTTTCTGATTGATCTGACTGTTCTACAGGCAGTTCGTAAGCACTCTGTGTTGTGCCAGTTCACACTGAAAAACGAACTAGTTCAAAGTTCAGTTCATACTAATGAAAATGAAAATGTTCACGTTTGTAGTTCATTTTTAAAAATTTTGAGTTCGCAGTTCCGCGAATAAACTAGTTCATGTTCATTTGTCTCAATAAATAGGCCAATATTCTTTTTCAATAGAACCTCTTTCTACACATCCATCACCAGCCCAAAAGCATTGCTACTCATAAACTAAATAAATTATTATATACCACAGCCTTTAGGTCAGTAATACTCTCATTGAATGCACTGTTCAACATTGTATGTAAGCTACCTGCTTTCTTGATGTCCGGATGGCTGCAAACCAGTCACCAGTTTGATGAAGGATGGCTTTTCAACCTTACTTAGAGGCTGCAGATCTCCTACAATGTAGCTAGTCCAGTACAAGCTTGTCCACTTGTTGGGAAACGAAGGCAGCAGGTCCTTTACAAAATGCTGTGAGCTTCAGTTGGGTGGGTAATCTTTGTGGTTGTTGCATCGTAGTAGTTAATGATTTATTGTGCTTATAATTAAATCACATGTATTCCACAAGACTGCTTCGATGTTTCAACTCAGTGTGTCGTTTTAAATTCGATGTAGATGTGGCTGACGTCCGGACTTGTTTTTTCAGACCAGCACAATTTACATAAAAACGTGAGTCCAAACTTGTGTGTTCATAAAACACACAAACAAACCGACATGCTCAAACAAACCGACTTCTGCAGTTACATTTCTACTGCTAGCACCAGACATGCTTGGCTGTGTTTATTGAAGCGGCATGCGGCATGCCATAAAACGTGAGTGGCGTTCCCTCTTGCGAGAGTGAGCGCTGCTCGTGTTTACGTTCATTATTTGTAAAGTAATTCGTTCAGTTCAGCGTTCACAAAAAATATGAAAGCATTCAATGAACCCCGTACAAATTGAAAGTTGCACTCTTGCAAATAGCATTTTCTAGAAAAAATTACTAATTTTTAGCCCTACTGCTAATGCACCTACATAAAATATATTACATTTTTGCTTTTACCTCCATCTTTTTGACTAGTGCTAGCCAGTGACAGTAGCTAGTAGAGATGGTATGATACCACTTTATTTTCCGATAATAGTGGTGAAACATTAAAGAGTCATTTCTAGCCTATCCTAGCACTGTGTCATGTGGCTATATATCCTAGCTGAGGTAGTGCTGTAAACTACATTTAGGATGGTTTATTCTCTGCATTATACCTTTATCAACAGCTCTGGCACTACCGGTTAAAATTAAGTGGAGTCAAGTTGACGTCATAACCCCAGAAACCTCGGAGTTGTGCATCCCTAACCAGGGCTGTTGGAACAAGTTGCACTCCTGCCCCCTCATGTATACAATTACAAAATAGTTGAATGAAAAACCTGCCAGTTCAGCTGTCAGTTGTTCATTGTAAATTAAATGAACTTTTTAACCAAAAGCATGGGTATTTATGTATTTGTTGACTAGTGGTTAATCGGTTATTATTTACATCCCTACCTAAAACTGATACCTGATACAGATCAGTACAATCTCTAGTATCTAGCTTTTTGCAATTAGTTAGCAACACCAGCTAACACTAGTTTATTAGACCCAAAGACAATTTAATGCACTACCATTCCACCTCACACTGGTGACAAATGTGCATACTTTTTATGTATGACAAAAAGGGAATTATTTTAGAGAGACTGCGAGTCATTGTTGGACATGGCAGTCTTACATGTCAGTATTTTAATCAGTATTCCATTCAGTGCAATCTTAACTAAAGTAGTTTATAGAGGAAAAACTAAGTAAGCATGAAAAAGCCAAGTAATTTGGTTTATCACAAATTGAATAGCTAGATTAACTAATTACTGAAATAGTCATTTGCTGCAGCTCTAATTAAATGTAATTGTTTTTTTATTAGAATAAAGGACTGTCTGTGGTGTATTATGTATCCTTTTTTTCTCTTTGTTGGTCTCCTCTATCTAACATGATTTAATGGATTATTTTGTTGTTTTCCATGGAGGATTTGGAACACCTGTCTTACATTGGCCACCTGTTCTTGTTTTTGTTTGATGTTTGTTTCAGCAGTGGAGTGCACTGATTCTGAATGTTATCAGAGCTATAAAACAGAACCGGTTACAAAAAAAAACACTATCAATTCAGAATGATATATCAGAAGCTGTTGGTTTCTAATTGAAAATTCTGAACAGTCTATGCATTTAAAGCTCTCAGTTTAAGCATGATAATTTAAGCGTTAAGCCTTAAGGCTGTACATTGCGTTTTGCTTTGGCGTAGGGTTTTTAATGGGATGGATCATGTTTCGGCCGTTTGAAATGGAGCCCAGGCCAACAGGTGCCCCATCAGTCACACCTCTCCCTCTCTTTTTCTGTCTGAGGCCTCAAACCTCTGTGGCTTTCAGACATGGCTGTTAATTACATGTTCCGCTTGAAGCTTAGCTTGACATGCTAAAGTGCTACCTTATTTTGACAGTCTGTCCTAGTGCCTCCTATTCAATTATAATCAACCCAGTGACACTTTAGCCCAGAGAAGCAGTAAGTTAATGCAATTATGCGGATCAACATCTGTCGCTTGAAGGCATGTGTTGCATGAAAGATTTGTGCTGACAAGACATCTTAAGGAAGGTGTCCAAGCACTAGAATTCCATACTTGCAAGCCATAGACCTTAATGATGTGGAACTGGGCCATTCACGCTTTGGAATGTTGGCTAGCACAGATTGAAACAGCTACTTTCTAGACACAGTAGCACTTCTTGTGAATGAACACAAAGGCTTATACCAACTTACTTTGGTTGCTGGAAAAAGGGCCTGCAAGGGTCAGCTAGAGGTCATATTACATTAGCAGAAGTCTTACTTTTTATTTCCTGATGTAACAGTGACTTAGCAAAGATTGGCTGCTTTATGGTTCGTTATAGTGATTAGAGTGAGTTTGAGACAGCTGTAGAGGGGTAACTGTGTCTCTACCGCCTCCTCAAACTGCATTTTGTTTAGGTCAGCTGCTGTGGGGGAACTGGGAGCTCCTTGTGGAAGTGTATGGAGGAGTCATTCCAGCTGGTACTTAGGTGAAAAATCCAACACAATAACAGTGTCTCAAAGCTAAGGCCGCAGTCAAAGCAGGGAAGACCTTTCTAGCACTGGTATACAAAGGCTCTTCTTCATGCACATAAGACGGCCTGAGCAGGCTGTGCTGACATGTCACAGCTTACTGATGTAGCAGTGTGACACGCTTAAATCGTATGTTTAAAAATGCTAAAATTATAATTTATACTTCATTACAATTCATTTACATTTCATTACAAACTGGTGGCGCAGCATCTTTCCACTCACGGCTGTTTCTGCCATTTTTCAAATTGTTTTAAGCTGTGCATGAAGGATTGTGGGAGACTGAAGGTCTCAAAGGGTACACCAGCTGTGTCCTTTGATTTCTCACAAAAGAAGGCTGCATTTCTCGGCTGCATCCAAAGGGTCCTACAAAATAGAATAGCCTTTAGTGATGAAGCAGCCAAGAAATGTAGCCTACCTCCCCTGCAGCCTAGGCTTTGAAACGCAGCTAATATAGATCTCCAATGAGCAGTTTCCCTACCGTTGCGAGGTAATCCCCAGTGATGCCTCAGACATCTGTGGCCAGGAGTCCAATTCTCAATGCTCTCTCAGCACGATGTTAACTGGTGTGGGTGTCTGCTAGCTGACAGTTAGTGTTCTCCTTCAGATGTGTTGAGCTGCATTAGCGGCAGTTCTAAAAGATGCATTGGCTGGCTTCACTTGTCTCAGAGGAAGTGTGTACTAGCCAATTAATCCAAAAATAGTCAATCAGTCAAGGCATTTTGGTGTATGAAGTTTGCTTCTTTAATTTTTCCCTGGAGCTACAAGGTTAATAAAGCTAAGTTATAGAAACTATACCTGACCAATTAGCATTGTAAACTGCATGCCTAAATCATCACATACTTGCTTCAAATTGTGTTGAGTTCTTCATAGATTTTCAGTAGGCTTTCTTATCTGGTTTCCTGCACTGTATAACACAGTGCTATGTATAATATTGAACAAAAGTATGGACTAAATATAGGTTTCACAGTATTCTTTGTAAGGGGAGTTTTTTTTGCTAACTGTTGCTTTAAAGTGCAGATTAAGAAGTGTCTATTGTGGCTTTAGAGCCAGCACGCTGTTAACCTCAGTGATTCTATTTTTATTTTATCTGTGTCCTCAGCTGACAACCATGTTTTGTGCTAGTAGCCGGATGCTAGGCCAGTTTCTGGTAATGAACATGTGGCTGCTTAGCTTGCAGCTCTCGCTGCTGATGCACCTTAACATAGGTTTTGGGCAGTAATTTGTTTTGGGCTGTTAGTTCCTTCAGCCCTTTTTTGCGCCGTGGTAACAAGGCCTGTAGTTCTGGCATCAGCAACACCAATTCACTGACTGCTAACCATGCACAGGATACTGAAAACAAGAATGGCCCTTACCCTACCTGAAGAAATGTGAAGTAAACAGCTGCTTCCTCTCTCTCTCGCTTGCTCAGCCCCAGCTATGTGCTGCTGCTGTCGGCTTTCTGCTTATTTCCCTGTCTTTGGCCTGGGTTAAGTGCAGCTACTGGGCAAGTTAGCAGTCAAGTTGACATGGTATATTTTGTAGCACTTCAGATTCTTTCACTGGGTATTTCTTATGGCGGCTTTGTGCTTATTCTCTGGTGCCTTTAAAAATGTTGTTTTTTAGCATGCACTAGCTATATTTAGCTTCTTCAAGTACTTGCTCCTGCACATGCTAACAGCACATTGTTAATGTATTCTGCTAAACCATTGTTCCGTCTTGATGCCACATGATAGCACATGACACCACATCCACTTGGGAGAAAGGGAACCCAGGTGGGCGTGCGTGTGTGTAGAGAGATAGAGAATGTTTTATTCCTTGAGGGTTTTGGCTCTTGAGACCTGTGGTTATCATCATTCACCCGAGAGAGAGGGAGAGAGAGAGGGAGAGAGAGAAATCACAGCATATACCACAAAAGGAGATAAATTATGATGTTACCGATAATCTTACCCAATTATCAACTTAATAAAGTTCAGCTGCTTGTGGAATTTTTAGCAGACCATCATGCATCTGCTTTAAAGGGACAGCATGCGAAAAATAGCATTTGCACAAATTGTAGCTAACATGTTTGGTGTCTTAGGTTTGCTTCTTTAGCTTTGCACTGGTGTCATAAGGCTAACGTAGCGAACAAGTATTGGCTTGTTAGTTACATTAACATTTGCAAAAACTGCACATCACATGCTTTCTTCAAACTGCATCTGGTTAAGTAATCTCAAATAGACCTATTCAAGTGGTTTTGGACAGTGTATGTAGTACAGTTACCTAACACGGTGATTTACTTAGCTTAAGAGTCCGGGATTCAGGATGACTGTTTTAGCTGTGCTACAGTTTGTAGCAAACATGTCTCAGTTCATGAACTACAGTTATAGTGTTTAATTCCAAAATTTTCTAGATCCATTTGTAACAATTTTGGATTTTACAAGTTTTTAAAAAGAATAACAGCTGATGTGTAATAGAAAGAACACTTTTTATTTATCTAATTAAAGTGGTGTTAATCAGAATATAGATTTGATGTTTTTCTGTGTGTGTAAAGCCCACTCCCAACAATGTATATCATGGAAAAAAATTGGTGGTCTTTTAATGTGTTTTGGCAAACATAGTTCTCTGCCACTCTTTGCCACAAAACAATACAACTGCCCTCATATGTCTCTTGTCCGTCTAGCAAATATTTGCTGTCCTGTATAAGGCTGAGAACCATTCATATGATATATATACACACACACACACACACACACACACATATAAGGTTTAAGTGTCCTCCTTTGCGTTGTGTGGCAGGTCTTAAGCTGGGGATGGAGCGGGATGCTTATGTAATGATCGCAGAGAAAGGAGAGAAGCTGTACCACATGATGATGACCAAGAGCCGCCATCTTATCAAAGACAGACGGAGGAAGCTCAGCATTGTGCCCAAGTGCTTCCTGGGAAAGTAAGTCCAACTTCTACACAGTTTGAGTGTGTTTTCAGGTGATAACTGCTAGATTGTTTGAGGCACTAATGTGTAGTGAATTTTTACATTTTAGTCAGAAATGTTTAATTTTAGTTGCATCTGCATCTTCCCAACAGATATTTGTCTCTCTCTGGATGTAAAGTGCTATGAAAAAGTATTCGCCCCTTCTTGATTTTCTCTATTTATACGTATTTGTCACATTGAAAGTTTTTAGATCTTTAAACAATATCAAAGAGAACTTTTTAAAACACAATACATTTTTTAAAAATATTATTTAATTAATTCAAGAAGCAAAGACATCTGACATGTGAAGTACCCATGTGAAAAGTAATTGACCCTTAAAATAAATGTACTTGTTCCATGACCTTTAGCAGCAGTAACTGCAACCATCACTTCCTCATCACTTCATTTGAAATCAGCCTTTTACATCATTGTGGAGGAATTTGAGCCCACTCTTCTGTGCAGAAATGCTTTAATTCAGATATGTTGGTAGGTTATTGAACATGAACAGCTCATTTAACGTCTTGCCGCAGCATCTCTATTGAGTTTGACAAGGCCGTTCCAAAACAATGATTTTGTTTCTTTTCTTTTAAGGTTTCAGATGGATTTGCTTTTGTGTCTTGGATGATTATCTTGCTGTGTAACCCAGTTATGTTTCAGCTTCAGCTCATAGATAGATGAACAGACACTGGGCCTCATTCACCAATATCTTCCTAAGTTTTTTCTTGATTTTGTTCATGAGGAAGGTCCTAAGAAAAAAGTCTGTGTCAGATTCATGGCGTGTTCTTAAACCGCAGAATTGTTCACACCTTTGTGCTCTTGAGTGTGTGTAGATTCTGTTCTTACCTAAGAACAAATCCCAAATAAGAAAACATTTTTGAATGTCAGAATCTTTGCAAGAAACTGCGCAAGTGGATTTGAAGAAATTTCTTATCAAGAACAGTTGGTGAATGAGGCCCGCTGTCCTTATGAATTCTCAGATACAGAACAGAATTCCTGGCTCAATAAGTGAGGCTACTTTCTAAGTGTGGACCCTGTTATTGGGAGAGTTCGATCTACGGCACTGCTACAGCTAGCCGGCTGTGTTCAAACAGCTGAATCTCATTATCAGTAGAATTTGGTTAATTTGCCTGTTGAGTAACTAGGGAGTGGTCACATTTTTTTGCAAGGGTGATTTGCATGTTGGATAACTTTGCTGCTTGAAATAATGAAATAGTATTAAAATTTGTGTTTTGATTTTGGTAAGGATTTTTGTCTTATTACAATTTGTTTACAGATCTAAAAGCATTCACTGTGGCAAATATGCAATGATGAATGAGAAAATGATAGAGAAAATCTTTTTTACGGCAGTGTAATGTTTTTCAGTCTGCTTTTTAAAGGTCTTTAAGTCTTCCTGATGGTCTCTTGCAAGTCAGCTTACATCTGAGAGGCCTCCTTAGTGAACACTTACACACAATGCTTGTAAATGCTTTCCCAAGCTCAGTGCCAAGCACCCCATCAGACACAGGCATTCCCAGCAAACATCCTTCATTAGAGAAAATTCACCATTCAGTACTGCTCACCATCTCTCTCTCACTCTCTCTCTCGCTCGCTCACTCGCTCTGTCTCTCTCTCTCTCTGTCTCTCTCTCTGCTGTACTCATTCTCACTCACTTTCTCGCACTCACAGTCTTTCAGCAACATGAATGAACAATGGAGGCTGTGCAACACCCATTAAACTCCCAAACTCTGTGTGTGTGTTTGTCCTCTCCTCAAGTGTGTTTGTGTGTGATTGAGATTCCTCACAGCAATTAAAATTCCCCCTTTACTCTGACTGAGAGCAAAAAAAGACAAATTCTTCCCTTCTTCTGCCTAAGTTCAGGGAGTGAGTCTAAGCAGAAGAACACAGAAAAAGGGAGCTGATCCGTTCAATGTTTGACAGATACAAAACAACTGTCTATCCACTTTTATCATTTTAATTCATATCTTATTATAATGTGTGTTGTAAAATGTGTATTGTTATGTATGAATTGTTTTATTCTACCACGTCATGTACTTGTATAAAATATTGTCTGGCATTCATGAAAAGTGCTATGAAAAAGCAGAGGCCACAGCTGGGCTCCTGCAGGCATTGTAGTCCACACTGACTAGATAGATTTCATGTGTGTAACTCACAGCAAGATTCTCTCCACACTTCAGCACTACTTCATCAGGTGCAGGCAGCTCTCAGTGCTGTTGCCTGAGCGTCACAGACCTTTTAACAGCACCAGTCACTCCAGAGACTTTAGCACACCAATCACTAGTAGATGTACAGTCATACGAATTCACACACATACTAATGGGTGTGTTGTTGTTTCACTGTTTGTTTCTCTCTCTCTGTGACTTTCTCTCTGTTTCATAGAGAAACAGGGTAAGAGAGAATCTATTTAATAGACCACCTCTCTTTGTTTCATAAGCTCTCTTTCTCTGTTTCATAGACTCTCTATCTCTGTTCTAAAGACTCACTGTTACATAGACTTGCCTTCACTCTGCTTAATAAACTGTTTCAAAAATCTGTTTTATAGACTCTCTCTCTCTATTTCATAGACTCTCTCTCTATTTCATAGACTCTTTCTCTGTAAACTCTCTTTTATACGCTTTCTGTTTCATACACTTTCTATTTTTCATACACTATCCTTCTCAGTTTCACAGATTAGACTGTCTCTCTCTGCGTTTCATAGACTCCCTTACTCTCTTTCATTGACTCTCTTGCTCTCCATTTCATAGTCTTTCTCTGTTTCATAGACTCTTTCTTTCTATGTTACATAGACTCCCTTTATCTTTTATTGACTCTTTCTATTTGTTTCATAGTCTTTGTGTGTTTCATAGACTCTTTTTGTCCCTATTTCATGGAATCTCCTTCTGGTTCATAGACTGCCTCTATTTTATAGACTCTTCTTCTGTTTCATAGACCCTCCTTCTGTTTATAGACTCTTTCCTTCTGTTTCATACTCTTTCTCTCTGTTTCATAGACTCTCTTTCTCTCTGTTTCAAAGAATCTCTTTCTCTCTGTTTCATAGACTGTCTTTCTCTCTGTTTCATAGACTCTTTCTCTCTGTTTTTCATAGAATCTCTTTCTCTCTGTTTCATAGACTCTTTCTCTCTGTTTTTCATCGAATCTCTTTCTCTCTGTTTTACAGACTCTGTTTCATAGACTTTCTCTCTCTGTTTCGTCAACTCTGTTTCGTCAACTCTGCTTCGTCAACTCTGCTAGACTTGCTTTCTCTGTGCACAGACTCTGTCAGCTTCATAGACAATCTCTCTCTCTCTGCTTCTTGAACACTCTCTTTCTGTTTCACATACTCTATCTCTGCTTCGTAGACTCTCTGTCTATCTTCTTTGTTTCTTACATGGACTTGCTCTGTTTTTTTCATTGTGCTATCTTTTTTCTGTTACACTCTCACAATCTCTTTTGTGTTACAAAGACTCTCTCTCTCTCTCTCTCTCTCTCTCTCTCTCTTTCTCTCTCTCTCTCTCTCTCTCTCTCTCTCTCTCTGTTGAGGTGATTTACGGGAATGAGTATTGCCCCCCCCCCCAATGTTGTCCTGATAACATTGTTATTTTTAACTGCTGCTGTGAAAAAGGTCTTTTATTAGCAGTGATGATAACATGACCAAACTTAGAGTGTCTTAGAGAAACACACACAGCTTCTGTTACTTGAATGCAAGTTTCTGACCCACAAATCTGTAATCTACCTCTATACTGCGGTAACGCTTTATCAGTCTCCTGCTCTAACACGCACACGAATAGCTGCATATAGATTTTCTCTCATATACACCTTTGCCCCCATATGAGACAAATGTGTGTGCATGTGTGCATTAGCTGTGACGAATATTAATGAGTTACATAAACACTAATTAATTCCCTCCAGGGATGCCTGTCTCTCTCCCCTGCCAATCTGAGTTAAAGGCTTACGTAAGCGCAGCAGACTCGCTGTCTTCTTCTCTCCTTTTGGATTCAGTGGCCTCTCCCATGTGCATCACTGCCCTTCACGTCACTTGGACTCCATGGGGACAGTTCTGGAGGACTGTCCGCGATTATAGCTTTGTAACTCCCCCAAAAGAACTGCCTCATGTTGTTAAAAGCATGAGTGAATTTTATATCATGTAGTTTTGTTTATTGCTAATGTTAGCTCCATCCAAATCTGCCATGTTGGTAATATTTATGTGCTGCGTTCTATCACTTCAGTAAAGATTCTGTCGCCATTTATAAAACAAACCGTAGAAGTTACCCCTGGGTATTTCAATCCCATGCAGATCAACATGTCTCTAAATGTTTGATCATACCCTGTGGGGAAATGTTTTCTTAAGTGTGAGGGCACTCCCTCCCTCCCTCATTTTAAGTGGAGAAATTTAATCTATTAACATGGAACTTGTGAACTGACTGTAGATGAGTTATCAGCAGCAACCAAACCCCCTGTGCCCTGTACCTGACAAAACGACCCCAACAAACAGCAGTCTGGTGCAGTACACCCAGAGCTTCAGGCAGGAAAAAATGGATATTCTGGTCTTTTTGGCTAAAAAGAAACAGGCCTGGAGATGAATTTATAGAAAATTTATAGAAAATAATTATTAGTCAGAAAAATTGCAATTAAATATTTTGCCCAAATTGTTTAGCCATTCCCACTTTCATTATTTATTCCAGAATTCTTATGTAAAGTTGCGCAAATCGATCCAAAACATTGCAGACATTCATTAGTAAAATTAAACTGCCTCACTTCCCCCTGTAAAACTCATCTTGTCTAACTGGTATTACTGGTTGACTTCATCGTTTGTGTTTGCACGTTTTAGAATTTGTACTTTGCTTTTATTGTTCACATCTAATATTTGATGAATATTGTGCATCTGAAATCAAAAACTTCAAAATTTTAAGACTAACATTCTCAGAAACAGTCTAAAAATGTTAAGACTAAGATTCTCTGTAAATTGTGTATTTTATCACAGTTAATCACAATTAAATGCATTTATTGTTAAAGAGAATTTCTTTTCTTTTCCATCTTGTTATGACTATACATGTAAACAAGCATCATTGGAATGTGTTTGATACTCATTTAACATAATTTTATGTGCAAGTTCATGTTGAATTATGTGAATAAAGGGTAAACATGAATAGGGTGAATAGGCTTCTAATAGTTTTTCATAGTTTCTTTGATGTCCCTAAAGAGAACATGTGATTGTGTTTAGAATAGTAAGTACTGCTGCTTTGATCAAGTGTGTAGTATCTCTGTCTGAACAAAATCTCATATTCTTAAAAGTCAATAATCCAATACAATCCTGAAGTAAATCTAGTCCAGAGTGGCATACTCTCACACTGTGTGATGTGATGATATTAGCTGTGTGTGTTTCCTCCTGTTGTGTCGTAGAGTGTTTGAGTAGTTTGAGCATGTTAGCCCAGTTTAGATGCTCGTCTGAAGTGAAGTGCTCCAATTAAAGCAGCACATTTTAAAGTTCAGTAGTTTTTTTTAAAGAAAAATATCGACAAGTTCATACTTCTGGAGGACTGTTATCTTCTTTTATTGGCTTTTAGTAAAGCAAGACTCACTCACTCACTCACTCACTCACTCACTCACTCAGTCTCACATCATACACACAAACACACACACAGGCACAATCTCTCACATTTACTTAAAAGTGCTATAGCAATTTTCACATTATTTATTCTGGGCAAATTCACACTGTTTCTCACACATATTGGAGTCCTATTCACGTTCTCCCCAGGACTGCTGTCACCAACCCTGAACTGTGCCATCACTGAGGTTTCCTCATTGCTCTATTTTCAGTAAAAGCAGACACCAGTTTAAACCAGTTAAATAACATAACCAATCAAAGATTTGTTTAATCTTGATTGATTACTGTCATTAACAGTGATGTCATCATGAGCTGGATGTAATTAGCCGAGTCTGTTAAAGCTTGCAACGGCACAGCACCTTTGATCTTTCGGGTCCCTTTGATCCGTTAAGCCACTTTGATCTGAAGGTTTAGGAACTAAACCTTCTTGTGTTATCTGATACTCTGTAAATACATAAAACGTTAGGTGCCAATGCTGCGCCACAGGTGGCAGTATCTCAGAGTGATAGTTGGGCAGAATTCTAATTTACACAATTTCCTCCTTACATCATATGTCTATCAGCCAAAACATGTTTAACTTTTAGAGTTTTGCACTGGAGCCATGAGGCTAATGTACCTAATGTCACAGAAGCTTAAACCCGACGAGTCAGCATCAGATTACATGCCTTAGTGATCACACACTTGCCTGAAATTGGGTTGAGCTGTTAAGTGATCTCTAATAGACTTAGTATGTGGTTTGACATGTTATTGTTGACATGCTGTTATTTATAAAAATGGAGAAAATTGTGAAAAAAAGCAAACTTGAAACACCAAACATGTCTTGGCTAAACAGCTAGGAAGAACTAGAAGAATTTTGAGAAATACCTGTCTGATAGCTGCCAAAATTGCAGATAATGTTGCTATGGGAACACAAGAAGATGATCGAAAGCACATTTCTACTTGAATCTTTTAACTATATAAAATATCCATGGTACATTATACCGGACATTAGGTTGTGTCCTGCCATTTCCTACTTCTGGAGTGTAGTCGGGAAAATCTAAATTAGATTTTCTCATTGAACTATCACTTTACAGCAATGCTGTTGGAGTTTTTAAACACTGTATCCACTCACTGTCCACTCTATTAAACACTCCTACCTTGTCAGCCCACCTTGTAGATGTAAAGTCAGAGACAATAGCTCATCTGCTGCTGCACAGTTTGTGTTGGTCATCTTCTAGTCCTTCATCAGTGGTCACAGGACAAAGTGCACCTATATAGTAAGTGGAGCTGATAAAATGGACAGTAAGTGTAGAAACATGGAGGTGGTCATAATGTTATGCCTGATCGGTGTATACGTATATGTGGTGTTCTGTGGGGGCTAATGTGGAATTTGTGTGTGTGTGTGTGTAACCAGTGAGTTTGTAGCCTGGCTGTTGGAGACGGGAGAGATCAGTAAACCAGAGGAGGGTATCAATTTGGGTCAAGCACTGCTGGAGAACGGCCTCATCCACCATGGTAAGAAATCCCTGCTTTCTCTTTCTCCAGCTTTTTATGATATAACACTGCCGTCTCTCTCTCTCTCTCTCTCTCTCTCTCTCTCTCTCTCTCTCTCTCTCTCTCTATCTCTATCTCTCTATCTCTATTTCTCTCTCTCTTTCTTTCTCTCTCTCTCTCTCTCTCTCTCAATGAATGTCATTCTTTTGTGTATTTAATTACAGTTAATTACATTTGTCTTATTTCCTGTAATTTATTTTTATTAAAAGAAGTGCATTTTGTCATAGCTGTATCAGTGGACAAAAATAAGCTTAATCAGAAAGCATGTATTCATGGTCATTTTCAGAAATTTCGTTTCAATGACCAGTGACTCCTCTGTGACTGTAGCCTCTCATTCTCAAACTACCATTATTAGTTTGCTGTATGTCGATTTATCCATGAGCACTGTTGGGCGTAAGCTGCCGAATAACCGATACTGCTGCATCAGCAGTGTGTTTTGCTTGTAAATGATACACGGACTCAACGTACTTCAGGTATAAACAAATTTACAACATTACGTTAGCTGGAAATAACTGTAATCGAGAGAGCCATTTAACTTGGAACTTGCCACTTAAAAGCTGTATAGGAACGAGGGGGCTACAGTTGCCACAACGTGAGGGTGGCAGGGCTTTAGGGTGGAACTATTGGTAGAGTGACACTGATTTAAAAAATAGTACCATTATTAATTTATTGCGTTAATGAGTTAATTTTAACACTGCTATTAATTATGTCATTACAGCATTAATTACGTAGTTACATAATTATATTTACATTCGATTTACATTCTGTATTGACAGGTTTAAGTTGCCACCTTCTTTTCACTTGAATAAACAATGATAAAAACATTGACAAAATGTAAAGGCTGTTAATTACTTCTTATCAAATCGATATCAATGCGTCCCGTTTACTGTAATATGGATTGAAAGTTTAGAACCCACACTTTCGGCTAAATTTCTCTGCATCTTTCAATGAAGTACAAGTGAGAAATAATTTTTAAAAATTAAAATGCTATCGCCAGTGACAACTGCAAGGGTTTAAACAAATTTTTGATTGTGTTGCTTCATCAGTCTTTTCTCCGGCTGTTTGACATCAGAGATTGAGACTGAAAGCTAAACAGAAAAGAAAAATAGAATATTTGTCAGATTTGTAGACTCTCCCAAAGCATAGGCTTGTATTTTATGACTGTTACCTGAGCTTATCATATGATTTGCTGTCAGTGCTAGCAAGTGGGCGAGTGGTGACGGAGAACTACATGGCCATGAATAATGGATGAAATGAAGTGTTTACCTTATCCCAAGCCTGAGCCAGGGATAATAACATACCCCTGCACCGACATCTATTCAGCAGGAAAGGGGGACTGGTCCATATGTGTGGGGTAGAGCTACAACTCTTGCAGTTCTGTGAAATGCTGCTTATTCCGAATGGGATTGGAGAGAATTATTCTTGTCAAACAACAAAGCCGTAATATCAGTAAGTGGCCCTGGTGGCAGGGATTCAGGAGACATGCAAAGTCACATTGACACTGCTGTTAAACTGAGGTGTTATTGACTTACATGGATTTGTAAAGTGGTATAAATATGATGGTTATGTTTGTATTCATTTTTCAAATGGGCCTTACATTGTAAGGTGTGGGTGGTCTAAAAGCAAATCAACAAATGCATGCACCTTTTGTATAATGACAGAATAGAGCGGCAGATATAAAAGAAGACCCTGTTGTTCTCAGCGTAAGAGGTTTTTTGGCTCTTTTGTAGTGTCGGATAAGCACCAGTTCAAGAATGAGCAGGTGTTGTATCGGTTCCGCTATGACGACGGCACCTACAAAGCGAGGAGCGAGATGGAGGATATCGTATCGAAGGTATTACTTCAAACTACACCTGCACACAAAACATGAGCTGCCCTTTACATTGTGTCAACATTTCATGAAGAATGAACTAAGAGGAATGGTCCATTACTTAAATTAATTGTAACAAGATTTAATTTCAAGAAAGTTTAATAGTTACCCTTGGTCTGTAAAGTTGTCATTTTGGAGAGTTTTCTAACATAATACATGTTTTTTTCTTCTCTCACATACGTATTTTTGTGTATTTAAATCGAAAATTCAGCATTTTAAAGGACCATTATTCCAACACTCACCAAAAAGTGTTTTTTCAAGAATTTGTTTTTTGTTTGTTTCTTTGTTTTTATGAATATTGCTTTCAAGTAACATTTGGTACAAAGATTTTTGCTCTGTATACTAGAAGTCATTGAGTTATGTGTTAAAATTGGTCTTTTACAACCACAAACATTAATAGTTGTGAGTTGTGAATGAGCGTTTTAACATATTCGCCGAAGACTTTGAGCATAAAACCAATATTTACCTGTTAGCTTGCTGGCTAGCATTGGCTTTAATTACCCATGTAACAGCATCCAGGAGCTCAACTTTCATAGAAAGTAATGGAAACGGATGCATTAGTACTCCCAACATTCAGACAGTGGCACAGTAAAATAGCACAGTTGTTGGAGAATATTGCCTCACTGCATTGGCAATATTAGAGTTTCTTACAGTGCCCTGTGGAAGCCTAAAGGACATCACGTTTGGACCGTATTTTACTTTAAAAGCCACCAAAAGCATTAAAAATCACTGGAATATTCCTCTAAGGAACAGCCACTCAGTGTGCATGGTCTGATATAAAAATTTTGGCTGGTCTATCAAGTGAAAGTGCAGTATGTGAGAATGACACTGTTCTTGTTTCTTTACAGGGTGTGAGACTCTACTGTCGCCTCCACAGTCTGTTCACACCTGTAATCAAGTAAGTACCGCCCATCAGTCCATTGTCAAACTTCCATGACTTACCCTGATGTCCAGCAGGGTTTCTGCTGATAAGACCAGAGTTCACAAAGGCCACTTTACTGTGTGGAAGAAAAGCCATTCATGACATTGTTGCACCACATTGCTCATTAATGATTGTAAAACCACAGGTATTCATAGGATGCACAGGACTTTTATCAGCACTCTCTGCCTGGATGACTGTGTGTACCTTTAGTTAAAAAAACACTGAATTCTGTTGCTGGCAGCCTGTTTTCATCAAATTTACTTAGAACAATATAAAAATGTGTTTGACAAGTTTCTTTGAAGAATTTCATGTCTAGCTAGATAGCGTACGGATTTTCTTTTGTTTGGCCTTCATGATCGCAGTTAAAGGGGCGTTCAGGCCTAAGACTACAATTTAATATTTATTTGTCTGTGTAGTTTGTCCGCGTCATGTAGCATTTTGTAAGACAACGTTGCAACCCAATTTTGTATCCTTGTTGCATTTCTATCCATCATTGTTCTTTCACTACAATACCCAGCATGCATTAATGCATCACACCAATATGTCAAACAACCTTTGAGAATCTCCTTCACCGCAAAATGAAAAAATCATGTAACACGCATATAGAGTCTAATAAATACAGACATGAAATTCAGCATCCTAGCAGTAACATTTCCTATCTGGCTTCCTTCTGTATTGGCCAGCCCTCATGTATCTGCCTCAAAGAGCTTGTAGTTTTTCAAACGTTCCTCCCACCTTCAAGGTACATCATCAGAAGGGGGTTTTCTAAGCCTTTAATCCCAGAAAATCTCACTCTTTTAACTATTGTGGCACAACTGTAGGAGGCAAGTAGGCATGTTTACAGCAAATGTAGTGATGATCTCCCAAGATGATGGCACAGAAATGAAGTGACTTGTATTACATTTTAATTATATTCTTCCTGCCAGAAACGTTTCCACTAGTTTCTTGATTTATTTCATTTATCAGCACACATTTTATCTGCTAAGTTAAATGAAAAGCAAAAAATGTTCAGTTGATGTTTGATAATGTCCATTTTCATTGCTTATATTGTCAAATGTTTTTAAGGCATTAATCTTTTTTTCAATACATGTGTTTTGATACGTATTCTAGAATAAAATGAACATGAATTTGCTGTCCTTTTACTTATATATTGTACACAAAACATGACAGGAAGCTCCAGATGTAAAGTGTCAGTGCCTTATCACTGCTGTATAGCACTGGTAAACTAGTGTTTTGGAATGTGTACAGCGTGGGTCTGAGGTGATGCTGCTTCTGCCGATGTTTGGCTGTGTATTGTTTTTCGTGTCATGTCTGCACGTCATTTCTGTTCTCATGTTTACCTCTATTGTGTTTTTGCTGTTTGCAACAGTAGGCTGTCTTCAGTCTTCCTCTTTAAATCCAGCGCTGTGTTTCTCGCTGTAGTTTTCTTTTAGCACTTCCTGTCTGACTGGCTCTGAGGGCTGGTGATAAAGGCTGTGTAGTAGTGGACTAATCAGCTTTGTTAGTGGCTTATCGTTGAGGGAAACGCCCCGGCCTTTGTGTCCGTGTGGTCAGATTCAGTGTGGTCAGATTCAAGCACGCATACAGGAACGTCCAAAACTTTCCGTTCATCGCATGTCAGCCTTGTGCCCTTAAGTGTTTCCTAATGTGCTTATCTGCCTTTCTGTCCAGAGAGCTGCATTTTCTCTATTTATTTGTCTCACTGCCATCTCTCTCTCTCTCTCTCTCTCTCTCTCTCTCTCCTCTCTCTCTCTCTCTCTCTCTCTCAAATACATACTTTTGCTCTTCTGCTTTTTCTAACTCTGTTTCTCTTTCCCTCTTTTCTCTTTTCTCTCTCTCTTTTATCACTCTGAAACTTTCTCTCTCTTGCCCTTTCCCTCTGCCTCTCTCTGTCTCAGTCACACTTTCTCGTTCTTTTTCTCTCTCACAGACGCTCTCTTTTCTCTTTCTCTCCCTTTTTTCATACACTCACACACTCTCTTTCTCTCTCTTATTCTTATTCACACTCAGACAAGGGCAATTTGAATAAACCATTTTTGAATTGTCTAAAATAGTAACTGCTTTATGTGCTGCATAGATTTATCGCCATGTTTCTGCTACAAGAAAGAAGGCAAAAAAAGGATAAAAATGAAAGAGTAGCACACTTCCCCTGAGCTTTGTGTGTGTGCACGCTCATGTCTTTTCTCCTCCATGCAGAGATCGAGATCACCACCTGAAGACGTTTAAGTCAGTGCTGCCAGCCAGCAAACTGGTGGATTGGCTTCTGTCACAGGTAGGATAATGCCAAGCACTAACACACACACACACACATGTACCTGTAGAGAGAGGACCAATAATATATGATTTCTGCACACCCCACCACAACCACTGTACCCCCATAGTCTCTCACATAGTTTTTCAGCTTATTCATTTAAATACCCAAGACAGTTTCCCCTTATTGTAAATACAGTCAGCCAGCACATGTTTGTTGTCTGAAGTTTGCTTCTTTAGCTATGAGGTTAACATAGCTAACAGCTAATGGTAACTTCTGTCCAACCAAGTAACATTGTGAAAATTGCACACTGGCAACTGATTGATGTACTGTAATTTATAGAGCTGCAGGGGTGGAGCCAGAACTTTCAAAATTGGGTGGCCAAGTTAGAGCCATTAATTTTATTAGGGTGACAAACTACTAAGGAAAAAAAATAATACAACAATGGTTGATAATGTTCCCCTCTGCATATATTAGGCCTGTATTACTAAAACATGATGCATTGAATTAACTTTATAACATTTCTTGTAGCTAGGGCATAGAGGGTACTCAATTAAGCTGCCCTATTAAAGGCTAATCACAAGTCTATGCAGACAGCAAAGTATAAGGTACCAATGCAGGGGAAAAAATCTGTGACTAAATGACAGGCTAACCCACTGTAGCATTAGCACAAACATAGCCTATATTTAGCCCTGGATTTTCCTGAAATAGAATCTAACCTGCATCATTAAACACATGTGTTCTGCTGTAAAAAAACAATTAGCTGACATGACAAATGTTTACAGCTGACAGCTGATTTTTGTTATCTTACTGTTGAATAGTATGCTTCATTATGTGAAAAATATTGTTTGTTTTGTTCTCTGTTCCATTTCTTATCTCTGAACATTTTCAATATCTTCAGTTACAGTGATGTGATCCACATACAGCACAATATGTTGTAAAACAAAGATACTTTACTGTATTGATGTGAATTTTATATAGGTGCTTTTTTCTGTATGTATTTTACAGTAGAACACCAGTGTTAGCTGCTTCATTAAAAAAATCAATTGACCATTCACTCACCTGTTTGCTCACCGAAGTAGCCTATCACATATTGACGATGTCTTTGTATAACTGATGTGGACAGAAGGGCCACCCTTTGGCTATGCAGAAAAGTATTGCATAGTTAAAAAAAGTTTAGTTAAAGATAGAATTTCTCTGTGCTTTTGTCCATTTCTGTAAATAACAGTTTGACTACAGAAACAAGTCTATTTGAAATTAAAGGGGAATTTCACTTATTTGAAAAAAAAACCCAAATAATTGAATGGTAGAGATGCAAACAAACTCGTTCAGAGTGGTTTGATGTGAAATGGTTAATTGCAGTGATATTTACCGACTTAGATGTCTCTACAGCGGTTCTGATGGGAACCAGGGGTCGCAATATCCCATAACTCAAATATAGCCATTTTGTTTACTGTCCAAAACTACCAGTGAACCCATGTTTCTTCTTTTTATACGTAATGTTGATGATAGTAAAATAGTGGTAAATCAAAAATTATAAGTTTTCTTTGGGTTCTATTTTGCCATACAGTTCCCTGCGTGTACCTCTCCACCATGATTAGATTTTAATTAAATACATTTCAGGCCAAAATCTTAAAAATGCTATAATACAGTCTCAGAGATCAGACCATGTATACATAACCATTTCATATAATAACTTACTGTGAGGAAGATTTTAGGAACATTAAATTGTTCAGATGTCCGGTTCCCATCCACTGTGAATCATTCTGACTCTGCAAGTTTCTCTCAAATGGCACATTCCAAGTCAAACCACTCTGAATGACTGTTTACATCTTACATATTTAAATTTTACAAATCTGTGGATTTCCCTTTTAAGTGTAAGGCTGTAAGTTCCCATTACTTGTTAGCTCCATAGTTCTAATGAAAAACTAGAGAAGCAAAAGTGTGACTACATTTGTGGTTAAAGGAAAGTTTTCAAAAAACTGTGATTGAATTGATCTGGTAAAGCATTGGGTTTTACTTTTATTTTTATCTAATCTGTGTTGTATACTTCTTCTGTCAGGGAGACTCTGCTACTCGGGAGGATGCTGTCACACTCGGGGTCGGCCTTTGCAACAATGGGTTCATGCACCATGGTAAAGTCTATCAGTTCTGACTTGCAGTTTTAGTTTAAGTGAACGTCACAAAGGGGATGAAAATCATCATTCCAGAGTGACCTGCTGATTTTGCCATAAACAGAATTTGCACTCTTCCTTGGTTTGCCATGTTTGCTGTTGCAACACGTCTGCTGTCTGGGTCAAGAGAATGACCCATGGCTGTGTTTGAGTGTGTAATGTGTGTGTGATTGCGACTCCATGTGGCACTGTTTCAGTGTATTAAAAAGTCCTATGGTAGTGGAGTGTTAATACGCTATATTTTTGTTGTAGTTTATGACACATATGACACTTGTGACACTTGTTCAGACTTATATACCAAAACAGTCATAATTTATTTTTACATGACCACTTTACAACCACTGTTTATCCCTTAAAATTAAAGTCTGCATGAACTAGAAGTCATAACCCTTTTTTCCTTCCGTACTGTTACATATTCCTGAGTGAAATGCGGCATAAAGGAGAATCTATTTTTTTAATCTATTTTTCCCTACCCACTGGTGCATAGTGATGTAATCAAAAATCAGAAAACGTTTTAGAGGCAAGCAAAAGTCATTAAACTTAAATCGAAGATTTAGGAAAACAAATGATGTGATATTGTGCATCTTGCTAAATAAAAACTAACAAGGTAAAAAAAAAAAAGCCAGTTGATGTCAGGTTGATATGTATTTGAACTCTAATTGGCTGCCCTGTGTTGTGCCTCATTCAAAAAGCAATCTGGGCTGAAACACGCTTTATAACTTCAGTCTGAATGGGGGGAGCTAAACGGCTGACTAAGTAGATATATGATGTATTGATTTGTGTGACATTGCAATAATGATGAATTTGAGATGAGCTGTTTTTCTGCTTAGTTTCCTTATATGGAGTTTGTAGGCTGAGGAATTTATAATGTTTGCGTATTACAGGACTGTGCAAAAGTCAGTGACCACCCTTCATTGATTTCATGTCTTTTTTTTAATTTTTTTGTTTTTTATTGCACTCTATTCAGTATTAACAATCATACATTTACATCTCACACAGCAGGCCAACATACAAAGGATTTTAAGAAAGATTTTCTGCGTAAGTCCACAGTGGGGCCCAAAGTTTCCAGAATTTGTCCATCTGGTGACGTAGATCATAGGTCAGTTTTTCCAGGGGAAGCAGAGTTGCAGCTTGGGAAAGCCACTGCTCAATAGATGGAGAAGAGGGGCTGGCCCATCGAATTTGGATACATTTTTTTGCCAGAAATGAAAACATTAGAAACAAAAATTTGCCATCAGTATCAAAAATATGTTCTGCTCTCATTCCCAAAAGATACAGGGCAGGGGATTTCTGAAATCGTGTCTGAAAGATATTTTCTACCGTGATGTGTACTCTATCCCAGAAAATGCCAATTTTTTTACACTGCCAAAAGGCATGAAAAAATGTTCCTTTTTCAGTTTTACATTTAAAACACAAATTAGATCTGTCTGGACATTGATTTCAGTTCTATTCAAAACGGTCATTAGGTTGAAGTTATTTATTTTTCAGGAGATATTTTTTGGAAGATTAAATATAAGATCACTTACATAAGTGAACTATAAGTTCACTTACATAAGGAGAAAGTCAAAGGGGAAAATAAGTGGGGAAAAAACAGGAGTTTCCAGAGTTGGTGCGGCCTGGTAGAGCATCAAAACCAACAGCGTCAGACAGTACTTAAAGCTTTCATCTTCAGAAGACAGGAGAAAATCAAGCTCCACTCTGAAAAATCCACAGGTGTTTCTTCCCCTGTGAGGAAACAACTCATTGCTGTGAGTCTGAAAGGATGTGTAGCTGTCAAGAATCTGTTACTGAGAAAAGAACATTTGCAAATTAAACATAGACACTGCCGGTGTTCTCAAAAAACAGTGGACTGACCACCCCAGAGTACAGACCTCAACATCATCGAATGTGTTTGGGATTACTTGGAGCGTGAGAAGCAAACAAGTCTCCCAAAACTAATGGAAACTTTAATAACACAATAAGAGCAGACACACTAAATGCTGAAAAAATTGATGATAAGTTGTTGAGGCTTCTGTGTAATTTTCTGTTATATATGTTTTCAGCTTGTTTCTTGATGCTAAAAAATGAATAACTTGTAGGATAGCAACATCAGTCATCAGCATAGGCCATTTTTCCTGGGAGTTAAATAAATGAGGGGTGGTCTCAGACTTTTGCACAGTACTAGGTATCAGACTCCTTTTTAAAATGTGAGAAATTTGGTTTCAAATAATGGCTTCTAGCCTAAAATGTCTGTGTTTTCAGTTAGTTATTTATTGTTTTATTTATTTAACCAGTGTAATCTCATTAGTGTCAATACCTGCTTTCCGGGAAGTTGTGAGTGCCAATTCTAATGTAGTTTTACAGCTTTTTCTACTTCAAGTGTATTGATTACTTTAGTGCTAAAGCAGGACCTTTTTAGTTTTCCCTAGAGGTGCTTGATGAACCCCTGAGGCTGCGTGCCTGGCAGAGGGCCAGAGTGTGTGTGTGTGTGTGTGTGTGTGTGTGTGTGTGTGTAAATGTGTCTGTTAGCAGATGTACCCAGCTGTTAGAACAGTATCTGGGGGTTGGACTGGAACAAACGCACTCAAAAGAAAAAGGCCTCACAGTGACACACACGCACTCCTTCAGTAAAAAGGACATGCAGACTTCACTACTTGTTCAGATCATTCACAAAACAAATCCCAGTGATGTTTTGCTTGGGAGCCCTGGAACAGCTCGTCCCTCCAAAATCTGTCTGCAAACATGTCTGTCACTTTCTCTTTTAGAGGAAAGTGTTACGTGGCTTATTTTCCACGAACAGCAAAGCTCCTGCCATGTAACGCTGGAGGAAAAACACAGGATAGCAACATCAGTCATCAGCCTAGGCCAGTGGAATTTATTCATTATCAAGTGATCTGATGCTACAATTGCGTATGTACACCTCAGCATTAATGATGCCTTTGCACCCCCATACCGTGACAGACACTGGTGTCACTCAGTCGTTTTAAACTTTTAATCTCCTCCTTCAGACAGCCTGTAATTGTTTTTAATTGAGTTTAACTTTTCCTTTCTCCTTTTTATTTAATTTATTTTTTCCAATCATGTTATTTTATTTTATTTGACTGATTAAAATCTTAATTAGATCTTAATTCTGTTAGTTTTTATTTATTTATTTAGTTTTTTTTATTTATTCATTCTTTCATTTTTTATTACTTTTATAATCCTTTTACTTGACTTTTTTGAATTCTGGTTTTCCATTTTCATCCTTTTATGTTGAAATTTTATTCATTGGTTTATTATCTTGGTTTAATTTTATTTTTCCCCTTTATAATTAAATCTTAATTGTTCTCTTAATTTTTTTGCCCATTTATCTTGTTTGATTTTGTTTGATTTTACTGTTTTTGTTCATGTAGTTCTGTTCATTTTAGTTTAACCTGATTAAATTCCATTTAAATTTCTTTTTCAGTCCCTTGCACTGTAAATGCTCAGCTACGTTAAAATGAAAAAATAAAGGTTAATTGATTGATTGTTTTTGAACTTAGTAACAATCAAGATGTTCCTTTTCCTCTTTGTCCCAGAGAAGACAATGTCCATTATTTCCAAAAACAATCTAAAGGGTTGACTTTGCAGACCACAGCACATGTTTACGCTTTGTGTCAGTCCTTCTCAGATCAGCTGTAGCCCAGAGAAGTCAGCAGAGTTTCTAGATATTGTTGATATATGGCTTCACTTTGCACTGCCCTGTCTTAACTTGCATTTGTAGATTTACTGATATGTTTTTTGCTTTTTTGCTCTTTTTTTTTTCTATTCTGCTGCAGTTTTGGAGAAAAGCGAGTTTAAGGACGAATCCCAGTTTTTCCGCTTCTATGCTGATGAAGAGACAGAGGGCACCAGCACCAAGAGCAAGCAGCTCCGCAATGACTTCAAACTCATCGAGAACATCCTCGTCAAGTCCTTACTGGTTGGTACATCATATGCACATGTAGGCATAGACTACCCAGCAGCTCAAACTCTAGTTATGTTCACATTATATTGCTTCAAAGGTCATCGGTGTGCTTTTTTGGGGGTCGGGTCATGTTCGGATTTTGCACTTGACTGCCTGAAAAGCCGGGTGTAAACACACCCAGGTTGCTTTGTGATCAGGTCACTCAAACCACATGCAGTAAATGGAATGCATATTTGATATACAATTATGTGAGCATAAGTGCATCTGCCTCATGCTAACTAGCAGGGGATAACAAAAAAAGTAAACTCAAGACGGAGGATGAGCAAGGCTGGAGTTCCCCAAACCAAGTGCCTTCTTGGACTCTTGGCCGATGAGCGTGTCCAAGCTAAACTTGTCAACTCACATTGTAATGCGGGGGAAAAGTAAACCAAAGTAAAACAAAAACAACACACATGTTGATGTTCTTATGTGGGAAAAGTAAATGGCATCTCATCTGGTCAAACTGAGGACAGATGGAATCCGGAACCTGGCTAAAGTATATCCAGACACAGTCCAGACATGAAACACATGCTATTGCAAGGTGTAAACAGGCTCAATGTGACACAGATTTGATTTTCTTTCAGAACTGTGTGAACAACAGTCAGATGTGTTTTTTAACTAGATTTGTGCCAGTTTCATGTGTGGTCTTAACTCAGTTACATATCTGCAGCGTGGCCATGCGACTGTACTGAGATGTTTTTATTGTTTGTTTTATTTGTTTTTGTTGTTTTTTGCATCATGCTTCAGGCTACGTGAATGTATCACTGTTGTCACTGTCCATAGATCATGCATGTGACTGATTTTGTAAATGTGCGCACACTTTTCAAGGATCAGACAAACGCAATTTTAATCAAGATAGAAAGATTGAATCTGAGCAAGAGATTGGAATTGAGCCATTAGGCTTGTAATGTGAACATAGCCTGTAAAACAAATAACGGATCCAAATCCACAGTTATTCAGAGATACAGCATGGAAACTATGTATCTCCATTGTTTTTGTAAGGGTTTGTTTGCAGGCTCACCTGCTCTCACTCTCCTGCGTCACACACATTGATTTCTCCAGCAGGTGCAGGTGCATTTAGGTACCTCTTCATCTACCAGCCTGATCAGCCTAATCACCCTGACCTTTACACATTACTCTTTCATCCCCTCAGCACAGACTGCTGCAAGAGATGATTAAACACATTCAGGTCTCTTCAGCTCTCTTTCCCCTCTCAACTAAAGCAAACACTTTCATTATGACCCTTGTTTTTACCATGTCAGTGGGCTTTAAGCACTGTAGGTGATTGAAAAGTAAAGAGTGGAAAATAAGGGGAAGTCCATTGAAATTCACCTATAATTTTCAATTTGATACATGTTCCATCTCCTGAGTAGCCTTGGTCGCTTTGCAGTTTACCCATGTTTGTTTTTGGCTGTCATAGATCCATCCTGAGGAGGAGGACTATGGATTTGAGATTGAGGAGAAGAACAAGGCCATTGTGGTGAAGAGTGTAACCCGGGGCTCCTATGCTGAGGTGAGGTCATAAACTGTATTCTTTAAAACTGTATACTATTTGGTCACCCGTGTGTGCATCACAATAAAAGATGTAGGCAAGCAAGATTGCATTTAGAGCCACACTCCTGAAGTTCCTCCCACCTGCAGATTGGAGATCAATCTGCTGCTTTTGGTTCAGTGAATCTCTTCAGAAGAAGGTGGTGTGTTAGATGTGGGTTGGAGCCAGACTCTTCAGGTAGGTAGATCTCCAGAGGGAGGGTTGACGATGACTGATTTAAAGTATAAGTGCAAAAAATTATGTGTTTGTGTTGGGTTCTATGGATGAGCTGGTTGAGGGATTTCCCGCTAGAGTGACTACATTCTACAGCCACGTCATCACTTCAAAACAAGTGACTATTTATACAGTTTTGTTGATGAAGCATCTGTGTTTACATCTGGACACAGTAACTAAGCTGAGTCAGGTGCTGATGTTCTGCAGCCATATTGTTTCTGGATAACTTTGTTCTAGCAGGGGGAACCCCTCAGGGCCTTCTAGGCCCTCAGAAAAGGTCTAACACTTTCTGGGATCTTATTAATATGTCTGTAATTTTTAGTTCATTTTTATGTAATAGAGTCAATCATGCATGTTATATTTAAACTCTGCAAGTATTGTAGTAATACTCTTATTTCATTGTTAAGTTTTGCTTGAAAACAACAGAGTTAAAGTCTTAAAACAGAAAATTACATGGATACAGCCAAGCAAGCCCTGCCATTGGACAGGCCTTCAGGAGCTGGATAGAGGGCCTTACATTTTAGATTAACCACCAATATAATTAGGAAGTGACAGTGGATTGAAATAATCATGTTTTGGTTTACAGTGGGTGGGACCAAGTTTCTTAAGGGGGGATAAAACGTCACTTTAGGCCTTTTGGATATGCTAGATCACTGACTCTCAATATGAGCCGTAGTTTTCCAGGTTTCAGTCACTTGTTAGAAATGCAAAACAGCAGCAGCCACAGTTCTTTCCTGAGTCTTTCGTGAGTCACTGTAAAGCTATGATATATAAGGTCAAATATATGTAACTGCCTATTGCAGTCTTCAAATAAAACATACAGAATGTCTTTTACAAACTTCAAATGTCACAATTCACCGCCACTTTTTATTGTGGAAAGATCAGTTATTACCATAAATTCATCTTTTAACCACACATTATCAGTGCACTTTTAGCGTATTTAGGAGACTTAGAAATAAAGGTGCTAAATGGATCCAAAAATGGTTCCTTGGTGCAATGCCTGGAAGAAGCACGTTTGGTTCCCTAAAGAACCTTTCATCTAATGGTTTCTTGAAGACCTGTTTTTGTAAATGAGATGTGAAGAACCATGTTAAAAGTTAAAGAACCTCTACATAGTGTAAAGGCTTTCCTAGAACCACACATCCAAGCCAAGAATTATTTAGGAATCTTTATTTTGTAGAGTGTAATTTCTACCATAAATGATGTGAATTTGTGGTAGTGATATTACTATATTATTATTATTATATTAGCTGTATCCTTTACACTATAACTTGTGGTTATGCTAAAACTGTACTGCTAATGATGGTAACAGAGGGAATCGGTGGGGCTTAACTGTAAATCTATTTGTGTCCTCGCACCTACGTCACTGGCCGCTCAGATGTGCAGCCAGTCAATCAGGCGCGGGTCACGCTTATTTAATTCACTCCTTCTCCAGCTCCTCTCTCACTTCTGCTGAGACAATTAGGCATGCCTCGTCACATTCTCCTCACAGTCCCCTCTTTATTTCTCCCTTTTCTGCTCTTTGTCCATCCTTCTTTCTTTCTGTCTATCAGTCCTCTACTCTCTTTGCTCTTTGTAGATTGCATGTTATCAGTCAAATTTGGATACACTTACTCACACTTACTCTCACGATCTCCTTGTTAAAAATCTTCTGTTTTAGAGTCTTCAGAGTATCCCACATTTATCTTGATGTAGCTTTTGCAAAATCTTGGCATGGGCCTGGGATGCTTTTCCAGTTGGATTGAAGAAGATACTCATATGTTTAGACCTTTTTGACTACTGAAAATAACTGTTGAATTGTAGAAACTGGGACTACATCTACCTGGATTAGCATTACAGAGATATGTAATTTTTATTTGTAGAGAGTAATGGTGGGCAATATGACTTTTTTTTCTTACCATGATAAACAATATGCTTCTCTGAGCATTATGTGGATATTGTCAGTCTTTAAAGAACACTGCCAACCGCACGTTTCATTACAAAACGAATATAATTATTCTTGTTTAATTGGATTGGGCACAGTATAATATGTGAAATGTTGAATAAAAAACATTGTACCCAGAAGTTTTGATGGCAGTTTTTTAAATGTGGCACTAGTAGTTCTGTATTTTTGTGTCAGAAGATCGTAATGCATATTGTGTATTGTGAAAATGTCGTCGTGATATGAATTTTTTTTGCCATATTGGCCATCCCTACTAGAGACTTAGAAAACACCTTGTATATTCACAGCCTTATATCTTGTAACTTTATGGGATAAGGAACATTGAATGGTATTGAATGCAACAAATATTGGTTAAAAATATCAAATCTAAACATCTGTCCAATACCAATATTTATTTTAAACAAATATCTGCTGATACCAATATGATTCCAAAATCATTGTATGAACTTTTGACTGGTACTACATTAAAGGTCAGCGAAGTCATTGAGGACCACTAATGACCTTTCTGCTGGCAGAATCAACTCAGATATTTTTAATTAATGTAATCAAAGATTAAAACTCAGTTTATCAGATAATCCATGAACCTGATCTCTCAGTGTGAGACATGTTGTGACTGTGTTGAGTTGCTAGTGTGCAATGAGAGGTTAAAGAGCCCCCTGCTGTGAAAGCAGTTTACACCTTTCCACAAAGAACTAAATATGTCACAAAGCTAAGAGCAGTAGTAACACCCATCCTTTAAAATCTCTTGGCTTATCCATGTTTAGGATTAAAATGGTGTAAATTTGGCATTTCACAGAACTGTTGCTAATGTAAAGGTGCTCTTCGTTCTAGTAGCTTTATTCTGCTCGTGATGCTTTTGCTGAAGGTGAAAGTAATATTTGCCATTCCTTAAGGTCCCCCAGTCTCTCTATCTCCAGCCCATTTTCTCTTCTATCTCCTCTATTCCCTTGCACTCCTCTCATCTCTCCTCAACAACAATGCCACTGTCTGTCTTCTCCAGGCAGGCTTTACCAGTAAGAGAGGAAAAAAGCACAGGCCAGTCCTAAGGGCGGAATGGACTAATCAAAAGACTATTGGAACGAGTCTGCTCGGGTCAGGAATACTAAATACTTCTGCGCAGAAGGAAAGGATTTGTTTCCACAAGCAACACGCAGCCACAGTGTCTCAGTGTGTGTGAGGGCATAGAGGCCTGCTTTATCCACAATTCCAGCCTTGCGTGGCTTATTGAAAGAGCTGATTTTAGTGATTTTTATACTGGCACCTGGCACAGAGACTTATTTAATGTTGCTAGGAGCTGTGAAGATGTGAGGGATGGATTGTGTTTGTGTGGAAAGAGATGTATGCTGTTTGACTGACATAATGCATTTTTTGACTAATATTTTTGACAGATATATGTATTACATAACAAATGATGTGATAGTAAGTGATAGTCAAATGCAAAGGTTTGAACACCCTGGTCAGATTACATATTTTGTTGATTTACGTAAAAATAACACATCCACTGCAGAGAACACAAATGTGGCATTTTTCTGCACATTTTAATGCACACTTTTGCATACGACTGAATACAGATTGTGTCAATTAAATTGAATTAAAAGTATTTACCAAATGATTAAAGGAATAATTTGACAATAAGACTTTCCAAATCCCTCCAAATTTGGTTGCTCAGCCAAAGTTTATTTAATTTTGCACTGAAACTATAAGGCTAATGTTGCTAGTGTAATGCCCTACCAATTAGCATCATGCAAGCTGCATGCTTAAATCATCACACACATACACACGTTTTGTTGATTTTCTAAGTGAAAATAAGTTAACACATCCTCTAAGAGAAGACACTTCTGCACATTTTAATGCACAATTACTGTTATTTGCTGAATTTAACACATTAGGGAAAACATATTATATAGCCTGTGTTATATGTATTTAAATTTATGTATATGATGTATTTAAATTTGTTATTTATATTTTTTTTATTCTGACATGGTAAACTGAACAAAAAATAGAAATTGTGCACTAAAATTAGCAGAAAAATACCATATCAAATTTGTTTCCTGTAGTGAAGATATACAGTGGGACAAAATTTAAGGTGACGTCCCAGCTTTACCGCAGCCTGAGAAAATGTCAGGCTTCCTCAACTCTATACATAAAAGCTAAATGGGAGAGAGAGTTAAGCATTGATATTACAGAGGAAGAGTGGACTAAAATGTGTATAACATAGCACATGACCACTAACTCATATTGGATATGGAAAGAATTTGGATGGAAGAATTTGACCCGTTGTTTTATAACTCCTGAAATACGGAGTAAACAAACTGGTTATCAACTGCCATGTTGGAGGATGTGTAGGAATAAGGAGGCCAATCATACATATATTTTTTGGAAATGCAATAAACTGTACTCTTTTTGGGAAAATGCACACGATGTGGTTAAAGACATTTTGAGTTATTCAGTCCCTAAAGAATGCAGAATCATGTATCTTGGACATATAGATGAGCATGTTATGGATAATGATAAATATTTGACAAGAAAACTTCTGACAGCCAGCAAAAGCAATAACATGAAATTGGTATAAAATTGAACCCCCCTCAACAGAACAGTGGGTGGAAATTGTAAGACAAATCTATATACTAGAAAAAATGACTTGTGGCGTAAATGGACAACATATGACACCATAAGGGATAAATAGACATAAATGCAAGGATATTGTATCTTTAAACATGATCATTTGATAAGAGGTTTGTAACCATAGTCGACCCCTTTCTCCTTTCCCACCCCCACTTTGTTCCCCTTCTTTTTTTTCCTGGTGTTGTCCTGTCTGTGATGTTTCATCGTTGTATACATCTTACATCATAAGTGGAAAAAAAAACAAACAAATGTTTCCTGTATAAGATCTGTTAACATTTTTTTCACATGGAAAATCAACAAAGCATGCAATTTCCATGAAGGTGTTCAAACTTTTGCATACGACTGTATCTGTAGAAATGGAGAAAACTTAGAATAGAAGTAGCAGCCATTTTGAAGCTTTTATTTTGTCTGTACTTTGGTCAATTTTTCAGATAACCAGAGGTGCAAAACAGTACAGAGAAGCTACACAGTATGAGTACTGTGTCAAAATCTTACTCGGTTATAAGTATATGGTCAAACTTATGCTGAGTAGATGTAAAACAGATCATTTAAACATGCTCCCATAACAATTAAACAGCAATTGTTTATGAAACAAATAAAGTTTTCTTTGGTACTCTGGTGCAACAACTAATTGGTAGTATTGCTTGGCTACAGAAATAAAAAAAAGTTCCTGGGCTTTGAGATTCTGAAGGCTTAAATGTAAGGAGTAAAAAGTGTGTTTTTTTTCTCTTGGAAATATAATTGAGTAAAAGTACAAGTGTTCAGTTTAAGTAATACTTGAGTAAAGTCAGCTCTTCCAAAATAATAATTATAACAACTAAGTACAATTACTCGGTATTGTATTTTCCACACCACGGATAACAGTCTGTCATACAATGTCAGGAACGACATAAGCAGGTCTTGAGATTACTTAACAAGTGGGTATGCGTTCGAGCAAGTGTATGATTATGATGATTTAGGCGTGCAGGTTGTGTGACGGTAAATTGTGGAGTATAAGCTTCCATTACCTGTTACATTAGCTTTTATGAACTACATTGTCCTTGTAGCGAAACTTGGGACACTGGACATTGCTTTACTTGATCGACTACGTCTTGGTTAAGGCGAAAAATGATGCAAATTAGGTTATTCGCCAAACTATCCCTTCAAATTGCTGTAATATGTGATTATCCTGTAATTGTATCACAGGTTAGTGATTTAGAACAATCTTGTAAGATGGCTTGTTAATATAAATTAGCATTTGTGGTTAAAATCAAGGGCTCTCTCATGATCACTCCATCATAACAGCCTGTTTTCCCCCTGTGTGGTGTTTTACTGTGTTTAGATGGCAGGATTGCAGGCAGGCAGGAAGATCTATTCCATTAATGAAGATCTGGTGTTCCTGAGGCCCTTCTCTGAGGTGGAGACCATGATCAACCAGTCCTTCTGCATACGCCGCTCACTCAGGCTGCTGGTGGCTACCAAGAATAAAGAGTGAGTCCTTCTTTATGGCTGTAACCTTATACACACAGAACACACACAAATGTACTGTTCACATCTGCTGTACTCTAAACAGTACAGCTGTAAAGTGATATCATGGTTACTAGTATTACACCTATGTGACAGGTGACATGAGGTGACACATGGCATGTGGTACTGTATGCGTGTGTACATATAAAAGTTTTAAGCAAAGAAAGCTTGAGAAAATTGTAATTTAAAAAAAAAACAATTTAATTGGGCAGTAAGGGTTAAAAATATAATAACACTAATATTAGAATTACTACAATAAGTAGCAACTTTATATATAACAGTGTGTTCATTTAACCATTTCCATATCTCTCCTTGTGGCAGCCCGGTTTATTTATTAATAGTTATCATCCAATACCTGGTTTTTCATAATTTGAAAAATTTAGTTACCCTTTGCAGAATGTCAAAAAATTAATGATGAACAGACCAACAGAAATGGTCCAATTACTTGGAAAACAAATAATTACATTCACTTCCATTACAAGTTACACAATGTTTGTTCCTTCTCCATTTCCTCATGGAGACCAGTTTAAAGAACTTGCTCATAAAACCCTTCTAATTTTGGGGGTTTAACCCGTATTCAGAAAACCAGACCACGACTATATGAATGAAGAAACGTTTCAGAACTAGTCAACTCTCCCTGTAGACTTTTGTTGTTCATTACTGCTGTCTGCTACATGAAGGCTTGTGAAGGTTCCAGACTGCAGAGATGGCCTGTCCTTCAAACTGAGTGGCTCCGCCCCCCCATATGTGTACGCCGTGAAGAAAGGTGAGCACTCGCTGGTGCTGTTCCAGAACCCATCAAAATTAAAGCTAGTGTTGTACTCCTGTTTGGCAGCCTGTCTTTGTGGTGTGTCTGAAGCTAAACAACTGAAACTGAAAACAAGTTTGTTTTATTCATTTATTTTTTGTGAATGATCTGTCGCTGTTGCTTTTCATGTTCTTTGTTAATTTTATCTGGTTTTCCCTTGCAAATGAATGCTACTGAAGACACCAGCTGTTTCATTCACTGATCACAGCAGTGAGTTAATTTAATGAAATCCCCTGCTTTTCTTTTCTCTCATACGAGGCCTTGGGTTTAATTTCCGCAAAAGAAGGGATGTAATTGCGCTTTCTCCCTCTAACCTGTCAGGCAGATGTTTTGTGTTCTAAAAAAAGCTTTCAAAAGGGGAAAAAAGAGATTCATGACAGAGACTGCTGTGCTCATGTGATAAACATCTGGGCTTTTAAAATATCTCTCCAACTCACAATCAAACTCAAAGCCCAGAATCTCTCCCAATATAATGTTATCTGAAGAGCTGCACTCTGTAGATCCTTAAGGTTAACCCCTAGCTTACAGCTGGGCATTTATAGAGAAGATACAGATTTATAGCATTATGATAATAGCTTTCATTACGGAAAGTGCCCCAGTGCTGCATCTGGGGTCCATAAAGCATTCACATATTCCAGTGAAAGGCTAAAGTTAAATGTGGAGTATTATTTTCATAATAAAAGTTATGCGCCCCAAGAAGATTCCGCCCATGTGAGTCTTTTTGTAGGAAAAAATAACGCTGATCTAAGGCCAGAGAGGGCTGTCAGGCTTTAAGTTTTCACCGAAACTGTAGCAACCATACCTAGTTTATTATGGCTGCAGGAGAAAGGGGAGAACTGTTTGAGGCACAGTTTATGTACTGTCACATATTTGGCTTAGCAAAGGTATTTTTGGACTTTTTCAGGGTATTTAGTGTCCTGTTGCCATTCTGATGAGTTCTGGCTTTTCTGTTTAGGCTGCCATGGTTCTTTTTTTTTCCTTCTTACTAATACGTTTATTTTACTGTAGGCTACATTCAGTCACATTGGGTTTTTTTTTATTCTTTCATGGCAGTTTATGTTGTTTTGACTTTTCAAGAATATCAAATAAGAAGGGCGGTATTTTCTTGTATTTATTGCCATTGGTTGAATGTCTCAGTCTTATGTCTTTTCATGTGGGTACAGGGTCAGAGGCCGCGGCGGCGGGCTTGCAGCCTGGTCAGAGTGTGCTCAAAGTGAACGGCGCCAACATGAGCCAAAGCAGCTATGAGGAGGTGCTGGAGCACTTTAGCAGCTATCAGCCTGAAGAGGAGCAGCAGGAGCCGGTGAGATTCCCTGACTGATTGCACCTTGAGCACTATTAGTCTGCTTTTATCTTGCTTGTTTCTTTTACATTCTGTTGCTTTTGACTGTCATAGGACCCTGGATTTGAGCAAAAGTCAGAGACCACCCTTCATTTATATTTCATATAAATTTGATAATTTTTAAATAAATAATAAATAACTGACTAGTCATTCTTAATTAATTAAATAATTATTAATTTAATATTTATTTCATTTCCAATCAAAATGGTAATTAAGTAAAAGTTCTTTATTTTCAGGAGATACTTCTGAGGAAGATAAGATATAAGATCAGGAATAAATAAATAAATAATTAAAAAAACAGGTGTTTCCATAACTGCAGTCCAAAAAATTATCCCAAGATATAGAGAAGATGGGACTCCCTGGTAAACAGTTAAACTGTCACCATCAGATGAACAGTGCTTAAAGCTTTAATCTTTGAGAGGTAGGAGAAAATCAAGCTTTACTCTTCCTTCAGGTGTGAAAAAAAGAAGACAGCTCAGTGCTAGAGGTCAGGAAGTGTGTGTAACTGTCAAGACACTGTTACTGAGAAAAGGAAACAGACAAAAAAATAAAATTGCAAATCAAACAAAGAAGCTGCTGGTGTTCTCGGAACAATGGACTATCCATGCCCAGAGCCCAGACCTCGTCATCACTGAATATGAGATTACCTGGCTCAAGAGAAACAGAAAATGCAACTTCTAAGACTGAACTTTAGAGGTGTGGAACAAGTCCTTTTCTTTGAGAAACTGAAAGTAAGTCTCCCAAAAAGAAATACAGCTTTAATAAAGGCAAAAGGTGGACAAACTACATACTGAAATTTTAGATATTATATTTAGTTGTTGAAGCTTCTGTATCATTTGTTTCTTAAATATGTTTCTGCATTTTTCTGATGCTGAAAAATGAATAACTTATGCTTTATGGCAGTTTTGACTGAAAGTTAGATAAATGAAGGCTGGTCTCTGACTTTTGCACACGACTTTATGTACCTCTTGTTTTTACTTGCTGGTATGTGAGGTTGTTTTCATTGTTGCTTAGGGCCATTTTTTATTAATTGTTATTGCCATATTTGTTATTGCAGGCCTTTGAGATACTGACATTACAGAAGGCTACAATATGCAAATGAGTTCTCCAACAAATAAAATTGATTGTGTTGTCTGAGCATCCTTACGAGTCAGAGATATTGATTCAATGCTTTGATGAGTTGAGACATTGATGCGAACAAATATACACAATTTACTTGCAAATATTTTACCCATGTCCTGTCAAAATTTTAAATAGGGGTGACAATATGACAAAAATATAAGTTTTTCTTGATACGTGACATGCAGCTTGATATTTCCTTTTTCTGAGATTTGATGATTTGGAACAGACAGAAAAGATTCAGTAGCACCATATTGAAAACGGATGTATACAATGACTTTTATTCAGTGTTTCAGATACTACACAAAATCAGTTTAAACAGGACTAATTATGCTCTCTTTGTAATAAAACATGTAGTTTTTCCATGTTCTTTAAGCACTGTTGTCATCAAAGAAATTCCCCCAATATCCATTAAAAGCATATGTTCACATAATTTGTCACAATAAGATAGCAGTATGCTGCAGTATGTAGCATTATAACTGACGGGTTTTTTTATCCAGCCCTACTTGCTTTGCACACTATATACTTTGTTCTTGAGGTTTTGAGAGAAACGTTTAAATAAAATGTATTATATTACTTTATTTTATTTCATTTATTTGTTAATTTTGGCGTATATAGTTTGTATTTATTGTGCAAAAAACATTGTTAATTTCATCTTTACGTTTTTCTCTCTTCTTTCTGTTTGAAAACAGGATTGTGGTCAATGGGTGTATCGGGTGTATGACGATGTGGAGGAACAGGCGTTCAGCTCTTGCCTATCTGAGAACGGTTCAGACGCAGAGGAAAACGGTTGCTCCAATGGAGCAGGTAATGTGGTTGTGGTTGTGGTTGTAGGTGTGGTGGTTGTGGTTGTGCATATGTGTGTATTTGGCCTCCAAGCTCTGAAATTGTGTTCATCAGGACAAACTCATAACTAAAGCAAGTAATACATATACACTTTCTGCATATATTTATCAGTTACTACTTTGTTGTTAGTGTTTAGCAACCTTCAAAAACCCCGTAAACACTAGCTAGTGGAGGATGAAAGGCTTGTTTATTGTTTTACTCATTCATTCATTCATTCATTCATTACTTTGATGTTTCACTGTGATTCATGGTATTGTTTAAACCCAGTTTTTTTCTGGAGAGTAGGGATCAACATAATGTATAGCCTATTACACAGCTTTTCCTTTTTGCTTCTCCTGGTGTTCTAGACCCAGTGAGAGGCCTGGAACATCTCTCTCTGTCTACAGACGCTCCGCTTGTCAATCTGATGGTAGATAACATGCACCTAGAACACGGCGTGGTGTATGAATATGTCAGCTCTGCTGGCATTAAGCACCACGTGCTGGAGAAGATGGTGGAACCCAAAGGCTGCTTCAGCCTCGCAGCAAAGGTAATAAGTGAAAATGTTTATAAAGAGAGGCTTGAAGGAATCTGCATGGTGAACACTGGTAGTATTGCTATGTAGCAAAATTTTCTTTTTCTGACTACGTCCATAACATCTGGAGCCCAAGGCCTGTCTCATGGCAAAGGTAATAAGTGGAAAAGAACATAAAAATAGCATTGAAAGAATTTGGATGGTGGCCACTCACCTTTATTGCTGCAGAGCACGTGTCAGGCTCCAGTCCTTGTGGGCCAAACACTGCAGACTTCAGCACTCTGCCTCATTAAACACACCTGATTCAGCTCATTAGCTTATTAGCAAGGCCTTCATGAACTGAATTCAGACCATTAGATGAGGGTAAATGCCTGCTGTAGAGCATTTTAGAGCATCTTACTACTGCATTTGGAAATTGTTACCTCATTTGTCCATAACGTTTGGATTTTCTGGTGTTTTTTTTCCCAGATATTGGAAGCTTTTGCTAAAGATGACAACCATTTTGTAACGAGCTGCAGTCAGCTGATTGCTCAGAGCGAGCGAGTAGTGTCTATGCCCCAGTATGAGTTCAGAAACATCTGTGACACTAAACTGGAGAGCATACAGAAACGCATCTGCAGTTACAGACAGGTGCGAAAGAAACACATCCACTGTCTTTCTGTTCATCTCTTTATCTTTATTTCTCTCGATTTAACCTTATTGTTATTGGTGTCATTTTGTTGTACTATGTAATTGTAAAACGCACTTAATTTATGTGGTTAGTTACATAATTATTCTAGTTTCCAGTTTCTTTTTACATTTACATAATGACAGGTTCTAGTCTGTACTTTTTCTGCATGTTTAGATGCCAGTGACAGAAATATATATATATAAATATGAAATCACTATATACTTTGTTGTCACTGCATAACTGCAACTTCCAAGCATTAATCCATAAGGGGCATATACCTCCTTTTCCTAACTGATCTGTTTTGTTTTCTTTTTGTGTCTTTCTCAGTTTGCAGAGGAGCTGCAGAATAAGGCGTCCCCCACGTTTAAGCAGGCCAGCACGAAGTCCCATGCTCTGAGCTGCATGGACTTTGTGCCCACCAACTGCCACTTAAACCTGATGCAGGTGTCTTGCCCCAAGAGCACCACGTCAGCTGGCCGTGCCTTCAGCATCCGCTTTGGGCGCAAAAACTCCTTCTTTGGCCTTGACCCGGACCAAGGTCAGTTTTTATCTCAAGCGGGACTTTTTTTGAAAAGTCAAATTTCCAGAATTTAATTTTCACCTTTTAACACTGTACGACATACTATTGCCTATAGAAATGGACAAAAGTACAGAGAAAATTCAGGTGTTAAGAATTTTTGCCATGCAGCGAACGCTCTGAGTGGTTTGTGGGTGCATTTAGACAGAGTGGATTCCACTCTGATTCCACTATACGACATTATATCCTACATCAGAAAGAGGTATCTGTGGCCTTGAGACCATGAGATACATACGATGAGTACCCCTCACCACCGTAGCTCTACTGTTAGCTCTAGCATTAGCTCATCTGAAGCAGTAGCTTCAAAATTGGTGGGGAGAAACGTGTAACCCTAAAAATATTGGGCAGTGAGGGCTGTGTTTTAGTTGGAGTTTCAGGTGAGCAATTTGCTTCAATATAGAAATATGAAGTTTTGTCACTTTGCTTGCTGGATGTGCCGTTCAAGGCATGGGCTGAAAAAGAAGAATGACACCTGACTTTTTCTTCCGGTATTCTTCCAGTATCCTCCAAAAAGAAGTGAGACAAAATAGTCAAAATAGTTTCTTTGGTATATCCATTTCGTATGACGGTCTACTCTGCTCCTTCTCTGCTTTGCAAATGTTGTCACAAGCGGGTTCCTTGTGGTTCAGACGTTGATGTTTGTTTGTTATTTTGGGCGGAATACTCTCTGCCATCTGAACACAGCCTGAGACAAGTCTGTGGTGATTTAGGTGTGCAGTTTGTACAGTGCCATTTGAAGGGGTATAAGCTTCCATTACTTCAGCTTTGTTTCTCCAGCGAACATATTGTGTCTGATTGACTATATTTTGGATAAGGAAAGAATTCTGTGTTTTGTTTTTTTTTGTTTGTTTTTTTTTCTTCTAGCCAAACCGTGCCTTTCAGAAATACGATCGCACTGTATTGTATTACGTTCTAATCTCTTCTCCTATGTGGCCTCCTTTTTAAAGTTTACACTCATCTGTGTTCGTAGCACAGGTGGAGTCAAGTCTGATTCCCAGCTGTAGGCCTGTTTTCTTTATAAATATTTCAATTGACCAATAGCTATCAAAGCAATTAGCTAGATTGCATCCCGGCACAAGGATTCCATTAAACAAATCTCCACTTCATGATAGTTAAACGTCATAAAATAGTAATTAAACCATACAGTTGAAACCACAAGGGGCTCGTAAATTTCATACCCTGCTGTAATGACTATTCCCACAGCAAATCAGAGCCTTTTTAAAGCTCTCAGCCTGAAATTGCCTCCATCAGCCTTCCATTACGACTCCATTAGGCTATGATGAGTGGCTCTGTGATGTCAGCCCACCAAGCCCCCGAGGACTACCCTCTCCCATTTCCTGCTTCTTAAAGACAAGGATTTGTTTTCATGTTTTTGACAGCTTGATGTTTGGCCTTTGGTTCAGAACGGAGATCTTACTGTGAATAGTTGAAGCTTAATGTTGTCACAAATAACGGACATAGATTTCTAAGTAAATTTAAAATTACACTTGGTAGTCAAATGTGTCTCCGGTTAGACACACTGAAATCCGACTGCTGTGTGGGATGGAATATGCAAATCTGCTGGTTATGAGGCAAGCAATTTTCCCTGTTGTTTACCCGTTTAGCCTCTTCATCTGCTGTGCTAAAGATGTAAGTCATCTGCATAGTTTGTTTTGTTTTGTTTGTTTTGCCTAGTAGTGTCTGTCAATACTGCTATTAAGCATTTCGTTTTGCCCAGTTCTCTACCATGTGTGTCGTCCGTGCCCAGTGACGTACTGCATGTGGGGGAGTTTTGTTTGTACTACAAGGGGTTTTGGTTGTCGAATGTGTCTTGAAGAGACTGAGGCATTTACACTGCTATAATGTGGCTCGAAAGCGCCTCAGACCACCTCCTGAAGTGGTTTGAGTGATCGGATTTGAATGTGTTTTAAATGCGTCTTGAGTGCTTTTACACTTGCATTGTTATAATCCAGTTACTCAAGACACATGAAGTAACCAAGTGTAAACGAGATCTAAAATTTGGGGGTTTGGAAGCATCTCTGGTAGAAATGTGTAATTGCGCACAATGTGCAGAAAAACATTTTGTAACGTGGGTTGTGCCTCTGACTCCTTCATCGAGCAAATGAATCTAATGATAGTAAGTGCGTTGAAAGAGTATTCAAAGTGGATGAATTATCTATTATTGTCATCTTATCTTCATCAGTATAATATTTATTTTGTTTTTGAGACCTAAACATTGAGGCGTACCTTCTTTTTAAGCCTGTTCATGTAACAATAATACGTAAAGACGCATGACATGGTCTGAAAACTCCACAGACATCATATATTACCATGCTATGCTACTCCTTTCAATGCCACTTCTTACAATGCTAATACTAATGTTATGTTAGCGTGTTATGTTAGTGGTTTTGTGTAATGTTAGTTAGCATGTAATGCCACTTTCAGTGCTACTTTAAATGCTAATGCTTCTTACAATGCTAATGTTACTTCTTTCAATTTTACCAAATAATCTTAAATAGTGCAGCTATTTACATTTTAAGTGACATTAAAAAGATTTGATGTGGATTTTGACATTCTCTGTAAATGTACTAAAGTATGTTGTACAGTTAAAAACAGTAGTCTGAAAATTTCCCCTGTAGCTCATATACAGTCATATCAGATTGAGGCTGTGCTCCATCTGGCTGCTGTTTTTGACTGCACCTGCCTGGAGTGCTTGCCGCAGTAGACGCTGTCTAGGAGGGGCTGCACCGGCCGTGTTGTTTAAGGTCCTCTTCAACGTCTCTTGGTCTGTTTTTGAGCGTTTCTCCTCACATCTGTGCGGCAGTTGTGCCACGGTCAGAGATGTTTGGAATTCCTCTGAAACTGGAGCTTTTCAAGCCTCCTGGGCCATGACTTTATGACTGTGGAGAGGCTGCTCCATTACATTAAAAGCTTTTCCCGTCAGCGATGATGATTTTTCTCATTTTATGAAGTCAAAAGAAGCACTAGTGTCACAAATGCTAAAACAGTGCAAAACTTGTGGACTGTGTCACAAGTTTATGGCACTGTAACAGTGCCATAATAAGGAAGCCACTGCCCCTGCTGTGTACTTATGTAGTAATGTATCATCACAAATATATTGCAGTTTTGTTATTGACATTTAGTATTGGGTGATGAAACATGGGTGATGTCACCAAAATTGATTTACACGAATATTTATTTGCATTTCTCAGTGAAAAATAGTTCAATCAAAGTTATCATTTTTAACAGATGAGTAAGGTAGAGCGATACTTAAAGATTTTGGGAGAGAATTCATAGAATGCCTCTCACCCAATCACTTGAAAGACTAAAACTAACTGGAAGATGATGAGAAATGGTTTATCATATCAGTGACTTTCTCAATTTTATCTCCATCTGCTCCTTCAATTTTTCACCCTGTTTTTCTTGCTATAATGGCACTCATTCCCTCCCTTTGGCACTCAATTTCACTTCCTTTCTGCATTTCTGCTCCAAAAGCTCTGTTTCATCTTCTCCCCTTTTCCTGTTTTTCTTGTCTTTAATCTGTACATCCACTGATGGGGAAAAAAATCACAGCATCATTCGTCTGAGCCTGATTGGCGTTGATTGATCTTGCCTGTAACTTCCTTCTCTTCCCTCCGCAGCCAATCTGAACCCCATGTCCCACACGGTGCACTGTGTGACCAGCATGGCTGCCCCATCCTGGAGCTGCCACGGCCTGGATGAGGAGCTGGAGGGAGGGGAAGGGAACGTGGATGTGAGCAGCAGGCGCACGCAGGGAGAGGGAGGCCTGAGCTTTCTCCTCAAGCAGGAGGACACAGAGAGCCAGGACAACTATATCTGCCTCTACAACCGGCTAGATGTAGCCGTCAGAGAGATGAAGCTATACGTGGCTCAGATCGATGTGTAAGTATCACAGTCGTTATATACATTCATAGAATGCCTGGTGAGAAATCTAATCTAATTGACACATTTTTCCTCTCATACCAGCCAAGAAATCTTCAATGTCTGAAGTTTGCTTCTTTAGTTCTGCACTGAAGCCATGATGTTTTTACAGGATTGTAAAATGTGATGGAGTTGATTTTCCTACACAAGTGCTTTAACATGAGTGCGTTGCCATTGACACGTTGTTTAGGAAGTGACTGAGAAGGCAGGGATAGCGCGACAGGCTCTGGTGCGGCTTTTTCGCTAACTAGGCTGAGTACTCTAGCTAATGTTAGCTAGGTCCAAAAACAGTGAATATATTTCTCTGATAAGGTTGCATGTAGACACATCATCCACTCAGGAAGAAAATACCAACGAGTCCTCATCAGCGTCCACATCCAATGTAGTACTGGTTAGTTTTAGCTTATTCGCTCTTCTGGAGTGACAGCTTCTGTTACTCACACATGAACTCATACATGAACTTTTTTTCCCGCATTTAACCGGATATCAGTTCATCAACTCTTACTGATACTCGAATATTAAAATTAGTTGAAATACACATCCCTAGTCTGTAACTCAGTTTGACCCCCATTTTAGCTGCTTGCGGAGGTGCTAACACTATCTATGACAAAGCAGAGGACAGACTGATTCTGTTGACATTTCTGATTGGTCGAGTGTGTTCTTGTCTGCAAAAGTTTGCAAAACTTGAACAGAGAGCAAATAGAATAGTGTTGCATTTCTGTGGTCAGAAAAATGACGTTTGGTGTGCAAGCTGGCATCATTTATACTTTGGTTCAAATTATTTATTGCCATCCAAAAAATCACACTTGGTCTGTAAAGGCCTTTAACCATTCAGTTTTCACAATGCTAACTGGTGTATTATAAGCTTCCAGTACGTATTAGTTAAATTGGTCTTCTAGCTCCAGTGCAAAACTAAAACAGACTTTGGACACTGAACACATCTTATCTGACTGATTACATTTGGGGCAGTGGTCTCCATCTATGGTCCTAGAGAGCTGCCTTCCGGCAGAGTTTAGTTCTAATCTGTGTCCAGTAAGCTGCCCCGCCCTTTGCTTAACTTTAATGCGTATGTTCTAGCCAATCAGGGACTTGGGAAGAGGTTGATTAGCTGAAGCAGGTGTGACAAATTGTGGTTGAAAGGAGGATCTGCTGGAAAGTAGCTCTCCAGGACCAAGTTTAGAGACCATTCATTTGGAGTAAGGAAGAAATTCTGTAAATGTGACTTTTTTTTTTTTTTCGCTAGTCTGTGCCCTCAAATCAGCTTCCTGCAGGCCACGCAGTCACAATACAAGTCTGAGGGATAATGAGAGCTTATGCATGTATATCTCCATTTAGACAAACCTACACTGTGGTAAAGCAGCCTGTAGGTGCATTTCTTTTCTCTCTCTGCGCAGCTGCACTGAACAAGCTGAAGAAGTGTTTTTGTCCGTTTAATGCCGGGGTGTGTCTCCGCCACACCAGAGAATAGAGAGCCCCACCACCCACCTCTCTGTTCTGCTTCTCTTTCTCACTTCAGGAAGTCTTTTCTGAACGTCTAAAAATATTTGTGGGCAGGGAAGGCCCAGCTGAGGCTCTAGCCATAACATAGCACAGAAGAGGGGAGACTGTTTTCCCTGCCACTCCCTCCTGTCATTCTCTTTCTCTTTATTTCCTTCAACATGGGTTAAACTAATGTTTAATGGTTATACTACTGTGTCTGCATCTCTGTTATCATGTGCCAGCGTTGGCGTAGGTGTGTGCCATTTTACTTGCATGTAACCTGAACATGTGTACCACGGGGCCGATTCCAAACCAGAATGTACAGAAAACGAAGAGGAAATTCTCATGTTTTTCCTCTCTTTTCAAGAATTAATACTCACCTCATATTTTCAAGATGGGTTGTATAACGATCCTCGACCCTCACACTGCCCCACTACATTTTGCACTAGTTCTGGTCCAGATTGAGTTGTTTGTGTCTTGTCCCGCCCCCAACGATGACTGATCAGGCGTATACTTGACGCACAGCTCCATAGATTCATGTAACAGCAATGTGTCGTTGAGATTTTGGAGGTGCATTTATTCACATCTTTGCCTACTCTACCGCTCAAAAGTTTGGATGCCATAATAACTAGTGATACACCAAAATGAAAATTCACGATCGTAATTGAAACTTTGACACATCTGGCTAAAAACCCAAGCCTTTTTTCTTTGCCATTTTATATATGCTTTCGAAAGAACATAGTAAACAAAAACTGCAAGGTCGTAAAGAAAATGGATTTTTGTTGTTGATACAATCTGCTTTCAATAACACAAAACTGGGCTGACAATAAATAAAATTAGTTTAAAAAACTTCTATTTTTAGTTATACTTTGCACTTTGGCGCAGTTGTTTATGAATTTTTGGTCATTTCAAAATCTGAGCCTACAGACAGCGTGGGTGTGCTTGCAGAGACTTTTCTTTATGCTGCGACTTTTTTTTGTATTCTGCATATGTTAAGTGGGGTGTCATGTTTTCAAGTGATATCAAACCTATAGTTGAGTGGTGCTTGAACATTGTACCTCTTTTTAATACTCGAGATAAACAGAGATTACAAATTCCTTCTTTAAGGTCCTTCATAGAAACAGTGAAATAGTGCCACAAAGCCGTCTTTTTTCCTTCACTGTTTATCTGCTATCGTTTAAGCTGTTTAAGCTGTTCATACTGTTTCTGCTGTTTCTCTGTTTCTCTTACTCAAAAGCAAAGGGAACAAACAGCGTTTTCAATGACTGTCATAATCATAATCAATCAAGTGTTTGATTTCGACACTTTATTGTAGTCTTATTTAATCGTTTTTTTTTCTTTCTGCCAAAAACCGAAAGTGTTTTCACCATTTTCATTCTTTGTTTTGTTTGTCTTTTAAAATATGATGAATTCTGGATATTATTTTTATTAAAACTAAATCCTCAATGCTGTCCTCAGTGGCTCCGTTCATCATTTCTGTATTTTATTTGCAGTCTTCTAGTGTCCTACATATTAGCATATTAGAATTATTTTATTCCATTAACCACAACCTGGATTTATATTAATGGAACATTTAATGAATGGTAATGTTTCCAAACTTTTGAACTGAAATCTCAAATTTTTGAACAGTAATATAAGTCAGCTTTATTGTGGCTAAGACAACGGTTTATAGCTCATACATAAGTAACTGTGCTTGTGTACATTTTTAAGCATAACAATTTGTCATGTTGTTAATTGGAAGGCAGAACATTCCTGTTAGCTACATTAGCCGTATAGTTCCAGTGCAAAACTAAAAAAGCAAACTTTAGACACCAAACAACTTTAGTGTCTTTGCCAAACTATTGGTTTGATGTGTGTGTGTTTTGTGCTATTATAGGCTTTTGTCGTCTATCACTGGGCCCATCCAGCCTCAGAGCTCTGAGCCCCCCTCATTTGACACTGTTCCCTCTGCATCCCCCGGGCCCGAGGAATCAAATCAAAGCAAGAGAGTGTGCTTTAAAGTGAACGAAGATGATCAGGAGGACTCAGGACATGACACCATGAGCTACAGAGACTCTTACAGGTAAGACGCACAACCAAACACTAAGTTCATTACATAACTGAATGTTGGTGCTGTTCTCACAGAATACGTTTGGTTCTTTGGAGAAGAGAAACTTGGCAGAGAAGTGTAAAAGCTATTTTCTCCACGTCTAGGGCTTGTTTTTGGTTCTCAGATATTAGTGGTACATTTTGGTTTGTTGTGTAGAATTGAAGTCGGGTATGTTTTGAGATGAATAAATGAAAGATGATTGCAAGCTGAAAACTGCAGACAGGCTCTTGTTCCGCTCTAGTTCAGGCTTCATGGCTGCTTCTTCTTTGGAACAGATGTGTTTAAAGCAGACACACTCATGACTTCTGATGTTCCACTACTCTCCTGCACAGTTAACCCTTAAAAGGGAATTCCATTTTTTTTCCAGATTTTTCCAAATCTCTGCATGAGTAAATGGTTAATATGTAAGCAATATAGCTGTGTCTTCATTACATTTCAGGGTGGATTGTATTTAATTCTGCCACAAATTCTGCGTTTCATTTTTTTAATGCAGAGTCTCATGTATTGTTTTTCAGTAAAGAGGTCAAGCCATGTGAAAACAGTGTAATATAGGTTTTGTTTTTCATTTTGTTGTAGTGATTGCTTTTCAGTTTGGCATGAATTTCTTTTTTTGGAGGGAAAAAATATATTTTAAGTGACTAACAATGGGAACCATGATTTTAATCCATCATGAATCTGCAGTGTGTGTAGTTTGACAGTGCTGAGTCTGACAGTACCAAAACCAGAACTCCTTCAGTAATAGTAATCTCATTTGAATTGAAATCTTGTAATACAAAATCATGTTAACAGACACAGTTGTGTGCTGTGTTGTTATTGTCACTGAGTGTAGCTCCTGTTGCATAATGCTGAACTCATTCTGGTTTCATTCCGGTTATTTGCAATGATTTGAGGGAATTACAGACATTACATGATTATTTATGTGTAACTACTAATTATCTTGTAAGCTACATAATAAATTACTTTTACATTCAGTATACATTTTCTATCAACTGGTCCAAATCTGCTCTACTGTCTTTTTCCAAAAAATGTTTTTTTCCCTCCATAAAACAAGAATCTATGCAAAACGATACTCTTGCTTCAAATTAAAATCATAATTAAATATTTCCTTTTCTACTGGTCTTATTAAATAAATTACTCACTTTTACAAGCACTGTTTTTGTAGAATTTCCTTTTTTGTTTCAGTGAGCTCTGAGAAATTAGTTAGAGAAGGCATATGCGCCATGGAGGACCTAAACTCACACAGCCCTAACTGTTATGTCATTGTTATTCCCTGCGTGTAGTCTGTTTCTTCTTTGGGATTGACCAAAGCTGCTAGTTTGCGCAGGCCATTGCTTAGACTGACCACTAACAGTAGACTGGCTACAGGACTAAATGACTGGCTGAGTGTGCACTCTCTTCCATTATACAGCCATCACCCATAAAAAGCCAGTACTTTCAGAGTGGGTGAGCTCATACAGTAGCGCTCCACTTACACTACCCAGAACTGACGTCAGCTGTTGGGGGAATGTGTGGAAAAACTGTTATTCAGTCATTTGTGCTGATAAATTAGATTGCTAAGATGCAGTATTTGAAATCCCCCACCTACAGCACTCTCACTTTGTGTGTTTCTCTCTTTCTCACTCTCTTTATTAGTTTGTTTTTCTCTTTTGCTGCCTTACTATAACACTGACATGTTTTACAAAGAAAGGAATGCATAATATTAATAATAATGTTCAAAAAAGAAAACATGAACGAATAAAAAAAACACAGGATAATTCACTCAAACTTACTGTGCAAAAGTCTTCCATTCATGAAAAGTGTTTATCTTGGCAGTAACTGTGTTTATGCCACTAAGAACAGTATATAACATTAGAATAAACACAAATGAACACAAATACTAGGGTGTAACTCTTCATAAAATTCATACATAATATATTTGACGTGTTTTTCTATACAGCAAAAATAAGAAGTGGCTGAAAATGTGCCTTACACTAATATGTTAATGTTTCCAGTTTTAGTTTACTAGAGCAGTGATTCTTTTGTGCAGAATCACTGCTCTAGTAAACTAAAACTTTTTAGAAATTGTAGTTTTTTTTGTTCAGGAAATTTATGGTTTATGATGCAGACCCCCCAACCGCGGAAAAATATTTTGCGAAGTACGATAGTGTAACTAGTAAATAAATAAATAGAAAGTGTCCTTCTCATCTGACCTCATTCATTTTAACTGTAAGGCAGGCATACACACACACAAACACACACGCGCACACACACACACACACACACACACACACACACACACCTACTACCCGACAACTTTCGTTTTTTTTCTGCGGCACATGCACTTGCTTTTTTTCATCCTGCCATTAGCTGCTCATTACAGTTACGGCTGCATACAGTACTATGAAATGTCACATTCAACAATCTGTGACATACAGACAATATCACTTACTTTGCCAATTTAAATGCTTGGTGAACAGGCAAGCTAGCTTGCAAATTACATAACGTGCTGATGTTATTAACGCTAAATATTTTCCCAAGTTTGGGAGGTCTGCATTAAGTTAGCTAACTGAGTTCCCAGTTTCAACTTTCCACAATCACTCCAGCCCGTTTACCTTTGCAAAGGAGTTAAAAGCACTGTCCTCTCTTGAGGGACCAGCCAGACGGAGTGAGGAGGGTGAACAAGAGGGATAAAAAACAGTTTGTGTTGCTATTGATTTGCAGTCTCTTGAAATTATTGACATTACATTTTTGTCATGACTGATGTTAAAATGTGTTCTTGCTATGCATAATGCATAAATGTCAGCAGGTCTGATGATGCTGAATGTTCTAATACAGTGGTTCCCAGCCTGGTCCTCAAGTAACATTTTTTTGCTTTTTAAAAAGTTATTAATATCTTGGTTAGAAGAAATTTTAAGAACACAGGATCCTGACTCAATATGCTCCAGCCATTGTATGGATCAATTAAATTCCATCAACAGCCCACCTTATTTAATTTAATGAAGGACTGATTGGTTGAACTAGGAAATGGTTTAGAAAACACACTGACAGACATCAAATGCATTGTTTATTTGTATTTATATATTCTAATGTTTATTCTTTAAATAAATGAACACCTATTGCACAGATAAAGGACTTTACAAATCATTTTCTCAAATGCCTAAGACTTTTGCACAGTGCTGTACTTTATTATGCACACACACATACACACACATACACACTCATGTATGTTTCTGTATCTATGCACATGTACATTCAGGCCCACACACACACAGACACAGTCTTACATGCTGTTTCTCTCTTCTGGTAGGGTCTATATTATAACCTGGTGAGCTGCTTCCATTCTTGGCATGTGGTGTGGAGTAATTATGGCTTCTATCTACTCCGGGATTCTATAATGTGTAGCTGTATGGAGAGAAGTTCCCTTAACCTCATATGACATTTGGTCAGAAGGATTCCACAGCTCAGTTTGATTCCAGGGTTTTACCCTCCTGCCCCCTTCAATCTGCCTGTGTACACTCAGTTATAGTGTCATAGATTTCAGCTTTGTGTGTTCAGACTGGGAGCTCATTGACAACTGACATATGCAAAATTATGATTGACGCTCGAGAAGTGCGTTCCGGTTAACCTTAGGGAAGGCAAAATACGAAAAACATCTGAAAGATGGTACTTCGGCTTAAACTGATGTTGGGTTGGACTTGGAGGTTTACTCTTTTAGATGATAGCTTTGGTGATAAGATGATAAAAAATACATACATACATACATACATACATACATACATCATCTAAACCGCTTATCCTTCTGGGTCGCGGTGGGGTGCTGGAGCCTATCTCAGCTGTCATTGGGCGGAAGGCAGGATACACCCTGGACAGGTCGCCAGTCCATCGCAGGGCAGACAGACAGACATACACACACAATCACACACATTCACACCTAGGGGCAATTTTAGCATGTCCAATTGGCCTGACTGCATGTTTTTGGACTGTGGGAGGAAACCGGAGTACCCGGAGGAAACCCACGCAGACACAGGGAGAACAGGCAAACTCCACACAGAAATGACCCCGGTCGCCCGGCTGGGAATCGAACCCAGGCCATTCTTGCTGTGAGGCGACAGCGCTACCCACTGCGCCACCGTGCCGCCTGGTAAAAAATAGTTAAACAAAAATTTTTGCCAAGCAAATGTTTTTTTAAAAAAAAATTATTCATGTTTCAGTAGTTCTCGGTAGTATTGTTGAATGAAACAGAGGTTGATTCAGATGTGAGCCAAAACTACAGCTAACTGGTACAGTACTGGATACTGATGAGGACGTCTTTTTACACAACGTCCTCAATGGGCGATGGGCTAATGTATAAATTAATGGATAAACACGTTTATTCCCAAAATATCTGGACCCACCTAACATCAGTTAAGCAAATGTGCTACAAAGCAGCCTGTAAAGAAATTTTGACAGACCTTGCAACAATGACCGGGGAGGCTGGACCAGACTTTTACAGTCAATTCAGTCCCAAGCCTAATGGTTCAGTGGTTCATGTATAGTCTATGATGCCCTGGCTGAGAGAGCTCATACTTAACAAAACCATGTTGTATTCCTGAATTCATCTACAACTGTAGATGAACAGTTAAGAATCGAGTAAAATTAACACGCATCGAAACAGTTTGTTTTCTCTGATGTTTTATCCTTGGAATTGCAGGATTGTTGTTCGGTTTTTATTCCTTAGTGAATTATGATGTCCTTATTAAGCCTTATTATTCATTATAAATTATTCTGTAAATACTGCTAGACTAATATTTAAGTTATATAATTATGTGAGTGAATTGAAGTGTGTTTCCAAATAAAGGCCCTCACAGTTTCTGGATTCAGAAGATATTTAAAGTGGAGTGAATGATCAGTACTTCAGTAGGTGTGTGAGATGTGCATGATCGTTGTAAACAATTGATTATTCCTGTGTTTCGTTTCAGTGAGTGTAACAGTAACAGGGACTCTGTCCTGTCCTACACGAGTGTCCGGAGTAACAGCTCATATCTGGGGAGTGATGAGATGGGCTCCGGTAAGAAATGAAGCTTAATGGACGTGAATCTTTTTGGCAGTACAAACAGTGATTCATTTACCACATGAGTCATAATGAGTGTGTGTGTTGATTTTTAGGAGATGAGTTGCCATGTGACATGCAGATTCCCCTGGACAAACAAGACAAGCTCCATGGCTGTCTGGAACATCTGTTTAATCAGGTATTACCAGAAGTTTGTCCGTTTTATTTGTATACCCAACCTATATTTAGGTACTCAAGTATACTTTCTTGATCAAATGTTTTGTTTTGGCTGTTTGTGTTTTTCTTCCAGCTCTTGATCTGTCCATGGCGTGCTTTCTTTGTTTCTCCCTCCACAATATTCTCTTTCCTCTCTCCTCTCCTCTCACATTACCATGTGCACTCTCAGATTACCCCTCACCCACCCTTTCAGATCTCCACACCTTAACCTTTGGCTTTTGCCCTCTGCCCTCTGCCCTTTGGATCCAGCCACTGCTGGTCAAAGTTTCCAGATTTCCACGCTTAAAGGAACAGTCTGGTGAAAAATCTAATTTACTTGCCCCTTGGTTTCCTAACTCCTCAAACTTGTTTCGGGAAGGGGTGCAATGAGCCCCTCTGTGAAAGAGTATGGTGAATTATTTATTTATTTTTTTTTCTCCCCTCACTTCAAATGTTGTCAGTCAGTCAAGACATGTTTGATGTCTAAGGTTTGCTTCTTTAGTTAAATGAGGCTAATGTTGCTAAGTAATGAGACATAAAACATTCAGAATTCTGTTCTGTCTTGCTAATTTTATTACACTGTCCTGACCAAATTAAAGATAATATTGTCACTGTCAAAATCTCATGTCTCCAAAATGGTAACTTTTTAACAGAAGGGAAAAAACCTTGTTAACTTTTAGTGGAAGTTAATGTAAAAACATTTTTTTCCCAAGGAGTTTGGACCACCATTTGTATAAGTCCATTCATCATGAAATTTTCACACAGTGTGAAGGTCAGGTGAAAGAGGAGTTAAAAAGTTTTGTTCCAACAGCGACAATATACTACAACCTCAGCTTTTACAGAACTATGTGTTTCTTCTTTAAGTTTAAGCCATTTTTTTTTATTTAGTTTTAATTTAGTACTCACACACTATCACTGTATTTGCTTTTATGTCTGGTTTACAGGAAGAAAAAGTGTTACTATTGATTTTGTTGTTGTTGTTATTATTATTATTATTATTATTATTATTACTATAGTAGTAGCAGCAGTAGTAGTACATCTATAAGCACATCTGCTGTTTCTTCTGTGGTTGCCAACTGGTTAATGAGGCTGTTTCCCTCTCTATCTATAAAAATGGGCAAAAATACCACATAAGCAAGTCTGTATGACGTTATGTCACAACTCAACACAGTTTAAGCCATGCCCGTGATGATTTAGGCATGCAGTTTGCACATTGCTAACTTGGTGGCTATAAGCTATGTTAGCCTTGTAGCTACAGTGCAAAACTAAACAAGCAAACTGCAGACACCAAAAATACTGAATCTATCAGTTTCAGTAAGGGGGGAGCTCTATAAATCAGCTTTTTCACCAAACTCTTCCTTTAAAGGTCTGAGCTCCAGTGTTCCAGTTGTTAGTAAGAAACTGTTCTATCTCAGGAAGTGGAGCTGTGGAGCAGCGCTCAGTGAAGAGAGGATTCAGTGGCATTTGACTGTGTCTTTTCATGTTTAGGTGGACTCCATCAACAGCCTCCTGAAAGGACCGGTCATGAGCAAAGCCTGCGAGGAAACCAAGCATTTCCACCCTGACCACAGTCAGCCAGGTACCTCCCAGCACAGGCTGGCTGTGGGTGTGTGCGTGCTATGTTTGGAAACGTGTTTAGGTTGTGCGTTTGTACCTCTGAAGTCTAGCAAGACAACTCTGCTTTTCTTCTTCTTGTTTTCTAAACGTGTGTGCTTGTCTGTCTGTCTGTGTGTGTGTGTGTGTGTGCATACACGTGTGTGTGTTTGTAATTCTGTGATAATTAAACCCAGTTCTACAATGGAAGCCTATGAGGACATTGAATGCTTTTGTATTGACTTGAATAAGTCACGCATATGTTTGTACATGTGTGTTCCTGTCGCTGACTGCACGCAAGAGCCTCATCCTTCAGCCCAAGTGCTTCCAACAACGTACACATATACAGGACTAGTGTTTTTACTGGCAGAAACACACTTACTGCTGAGATAAATGGTTTTAAATAATTTGCTTAGGTACCTAAGAATTACATTTATATGCTCTTCAATTTGAGCTTGAATAGGCTTCATTATGATTGTCTCTCACATCTACCTGCGAGCAGAATTCCGTCACACGGACGACTGGACAGCGCGCTGCAGATACGTCCTACACAAGAACATCCAGGAGGACCCTTGGAACCTGCCCAGCTCCATCAAAAACCTGGTGGACAGTCTGCATCGTTTTGTAGAAGGTACGTTTGGAACTAGAAATCTCGTTTAGTTCAATGTACAGTGTATTATTACTGTAGTTGAGTTGTATTTGTTTATGGTTTTGTCTAAATATGTTTCAGATGGGAGGAATCAGCTCTTGTTGGCCTTGCTGAAATGCACTGGTAAGTGGATAATGTGTGGTTATTAATCGATTTCCATTGAAGGAATAGTTTGGTGAAAAATCATCATCTAGTCGATTAGTCAAGACGTGTTTGGTGTCCAAAGTTTGCTTCTTTAGTTTTGTACTGGAGTCACGAGGCATGGCATAATGGAATCTCATTACCACAGATTAGAAAGGACAGAAGTATTTTGAATGGCTGAAAACAGCACCAGGCAACATCTTGTCTGAATTTCGTCCAGGAACATTTGTCTAGATAACAATATAAAAGTCAGTTTAAGCAACTTACAGGGAAATTCTACTTTGCCGAGTCAGAATTGTTCACAGTGGTGGTGAAGATTGGAAGCATTTAATGGCTCTGGAAGCTGCCTGACAGATAGTTAGTACACAAAATGGTTATGAAAATGCTGCATGGTACCCAAAACAATGTCATGTTTGTTTTAAAGAGGGTTTGACCTAAAGCTATTTTTTGTCTGTTCATGGCAGAGGTGTGCATGTCACTGTAGATGTCATATGCTATTATTGGTTGTTATGATATACTTTGTTCAGTAATATAATAACATCATGCTATCATTACCAGCAGTATTCATGACATGTCATAATGTTTGATCTCATGACAGGCAACGGAGTACACAGCAAAAATTAGCATCATTAGTAACGAATGATGTCATAACAGCTTAAGTCACATACTGATTTTTTGCTGTGTACTCCAGTTAGCCGTCATGACGTCAAACATTATGACGTCATGATAATTACCGGTAATGGTAGCATCACACCGTTATATTTAAACAATATAACATGAGAGGGAGTGCATTATCACGAAATAACATCACGGCTGTGATTTGGTCCCAGCTGAGATATTATAGCGATAACACACAACCTTGAGTGTTCTATTGCTTTTATACAACAGTTAAATAAATAAAGTAAGAAGTAAATAAATGGGCTATGAACGTGGCATTTAATATGTTTTAATGTCAGCAATTCCTTCCGCCAAATTATAGTTCCTAAACAAGCAGATTGTTGCTTCATCAGAGTAACGAGCTCTGCTCACTCACTGCACAGCCAGCAGTTCATTCCCCAGCTCCTTACACTAAATTCCGAAACTGTCATTACCTCTGAGCAAGCTTTTTTGTTTTTTATTGCGGCAGTTTTATGGCTCAGTCCGATTTGGTCAGACTCTGAAGATGAGACTACACGTTTGGCGAATGGTATTCGGTTCATGTCTAGCTAATTCCAGGTTGTTTAAGTTTTCTTCTGTCACAGCTGCCGACTGAAAAACTTGCTCAGTGGTAATGACAGTTTGGGAATTTAGTGTAGTCTCATCTTCAGAGCCTGACCAAGTTGGCTGTCGCTCAAATGTAATCTTAAGTGTCTATTTTCTGTTTGTGCGCAAAGTAAGAAGTAAAAACTTTCAAATGGCTTGAGCGTCTCCTACAGCTGTCAAACTTGTTGCTTAGCAATGATGTCTTAGCGAAGTGATACAATGTTTGTGAAAAACCTGTGATGTTATGGCAAAATATCAGCACGGTTAGAACGCTTCTCAACCAATCAGCTTGCGTGACCGGAACTAACTGTTGTATAATAATGGATATGATCTGTTATGATAACTAAGTTCCCCTTTTTTGCTGAATTTTACCTTTAACATAGGATAGTATTTAGTCACACACTGAAAACGTTAGAAGAGCAAGATGCATTTTGACATGTTAGTTGAGTACTGTTGCGTCAGTTATTGTAAAATACACAGAGTTTTGTATATGTAACATGTTACGTAACTCTTTGGCTGGTATTTTGTATCCGGGGCCTGTGTGAGAAGGCTTTACTTCATGATTACTGAACAGTGCTCAGCGCTGACACTCAGGGTGTGTGCTCACAGATACCTGAGTGTTTATTGGAATTCCACAGCCATTTGTATGTTTGTTTGTGTGGTGTGGGAGGGGCTCATTTGGAGTAGAGGGGTGTTTGTGAGTGAGAGTTCAGGAGGTTGAAAGTAAGAGGAGATCCAGAGAGAGATTGAAAGAGCAATGTGTGAGTGTGTGTGTGGGGGGGGTCTCCTGAGGTCTGCGGTGTGAGGCATATGGAAGCTGTTGTGAGAGTGTGAGGGAATCCGATCCGGAGCTTCTTTCTGCTCTACACACACACGCATACAGAATCTGTGCAGGACCTGCTCCTGCTCTCACCCCACCCGACCCTGCAGTGTGTGTATGACTGAATAGTGTGTTATTCATTTCTCTATTTCAGTTCAATCACAGTGTAATAAATGAGCAGTGTTCAGTAGAACGAATTTCATAGACAACAAAAGTGATATTGTGTACTCAGTCCTCAGTGTTTATATGTTGGAGGACAGAATAGCTGTGATTCTGAATCATCTGTAAACAAATGATATCACTGTCTAAACTGCGGAACAGTTTATGTTTGCTAGAGCCAGACGACTCAATATAGAACTATTACTCTTTCTCAATCAGTATCAGCTATACTAATCTATCTTGTTACTATCTTTTGCTCAGACTGTCATAGCCAGCTGTTGTGGGGAAATGTATAGTCCTCATTACTCTCTTTCTCTCTGTCTGTATATCTGTCTGTCTGTCTATCTATCTATCTATCTATTTCTCTCACTCTCTTTCTCTTTGTTTTTATCTATTTGTCTATCTGCCTTTCTTTCTGTCTATCTGTCTGTATATCTATCTATGTTTTGCCCTTCCTCTGTCTGTCTTTCTCATTGTTTCTGTCTAGCTCTCTATATCTGTCTATCCATCTGCCAGTCAATGTCTCTTTCTGTTTACATCTGTCTCTGTCTCTCTGCTTCTATCTATCTATCTATCTATCTATCTATCTATCTATCTATCATCATCTATCTATCTATTTCTCTCTCTCTCTCTTTCTTTGTTTTTATCTATTTGTCTATCTATCTGTCTGTGTCTCTTTCTTTCTGTCTATCTGTCTGTATATCTATCTATTTTGCCCTTCCTCTGTCTCTCTTTCTCATCTATCTGTCTGTTTCTCCCTCTGTCTCTTTCTCTGTCTTTTTCTATTTATCATTCTCTCTTTCCACTCTTTTCTCTCTCTCTTTCTCACATATTCCGATTCAAATGTCTTTATTAGTGTGAACCATTGCCAAAGCAATAACTGAGAGTCCTTAGTAATAATAGTAGTGGTGATACTGAAGATACATATTGTACACACAAACTCGTACACCTTAACATCTCTATAAACATATATGATAAATGTACACACACTGGCTTAGGATACAATTTCATTCTTTACTCTGAGAATATAACAAATACATATATCTTGCTGATAATTTAATAAATTGTTGCATCTGCTTTTCTTACAGACACTGAGCTGCAGCTGAGGAGGGATGTTATTTTCTGCCAGGCCTTGGTGGGGGCGCTGTGTGCTCTGGCTGAGCAGCTGGTGTTGGCACTTAACCTGCGCTTCAACAACAACGGCGAGTATGAGGACGACAGCAAGGAGGTCAGCCGCAAGTGGCTGGAGCAAATCTCAGCCATCGGAGTGCTCTTCAATTTCCAGTCCACGCTTTCGCCACATGTGGTAAGATAAAGCTCAGCAGCATACACAGAGCCCAGTGTAGTGCAGTGCTTTTCTGTGTACAGCCCCTGATTCAGTGGAGTGGCTACTGACCAGGCTCTTCATGAGCTGCGTCAGGTGTGCTAGAGCAGTGAAAACATTAAATTGTGTAAACTGAAGTTCTGCAGACAAAAAAAATATCAAATGCACACAATTTCCCCCTTAAACCAATTGTTCGATCAGCCGGGACATGTTCTTCTGAAGTTTGCGCTGGATCTATGAAGCTAATGTAGCTAACTGTAAAGGAAGCTTATACCAGAGACAGTTTAAGAGGGAGCCTAACCACTTCCTGGTCAGCTCATTGACTGAGTAAAGTGATTCGCGCTCACTGATGTGATTAACGTATATCAGGCACCATAACAAAGTCTTGTAAATGAAGTTTAGAAGTGCTGAGAAATATAACAGCAGTGTTAAAATGTTTTATGCTGTTCTATGTTCATGAAATGCATAGTTCTTCTAAGCATTTTCAAACAATTTTGCTCAAAAGCACCATATTAACCCATTCATTTTGGAATCACTCAGGAGCGCCCTCTAGCTGTTAAAAACCAGGAAGACATTACTGAGTGGCAGTTCCCCTCACTAGAAAGAGTGAGAGCATAAAACTGAACTGGAGAGTGAGCGCGGGGTTGTACAGTAGGACAGATTTGATTACATTTGTAATTTCTTTAATTAGACCCCTGAAATGAATGTAGGCTTACCTTTTTAAGGTAAAAGCACTGGTGTCGCACAAACAATTAACAGCACGCATTTGAATGCATTTGAAGATGTTGTAGATGAGCTAATAACCAGCTAACCAGTACAGTGCTGGATGCTGTAGAGGTCTGGTGGTCTTTCGTCCTCAGTGGGTGATGTGCCAACATGGTAGCTTGTCAGAGAAATATGTTTCTGGATGTAGTTAACCTGAGCTAGAGTAACTTTGGAGTAACTGTGCTATCATTGTTATTCATGCTATCTCTGCATTATCAATCACGTCCTTAACATCACATCCCTGGGAATGGGATGTAAATAAGCAAACTCTCCACATTTTACAGTCTTACTAAAAACTAAACTGACATTTCCCTGAATTTTTGGCCGATTTTGTCTCCCCCAATGAAACATAATGACTAACTGAATAATGATTTCAGTACTTACACTTACAATACAGGCACCTTGAATGGATAACCAAGTACTGTAGTACCTGGGCACATCCCTAATAGGTGTGAGCTTCCATTACTTGTTAGCTACATTAGCCTTTTAGCTCCAGTGCAAAACTATAGAAGCAGATTTTGTACACCAAAATGGCTGATCGACTACATATGGCAAATAAACTGTGTAAATTGTGTAAATTAGATTTTTCACCAATTTATTCCTTTAATGTTCCACTTTCTGATTGTTCTCTTGCTCTGTCTTGCAGCGAGAGGAGCGCACCATGCTGGAGGATACTAAAGCAGCTCTGGTAGATCTGGATAAAGTCACTGTGCTCTTTCGACCACTGGAAAACGAATGCCTCGTCGCAAGTGAGCTTCTTTGATACAGTTGTCTACTATTTGTACATGGTTACTTTAGATCTAAAATGGGCACTGTGCCATTCATGGTGCATATAAATAAATCCAGCACATGTAGTTGTATTAAAAAGGATGTTTGTTCGATATCATGTGAGCTGCAAGAGACTTCTTGTGGGGTTGGATGATCTCATCTCTGGAGTGTGTAGCTGCTCTGAGGATAGCGTGACGAAACACCGTAACTCCTGCGCACGTAATCTGTATAAAATTCCAATGTGAAAAATATGCTTTTGAAGTCACAGTTTCAGTCACAGTACACAAATTCCGTTGGTTTATAAATAGTTAGAATTACACCCAGTGTTTCTCTGAGGATAATGGTTGCAGGACTCTGCTATAATGTTACGGCCCTTAATCCTGGCTCTTTAAAGCCGCACCTCCCTAAATCACACAAATACACACACACACTCAACCTCCAGATGTCCCTTTCAGGAATGTCAACATGGTTAGCAGAGATACCGTAGCTGCTTTATCCCAAATCCTCTGTTTTGGTTGGAGGAAAGAGGGATTTTGTAATCTAGTGTGTGTTTTCAGTGAAGGTGCTGGATTTAGCGTTTTTTTGTGTAAAAACAAGTGCAGCTTGAGGTTTGTATTCCAGGGTTTATGTTTTTACAAGGCTTATTCAGCTAATTATGCTCACTACCGAATTAGATTCTGTTTTCGTATTTAACACTTAAAGGGGAATTCCATTTCAAAGCGGTTTGATATGAAATGGCGCATTGTAGAGAAACATACTGACTGAATTGTCTTTATAATAGTGCCAGTAGGAACCAAATGTTGCGATGTCTACAACACAAATACAGCCATTTTAATTACTGTACAAAGCCATCAGTGAACCTTCATGTGTGTTCTGTTAGCAATAAACAGAACATACATAAAGTAACTTTGAAATTACATTATCAGTGTTAATAATAATAAAATAGTGGTAGATCTGAATTTTTAAGATCTGTTTTGCCTTAAAACATCCTGCCTGTACCTCTCTGTTATGAACGTGTTTTAAAAAATAGTTCTGAGATAAGGTTTTTGCCTAAAACTATAGTAAAACAATGTCTCGGCCATCAAGGAGCATATTGTAAACATTATACCTTTCTGTGATGTAGCTTTAATATGCATTAGATGCTTCAGACATCTGGTTCCCATCACCACCACTGTGAACAGTTCTAACTTGGTAAGTTAGTCAGGATGGAGCATTTCACACTAAACCAAACCCAGTGCCTTTGTTTGCATCTCAATTACTTAATTAGGCAGAAATAAAAAAAATAAGTGGAATTCCCTTTTAAGTGTATGGTGTGTTTTGCCAACCATTTGTAGCTACCTTGGGTTTTTAGTACGGCTGCATGTATATATTGCTAGTGCCGTCTTGGCTGTTGCAATACTGATAACACAGAAAGCTGAAATATACAAATAAGCCATTTAACAATGTTTTTAACTGTGTGCTGTAAGCATCTTGACCAATTACTGTCCCAGATCAGATTTGGTGAATCAAGGTATTCAAGTAATTCATGAAAAGTAAATTGTTTTGGTCAAAATAATGGCTGCGTATATATGTATATATGTAACAGCGTAACATGGGTGTAAATGTGTAATAATACTTCAGCAGTGCATTTTTTATATGTTACGTAGTGTATCACAATATGTAGTAGACCTTGACTGATACATTACTAGGCAGATAATATGGCCCTTTATTGATGACCCACAGGTTAATCTGTATCTGTGAAAACATTCCCGGTAAAGCGATGTAAATTAACGCCTTTTTGGTTTCAGCATTACTGTAATTCAGACTTCTGATCACCATCTCCATCTCTTCAGAACTGAATAATGTTAGATGGTTGAGCCCCAGGAGGGCCCAACATGACTCACCTCCTATTTAACTATATGTGAGCAGTACAGTCTGAACTGGTGAAGCTGAATGCATAACGCCAATGTGGGTAAAACAACAAATACAAGTAAAATGTAGGCCTGTCTAATCTTAACCTTTAAAATAAGAGTAACATGTTACAACACACAAAAAAAGTCTAATGACAAACTAATGAAAAATAAGACAATTAATAAAGCTCAATAATTTTTTTATTATTCAAATCTTTGAATAATTCTTCTGTTTCTGTTGTTTAGGTTCAAGAATTGTGATAATTAAAAATGGAAGATCATAGATCAAGATATATTATTAGCACAATCTTGAGTGAAAAGTAGAATCTTCAAAATATTTTATACAAATTCCCATGTAAAAACACAAATAGATGATGGATTTGTAAAGTCTGAGACCACACTGAAAAGTTGGGGTTTTTTTTTTCATTTAAATCTGAAAATAAACAACAATTTTGAATTTTGACAATGTTTAATCAATGAAAAGATTGAAGCAAATTTTTGACATAGACCAACTTTGTACAAAAAGGTCTTTTTTTTTTTTCAGTCTCTTCCATTGAAGCTTATGTTCGGATGACTCACAGGTGGATTTGATCTACTCATTAGAGGCTTTTTCAGTGTCGGTGTCAAATACTAGGAAATTCTGAAATACATATAAATATTTATTTAATACTTTTCACTCAAATTTGTGCTGATGATATAATTTCTACTGAAAACATTTGCATTAAATTAGGAAAGAATGCAAAATAGTTTTATTTTCACTGGTGGTCTCACTTTTTGTCCCCACTGTAAAGCTAAAACTACCAGACAATAAAATTGAAAGCTAAAATGTAAATATAAAATTTTATAAGCCGATTAAAAAAACAAAATTGGTAACTGTATCAGCCAAGAAATTTTAAATCATCAGCATCCTAATATGTGTTAAAATAACTGCAATACTATTTGTCTATTTCAGACACGTCTTTAGCGATCCAGCTCTTATATCTCTCATAAATAGCAACCAAGCTCTTATACAACTCTAATTAATCTACTAACTGTGATGGTGAAAAACTTGCCAGAACTATCAAAATTGTTTCCTTATAGTCAAACATTGTTATATTTTGTTATTTTGTTTCTTACATATCTGAAGGGAAAAACAAACAGGGTGGGAAATGAGGTAACAGGTCACTATCCACAATTTAAGGGATAAAGGAGAAGAGTTTAAAATGGAAACTGACGCACTGGAAACAACACATACGATAATAATTATTATTTTTCTCCTCTTTCTCACAGACACACCAGTGCATTATCAGGTGGAGGGCAGCCGACAGGCCATCCGGGTCACTCTCTACCTGGACAGCTGTCACTTCAGTGAGCTGCCCACACGGCTGCAAAACGGGGGCAGCCTGAAGCTCCATTCTGTGCTTTTCACTAGAGGTGAGCACACACCCAAGATTAAAACATTTCATTAAGCTTTCATTAAAGTCTGGAGCCGAGTTCTGGGGTCTGTGCTGGGTCTCCATTGAAAATCCTTCCTCTGTATTAGGTTTATTCTCTCTGTGGAGTGCCTCTGTTCAGACCTTTAGAACTGTCTCGTCTGTGTCTGGCTCTCTACTTTGATGTGAAAACAGTAAAAGATGCCTAGACAGGGTCTCAACCCTCGAGCAACAGGCCATTAGAGATTTAATCCTCAGAAGTCTACAGTTATTACTGTTGTTTCACTGTACTATTAAAATATAATTATGTAATTGCATAATTAAATGTATAGTTGTCTAATGAATGACATTTGATTTACATTCTGTTTGAACAGGTTTAAGACACAGTTTTAAGTTTTTTCTGTCAAACAAGATTGTAAACACATCAGTAGCTTTTTATCAGATTCAAATCATAATAATGTCAATTGAAAGTTTAGAATCCACACTTTTGACAGAATTTCTTCGCTAGTTTTTGTGAGCTACAAGTGAGAAATAATCAAACAAAATACAAGAGGGGATAAAGCATACATGCCACAGACAACCTAGCAGGGTTCACTATGACCTACTCGCTCATTCAGTTTTGATTTTCCTGTGAATTAATATCTTGGTTTTCTTTATGAATCTTGGTCTCCATCTAGTGGTTGTAGTGTGCACTGCAGTAGCTCAAATGCCTTCTTCAGAGAGAGGAATTCTGCTAAGAACGAGGCTTCTGTGTGTGTGTGTGTGTGTGTGCACATATGTGTGTATGGGGGTTGTGTATATTGCCTCTTGTTCTCAGCGTTGGAGCGGCCTGAGGGAGTTCCAGCTCAGGACTTTGTGGAGATGGAGGAGTTTCAGCAGCGGATTAACGCTGTCTCTTTAGAGAAGGTCAAGTTCTACTACCGCAGACTCAGGTACACCTTACTACAGCTTAGTGCTAAGAGTTGACTGATGTAGCTTTTGCTTTTTTAAGGGCTGATACTGATTATTAGATTGAAAACCAGTGTTTGTAGCCGATACTTATTTGCCATAAATCAAAACTGTATCATTTATATATAACAGTTAATTATTTAATACACAAACAGTTGCATAATACATAATCACTGTTATAATATCTCTATTAAAGTAGTTTTTCAGGAGAAAGAAAAATTCTTAACTTTCAATGTGTGTTAATATTACAGAATTTTGTTCCAAGTCATTTTGGACCATTTCTATTAGTCTGTTCATCAGGGAATTTTGTCACAGTATAAACAGCAGCTGACATTTTCAGTTAAAATGCAAAAGTTAAAAATGGAGACAAAGTTTTGGTCCAGCAGTCATGATATAATTTGTATTAGCACTGTTTAAAATGTTTAATGAAATACTTGTTAGCACAGAGGTTTTAGGTTCTGCGCTATGTACAAAGGAATGCGTAAGCAGCTTGTATTCAGCATCTCTCTCAAACCCAGAGTATTTTATTTAGTTTTATTCTACGTGGCAACCTTTTTGACGAATCTAAACACAGTAGGCAGGACACACAGCCCGAATTTACTGCATTATAATGTTGGTTCTCAAATCTGTGTTCATGGGCATCACTTTTTCGCTTAATCCCAACTCCCAGCACACAGAGAGCAAAAATTAATGAATATTTATTTGCAGCCTAAATGAATGATTATTATGAATGATTGTATCTGATTACTCTGGGTGAACTAAAGAAGGTGGTTTTAATAGCATTTGTCCACCAGGCAGTGCAGTATGGCACAGTACAGTTTTAAATTGTAAAAAATAAGATTTAAAGTTACAGTAGTTGATTTTCTATTGTATTTTGCTTCTGTAACATCTCTTTTGGGGGTCCAACAGCAAGCATATTAGGGCTCCATTTTCCCAGGTACTGCTCAAGCTGGTAATGTCTTAATGAAATCACTCACCTTGCTTGTTGCTGGCAGTGCTGAAGAAATCTAGATGAAAGTCCAGAAGTCTTTTTAATGATGTTACATCACATAATTCTGTATCAAATCTGTGGGTGAAGAGCAAAACTGATTGCATATTTGAATTCAGCATGTAAAAATGTGTTTACACAAACTAGTTTTCATCATCTGGTATCAAAATGCTATTCTGAACTTCAGCTTGTATAACTTGCATCATACCTAGTTGTGCTTAATCAGTTAATATCTTTTAAAATCTTATGCTAAATGCATATTGAGCATGGAGATTATACTGTGATTATAAAGCACTTTCTATATTACAGATTTTACTATTATTATATGTTTTTACACAATCAAATAGCCAAAGGTTTTATGTCTGTTCAGGTTGTCTGATATAAAAACATCATGATAACCTTTTGAACTTCCATTCTTTCAGGGCTTTCTACCTGGAGAAATCCAATTTACCCTCAGACTCAAATTCCACCGCCATGAAAATAGATCAAGTAAGTAAGACAAATCTCAGCCCTCAGGAATTTTTTCGCAATTTTTGGGGAGTACATGCTTTTGTCCGAAGGACAACAATTCCTTTGTGATGTACTGTAAATGTTCCAGTGTGCAGAGAGCTCATTTAGCAGCCTTGAGCCGTAGCCATTGTGATGAAAGAGCAGAGCCATGTGGCCACCCTGAGCCCGGTCACGCAGACTGATGACCTGTTTACTTTATCTTCAGCTTCTCCGTCCTCTCAACACTCTGGATGACCTATGCAGGCTGATGCAGACCTACATGAACGTGAGGCCCAGTGCTGCAGGTCACCCATCCGGGGTCAGTGTGCTGCTGGTCTCTTCAGAGCTTTGCAGCCGCCTGGGAGCCTGTAACATCACTATGTGCGCCACAGGCATGCAGAGGTAACAGCCACAGAACACTGTCTGAATTATTAAAGTGATAACAAATGAAACGTACACAACTTTCACCTTATCTCGGTCAGTCAGCCAAGACATGTTTGGCCTGTATTTGCAACCTGGCACATTTTATCTTTCCTGTTTTTTCCTGATATGTTAAACTCAGCAAATAAATAGAAATTTTGCACTAAAATTAGCAAAAAATGCCACATTTAAATTTGTTCTCTGTAGAGAATGTGTTTACTTATTTTTACTTATAAAATCAACAGAACATAATTTGACCGGAGTGTTCAAACGTCTGCATACGACTCTATCCATAAAATGGAAAAGACTAAGAACACTGTATTGGCAGCTTTTAGAGATGCACGGTATGTTGTGGAAGGATAAATCAGCAGACAGACTTCCTAAGCTGGTAAATCATTGGTGACTGGTTGTAAATGTGGCTCTCCTGTTGAATGTATGGTTCCTTTGGACAGGTTTACCCTGTATTTTCTTCGCTATTTTTTTCCTGCCATGAGGATGTGCTCCTCATGACTGGCTTTTGAGGAGAACTGTAGCCCTCCATTTTGCTTCTGGTTTTGTTAGTCTGCCAGAGATATTGTTTTAAAAGCCATAAAAAACCTGTATGTAAACAAGAGGGCTACAATCATGGATTATATCATAGCAACATGCAACGTGTGAGCAGTTGGGCTTCATGATGAACCTGCAAATGGTTTGAAGGGTTACTAATTTGTGTTAACACATTATTAATGTGACAGTCCTACTAGCAAGTAGCTGAAATTCACAGCCTGAATCATCACACACCTGCCTCTAACTGCATTGAGTTGAGGTGAAGAATGACAAATTGACTTGCTTATCTGTTTTCTGACTCCAAATGACACTGTTATTTATAACAGGGGTGCTCAGTCCTGCTCCTGGAGATCTGCTGTCCTGTTAAGTTTCATTCCAACCCTAATCCAACACACCTGATCCAAGTAATGAAGGTCTTCAGGAGCATCTGAACATTAGAGCCAGGTGTGTTGGATCTGAACTCTCCAGGGTGGCAGATCTCCAAGACCAGGATTGAGCACCTCTGATTTATAAGAATGAACAAAAGTACCAATGTACAGACAAATTCAATACTGTTCCTAGCTGTGCAGCATACCTTTTCCAACTTGTGACACTTGTATCGGACTTCAGACACTAAACATGTCTTGGCTGATCAAAGCAATTGGGGGTAAAATTGACTTTTTCTGAATCATTGCTGTAAGGCTTGCGTTATTGCCATTTCTTGGTTTCTTCTTTGTTTTCTGTATATTCTGGTAATCGCTACACTGCTCCCTAGTGCACGTGTACACATTACATGCAAGGATGTTGGCAAACATCTATGCAAATGTCTGCATGTGATGGCATAAAACGTCTTTTTGTAGCTTTCGCTGTGCCTGACTCTATTACTGATTGACTTTAACCTGGAGCTTGTGTTGTGTAGGTGCACTCTTACAGTCTCTCTGGAGCAGGCCATGATCCTGGCCAGAAACCATGGCCTCATGCCTCGCTGCTTCATGCAGGCTATGGACATTATGCGCAAACAGGTACAGCACCACACACACCATTACTGTACTATACTTCCCAACATAAGTGTTCTGAGATTAGATGCTTTGATAGATTTTGCAGCTTCAGGTGGTTTTGGATTGTGAAGAACCAAGTCAAGCTAATGTGTTCTATATGTTCTTCCACAGGGAACCAGAGTAGAAATCTCTGCTAAAAACCTAAAAGTAATGGACCAAATGCCTGCATTTGCACCAAGGTATCAGCAATACTTTTTTAATGTAGCTAAAATTCCTGGTTATTTGTTGAAGTGGTTAACTATTATTGCAGGAATATCACTGAAAATCTTTTGCTTTTGATTGTTTCAGACTCTTCAAGCTGTGTCTACCACCATCTGATGGTGACCTCTGAGTATGGCCATGTTCCTCACTTCAGCCTATTGACTGTTCACGTTAAGAGTAGGACTGGTGACTCTGGCACATCATGACTCGTATAAAGGTCACGTTGTACCTTTGCCAGACATTTCCGTTTTGCCACACCTCCGCTCACAGACAGTATCACCAGAGGCCAGTTGAGCCCAACACAAGACTCTGGGATGATAGACTAGCCAGTTGCTAACATTAGCAATGCTAACCCTGGCTAGCAGAGTTTGCTCTCATTGCAATGACATAGACTCTACTCTTAATGTACTTGGATTTTGCCTCTTGCTGGTGGTTTTCCCAAAACCCGTACTTACATTTTTAACAGAGTTACTAAAACTACCTGTAATAGACTGTGTTTCTCACTTTGCCTTTGACTGCAATGCCAGTGGGCTAACTGGTTCAGTCTATAGATGACGAGGCAAAGTCTTTACTCGCTGCCTCAGATATGTGGTGATTATGTGCAATTACTGTAGCTTAGCTTGTGCGTTCCTGCACTTTTCCTTAATGAGAGTGTTCTTAAAAAAGGATTGTTTTTATCTTTGTCAGTTCTATCAGGTATTACGTTACTGAAACCATTCCAGTCTAACCACCCGACAGTATTACATGGACCAATCTGACACTGTTTAAGATGTTTTATTAGTTTATATATTGAAGTACTTTATTTTATTTTATTTTATTTTATCTTATTTTATTACATGATGGAGTTCCATCATCAATACATTATTGGATTATGAGACGATAGAAAAAATAGAAATGAAGATAATTATTGGATAATCAAGCTAAATAAAGTTGTTACATTAAAGTTTCTCAATTAACTGATTGACACCCAGTATTGTTACTGAAGGCTTAAGATTTTTACTAATCAGAACGTAAAGGAACGTAAAGAAACATAATACATGTCTCTGTGTGTGTCTGGTTTCAGCACTTTCTTAATGCTAATCTAGGCCATGTTATAGTAGACAGCTGTTCTAGAGAGTAGCAAGTGTTTTTGAGAAGCACAATATAAAAGCTCAAATTATTCACAAGTGTTTTCTAAAAGTACTGTGCATTTCTAGATATTAGAAAAAAAACAAAGGGATCATTGAAGGATGGTTAGATATAGTAACTTTATTGAATTTCTGTTTTTTTGTGTATATACATATGTATAACATGGTCTATCAGAGGGACAAGCATAATGGTATGCTTTTTGGGGAACAGTAATGCTATAATTTAAATGTAATTAATGTTAAAGCAAAACAATATGGAATTGTAAATCTTTCATTTTATATACATACTGTATATGTGAATAGGAGTCCTTATTGTGTATTTACACAGTGTTTTCAGTATTTAAATTTCTAACCATTTCCATGTCTTCAGTAGAGATTTCTGGAGAATTGGCAAAGTAAGAGTGCCCGGTTCCTTGGAATAAGGTGTTGATGTCCTAACTTTTGGTGCCTCAAAGCAAGCTCAAGTTATTGCTTTTTTTGTTTTATTTTTTACCATATCACATGGCTACAACCTGCACAGGCTAACAAAACCAAAACTTTTGTTTTATATTGAGATCTAAGCAGCCATACAAGTGTATTGATAGCTTATGTTGAACTTATGTTAAGCTTTTCCTTTAAATCCAAAATGAAGAACCACTGTTGCAACCAACGTGTGGAAACACTGTGATAAAGGTTTTATCCAGTTTTGCATGATGCTGTGCTTTGTAACTCACAGTGCCTTTTAGATATGAATGCAGATTGGCTCCGTTATTGTTATAAAATCCATTATTGAGACCATTTCAACTTGAGCTTGCTTCAGAGAAACCAGGTTAGCATGCGGTAACTGAAGTATTTGGTTAAAAAAGCTTTGTTGGGATGAGTGTCATGCTTTTCCTGCCTTATCACACCTGACTCAACTCATAGGGGGCTTTGAAATTAGCTGATGAATTGAGTCCAGTGTGTTACAGCAGGGAAAACCAGGGATTGACAAATGGTGTCCCAAAATGTGGAATCCATGACTGAGGGGGGGGGAAGGCCCTGCATTAGTTTAAATCAGTATGTAATGGTGATGCGCCTTTTTAACCTCTAGTATTTGTGGATGTTGGAATGTAATGATAGGTTTTTAATGATTAATCTATAATGTCAGTTGACTAACAAGCTATTACGTCAGAGAGGTTTGAGTTAATATATGGTCAAAATGCTGGCTGAACTATGTTGTCACTTACCCAACACAGCAATACTGTATGTTGTACAAACATTTTCAGATTTTATTTTATTTTACCCCCTATTTACAGCTTCTGCATTGCACTGTCACATCAGTTCAGAAATTAAATTCTATCATGGTTGTAACCAGTATTGTAGTATCATACATCATGACATGACTGATGTTGTTTGGAAGCAATTAATGTACACATCATCACATCATCATATACTGACTGCATGCTTTCAGTGTCTTTTCACCTATAGTGAAAACTTGACTATAGTGGAATCCAAAGAAGTAGCACTAGCAGTAGCACACTGTAGAAGAAAATATATTCTCAGGTTTCTAAACCTTTTTGGTCAGTAAATGTGAGGTGAACTGCCCGTTTTGAGAAATATTCTGACATGACATCATTTAGAAGTTTTGTTTTTTTTTTCTGTTTATTTTACAGTTTGTACAGTGGTCCATTACATTACCTTGATTCTAAGTGTACTTTTACTCAAAAGTCAGCTGTTTCTTTTTGGTGCTTAATGATAAAATGTCTTTTGGGGCCTTAATGGTTGTATTTGTTGGATTGTGAACCTTTTCCGTTTTGCATGTATTGATTGTAAGTGTTACTTAGTCTACAATTTGATTCAGTTCTTAGTTCTTGATTCCCCCTCCCAACCTCAACCCAGCGCCCCATTTTTTATAAACCAGAGTTTCATGTAATGTAACTCTTTCTATAGTACCCAGCAGATTTCCTCCAGAAACAATTTAAATCATCTCAAGCTGAATCAGATGTCCCTTATCTGTAAGTTCATGGGGTCTTTTGTCCCCAGAAGGTTGACAGTGTGCACTTTTTAATTAGCTTGGTGGGGTTGCAGTTCTGTGCTCATCCCAGCTTCTGAATTATTGCTAAACAAACACAGTCATCACTATTAACTCAAGCCCCATTACTTACCATTAAAATACTGTAAAACAATATCAGAGCTCTTGCCAAGTTGCTCTGTCTTAACAAAAAAGCATTTTGTTATTTGGTTACCTGTGGCTGAACCCAAACCAAGACTGATCAGAAGTTTAGCTTTCAATCACACTTAGGGCAGTCAGTCTGAATCTTTTGACCTGTAAGGTGCATGGTGCAAATATACATGTTGAAATGAGTTATATTGCAATTTTGCTCTTGGCCTGTTCCCATTGTAAAAGTTTATTATATCTTCATGCTTCCCCAATGCACATTAAACCTGGCACTGTATCTTCCTAATTACTGACCATGTGATGCTGTTGATGTCTGGTTGGGTGGTAGGTTGGAGCAGCAACTCTTCAGTCTGAGAGTGGGAGACTGCATTCTTAAGAACTCTTGAACAGAGAAACTTGGCACCATTAAGATTTCAGCCTGAGTCCTGCAGCACTGCTTTTAGTCCTGCTCGGGTGCAGCTCTTCAGACTTTTCTTACTGACCATTAAACATACCCCATGCTTGGTTTCTTTTAGGCATTGTAAGCTTACATCTATGGTGTACTGAATGCATTGCTAATATCAAAAACTGTAATAAAAGTGTCTGTTTATAAACAGCTTTTGGTCAGTATTTTTCTACACAACAGGGTTCTGTCACACCTTGATCAAACTTAATCACTTTTTCTATTTATTTTTTTTAATCAGTGATTCCAATTTACAATTGGCAGTTTAAATGGGAATCAAGTTTCTCAACAAGGGGGGTGCAATTAGCAGCCCACACCAACGGGTTCTAATGAAAATGCTTACAGTAAAAGGTCTGAATCCATGCTAAATATACCCTTGGAAAAGATGTGGTTTTGTTTAACAGTTAGACCTGACCAGTTCACCAGATAGCTAACAGCTCCTTGAATGACTGAGTTCGGCTTTACACGGAAATCTGATGGAATGATTCACAGCAAAACTGCAACATTAAAGAATATGTTACAGTTGTTCAATTGTCACTATGTAAATTAGTGCAGCCCTATGTACTTTTAAGCCCAGTGTGGGAAGTGAGACTACATTCCTGTTAGTGTAGTGATAACATTACAAATCCTATAGGGGGGCTAACGGACATTAGTTTTATTGCAGTGGTGATGAACAGATGAACTGCTTGTAAAGTGAAGGTTGCTCTATTAAACAGTGCTACATAATGACATACCTGATGTTCCATGGTAATTATTATAGGATTTTATAGGAAGTATTGGTAGTTTTTTCCAATAAAGTGTTGTGGAGTATTTTGATAGGCTGAGTTTGACGAATCAACCAACAAAATAATCAGCAGATTATCCATTTGATGTTTTATCAGGCACCTGTTTTTATTGAAGCTGTTATTGTTATTACATCTCGTAACATTTACCGTTTTTAATGGCCGGTTCGCTCGTTGCTCAGCATATCATGACTTAATTTACTTCAATGCCCATAATTTCTCTCACTCTCGTTATAATAATTACTGCATTGAAACTTTGCAAAAGCACATTAAGGGGGAAATGTTTCTTCATTTCTCAGTAAACTACTGGAGCAAAGAGATTCTTCTATTACACTACTACGTCACAGTTTATGTCCTCGTGCAGACAGATCAGACGCTCATCAAGCGTTCACATTCTGCCAAGGAGCATGAAGTTTCTCTTCTCACCCCTCCTCCTTTCTAAGAGCCCATTCCCCCCTTACTGTTCTTCTGCTGCAGCCTCCTCCTCCTCCTCCTCCTCCTCCTCCTCGTCTCTCTGCTCAGTCCAGTTGAGGAGGCGCAGAGGTAAAAACTGGTTTCCCTCCACTGCAGCTTCACCCCCACCGTTTTCATTCCCATTGGCTTCCAGCAGCGCCGGAGCTCCGCACGCCGAGCCATGCCGGCCGCTCACCGCGCCCAGTCTCAGCCCCAAACCCAGCCGCAGTCATGGTGAAGAAATCAGCCAACGGAGAGGTCTACCCGCCTCCAGCCGGGGAGCGGAGGCTGAAGGTGGGCTTCGTGGGGCTGGAGCCTGGCGCCGCGGACACTGGCCGAGACGGGACGCTGCTGATCGGCGCCGCGGAAGGCTCTAAGCGCGTGGGGATCCTGTGCAGAACGCGCTCGGGCGGCGGCAGAGCGCACAAGAGGAACGCCGGTTACCGGAGACTGCAGAATTTCCTCTACAACGCGCTCGAGAGGCCGCGCGGCTGGGCGTTCGTTTACCACGCTTACGTGTGAGTAGACGAGGGGGGGTCTTTACTGACTGAGCGAGACTTTTACCCACCCTAAGAAGGGAAACTTTGCAGTTTTTGACGCAGAATGGGGCTTAGTCAGTTAATGGTCCAAAGTGTGTGTTTTTGAGAGGGGGTCTCAGGTTTAGGGTTTTAAGTGTCGTATTAATGTAATCTCAAAGAATTTATATTGTAACATCTCTCTATCTATCTGTCTGTCTGTCTGTCTATCTATCTGCTCCTGCTATCTGTCTCCTAAACATCCAGTTGTGCATTGTAAACAACTACTGCTTCCAGCACCTGTAGTTCAGTTACGTTCTTGTATGGAATGGAAGTTGATCGCCTGGGAGGTGTCCAGACTCTCGCTTGTGTCCAGACTCTCGTAAACGCAACGTGAATAGAACAGATCGATATCGAGCTTTTCTAAAGACCCTCGTCATACAGAGAAAAGCAAACCGCAGAGCTGTTAATGCTCTATGCCGTCTATTCGAGGCATTGCGTTTCGCTTTTCTCCGTGTTCGCACGTCTCTCTATGAGGGAGGTGTGTTTCAGCACGCTGGACAGCTCTCGCGCTGCGGCACGCCGTCCGCTCCCATTCATTCCAAACGCGCCCAGAGCAGACGATTCTCTCTCAGTCTGCTCTCTAACACAGTCTCTCAGACAGAGCACTGCAGATGCTGCACACACCGCCTGCTACACCGCATCTAATGCTGCCTCTGCTCGTTGGCCGTGTCGAGGTTGGTGTAGATGCTCGGTAGTGCTGGGTTTGGAATTCTAAACACAACCAGCAGTCATGGGCGGGATGTTTTCTCTGTATTGCCTGCATATGAAGCTAAATCTGTAAGTCTGTCTGTCCTGATGATGTCAGAGAAAAAGTAATGCACTGAATATACCTGAGTCAGATGTGTTTATCATTTCCATATGAATAAAATGTGTTGCATCAGTTCAGCTTCCAGTTTACTTACTTTTAGCAATAGTTGTGTTGATAACATAGATGTGTAGTTTATTTTATTAATGTGGAAATGATGTACACTTTTGAATCAAATAAATTCAGAGCGGTTCTTTGGAAGGTACTGATCAGCTGCAAGACCTCACATTGTGAGTAGTGTGGACCTTTATGTCCCAAAGTAGGGCCACTCACATTATGGCCTGAGAGCCAAACATTAGATTTGTCCTGCCAGAAAGTTCCCCTAATCTCACCAATTCACTAACTGAGAGAGCAGATATTTATATTATATATAACACACACACACACATGCACACACACACACACATTTTCTAAGCCGCTTATCTTTCTGGGTCGTGGGGGGAGCTGAAGCCTATCCTAATAGTCATTGGGTGAAAGGCAGGATACACCCTGGACAGGTCACCAGTCCATCGCAGTATTATACATAATTTTGAATTATATATAAAAGTATTGTATATAAAACTGAAATTTAAAATTATTTTAGTAATAAAATATATTGTAATATGTTATAAAAAAACCTTTTTAAAAACCCTACCTACCTTTTTTATTTGTACATCTTTGTCTTTTTTGCCTTCAGCCCACCACAAATTGGCGCCCCAAGACAAAAAGTTTTGGCACCCCTGTTCCAAAGGGTTTTAACCTGCTGCTCATTACAAATTTTTCCTCTCATAACTGCATATGTTACATATTGTACTGTGCAAAGGTAGAAACCACTTTTCATTCATTTAATTTCTAATCACAATTGCCATTAAGTACATTACATTGTTTACTTTTCACCATCAGGTAAAAAAACAGAAAACATATTTAACAGAAGCCCCAAAAAATAAATATAATATCTTTTTTCCGTATTTTGTGAGTCCACTGTTTGCCTTTATTGCAGCTTTAATTCTTTTCAGAAGACTTGCTTTCCTTTTCCAGTATGCCTGCAAGGATTTTTTCACACCTGCATAGTTCAGTCTTAGACGTTTGTTGTATTTTCTGCTTCTTGCAATCCAAGTAATCCCAAACATGTTCAATGATGTTGAGGCCTGGGCTCTGAGGTGACCAGTCCATTGTTCTGCAGCTTATTTGTTTGATTTGCAAATGTTCTTATTTTGTCTGTTTTCTTTTCTCAGTAACAGCTCATTAACAGCTACACATCCTTTCAGACTATAGTGTTGAGTTGTCTTTTCATAGCGGAAGGATGGACAGAAATACCTGTGGATTTTTCAGAAGCAAGAGTGGAGTTTATTTTTATAGTTTTGGCAGACTACCATCTTATTTTCCTTTCACTTTCCCTTTCCTAAAGCAAGTGGTTTACCTTATATCTAATCTCCTCAGAAATATCTCCTAAATTATAACTCCCTGTATTAATAACTTGTACTTAGTGGCTGTTTTGACTGGAATTTTAATAAAAGAAGAGTGGTCTCTGACTTTTGCACAGTATTGTAGTAGGTTTAATGAACCACAATTAATGAACAATTTATAGCAGCTACTAGATAATCAGCATTAAAGAACTAATGCAGCACAAAATAATACTCTTGTTTTTCAGACAGTGCAAATGAACAGAAAACCTCTACACAAGCAAACAGCAAAAGCACTTTCATAATAATGCACTTAGTTAAAGTGCTTAACATTAGAACAGAATGACCTAAAGAAATAAAAAAATTGCCTTACTTTCTTATTTCTCTAGACTAATGTCTGTAATGCTAGAATTATGAGATTGATCCCTCCATATGGTGACAATCAGTAAGCAAAGGTCTGTAAATAGACCCCAATCTCCTCCAAGCATGCGAAGCCTTTTTAAAACAACTGGAAGTGGAAGGTGCTGAAAACATGCCATCTAGAGCTTTCCATTAGCTCCAGCCTCCATTAACTCTGCTCTGAGGAGATGCTCAACTGGCCTGAAATGCTAGAACAGTATAGCCCTCATCAAAGCTGAAATGCAAGGCCTTTTAATAGGACTTCAGCAGTTCCAGATTGCTTTCAGAGTATTTCTCCTCTCCAGTCGTCATGTTCTGAACATATTCTCTGTCGTCTGCCTGTGTGTCTGCCCGATGAATTATTTATATGATCACCAAGCCTGGCTTGATCTCTTTAGGGCCTTGCTCTCCTTCCATTCTGTGAAGTATGCTGACTTTGGCCTCTCACTCTTCTGAGGGTTCCTTTTTTTCTATCTTGCTCTTAAACTTCCACTGTGTGCACCACTCTGTGTGCACCACAGGCACACTATTGTGTAAGTCTATAGTAAAAGGAAATGCTGGCTAAAGAGAGCTGCTTTTGTGCAGTAAGCTCTAGTTGCTTTGATGGAGTATTTCGCATTTCGACTGTTTTGTGTGTGAGCTAAAATCTTTGAATACAAATGCAGCGACTGAGGAAAAAGTGTATGATCCACAACATATAAAACTATCCTGCATCCTTAAAAAAGTAAACAGGTCTTGGCTTGAACACACACTTGTAAGAAAATACTTGTAATTTCTATGCAGAACCTTTCCATTAGGAGGAGATTCTTTCAGCTTTAAAAAGCTTTAAAGAACTAGTTGTTCTTTAGGAAACCAGAAGTGGTTATTTTATGGAGATTCTTTCAGCTTTAAAAAGCTTTAGAGAACTAGTCATTCTTTAGGAAACCAGAAGTGGTTATTTTATGGTGTTGCTTCAAAAGACTCTCTTTTTAAGACTGTAGAATGCATAAAGTGTTTTAAATGTTGTAAAGTAGTGGAGAACAGCATGATACATGGTACTGAATATTAATGGGCAGCATGAAAATGTTCAGTGACAGTTCCTTTTCTACAGGTCATCTGTCTGTGTTCAGGCCTAATTCAGGAGGGTCTTGCTGACTGGGATGAACAAGGCAAATCACTCAGTCGTTGTTTGCTGCTGAGTCAAAGCCTTTCTCCTTTGGGCTCAAGAACGTGTCTTTGCTGTCTCTCTGCTTGACAGACTGCTTTTTCTCAGCCTTACAAATTCCAGATTGGTTTGCGTCCACTGCCAACACCAAACGCAGAATAAGCCTGACAGAAAGAGTCAAATGGATATTTGCTTTACAGAGGCAAGGCAAGCATCTGTTAATTTTGATCTCTTTTGAGGTAGCCGATAGAGCTACAAGCAGCAACATAACACACTGAAACCTAACCTAGCAAGAATGTACTGTACTGTACACTGATTTGCCAGTTTATTAAAAGCACATGCCTTATAACTACACTTACTGGCCGTTTTATTAGAAATTATTGCCATCCATTGAAATTCTGCAGCACTACTCTATCCCATCCACCAATTAAAAGGGACTGCTGTAGAACCCCCATGGACTTAGACATTAGGAATTTTAAGCAACATGGCAGCAGGGTACCGCATCCAGAAAAAAATACCTGTGCTTACCGCAGCTGTAACTTGTTGTTCTACTATAGCGAAAACACCAGTTTGAGGTAGTCACTAAAATGTATGATTTAAGTGAGTTAATTTCATATTTCTCTAATGTGTTCTTTTAGAAATTTATTTACTCTGGATAACGACTATTCCTTCAATAAATTCAGGGCAAATATTACCAGATACACCGGTTAATTTTGGAGGTTTTTCCATTTTTCTGAAGATAATTAATTCCGCCATCATGGTAGAATGACTTTGATTTCTGCAGCTATGGCATTAACACAGGTATATTTTCGGTCAGTGTAGTCAGCTCTACAACCACTGACGCTTACAAAATGAACCTACATGGCAGATATACCTGAAAAAATGCCTAATGCGTAAAGGTTCAAGCTAGGTCTATCTAATAAACTGGCAGTTTAGCATATTATCTTATGTGGTAAGAGATTATATCGACTGTAATGTTTTCTGTTCTACTTTAACCCATTTAACTCCAAGAAATTGTTGAACATTTCTAGACTTTCATTCCTCTCTTTCCATTCCTCTTTCTATGGCTATATTTCCATTCTTTTCAGGCTCTTCAAGCTCTGTGCATTAGAAAGGCAATCACTCCATCTCTTGGGATAATATTGCATGGTCTATCTGTTTTCCGCCCACATTCTCCTCTTGAGAAACGTAAATAAGTCTCATTATACTT